CCTCTCCTCTTCCTCTCCTCTCCTCTCCTCTCCTCTCCTCTCCTCTCCTCTCCTCTCCTCTACCCACCTGCTGGCTCTTCATAACAAGGAAGCTGTGGATCTCCTTCATGTCCTTCAGGTAGCTCGCCTTGATGCCTTGCAGCTGGCGGGAGGAGGGAAGGGGGAGAGAAGGGGGAGGGAAGGAAGGGGAGTGAGCGCAATAAACAGCACAGGGGAGGAAGAGGGAGAAGGGAGGAGGGAGAAGGGGAGGGTGAGAAGCGCACCTTCTGCCACACGTTGTCGGATATCCCCCCCTGCTGCGGCACTGCTGACTGCTGACCCGCCTGCTGCTGCTGCTGCTGCTGCTGCTGCATTGCCCCTGCCTGGGCTTGCATGCCCTGCTGCTGCTGTGCTCCCTGCTGCTGAGGCTGCTGCATCGGCTGCTGAACCTGCTGCTGCATTGGCTGGCTCTGTTGTTGGGGCTGAGTCATCTGCTGCTGACCCATCTGCCCTCCCATTGTCTGCTGCACAGGCTGCTGCTGCTGTGGCGGCTGCTGCTGCATTGGCATGCCCTGCTGCTGCTGCTGCAATGCAACAGGCACTGGACTTGGGCTGTGCTGAATTCTCTGCGCCTGCTGCCCTCCAAACTGCTGCTGCTGCACTGGCTGCTGCTGCTGCTGCTGTTGCTGCTGCTGCTGCTGCTGGAGAGGCATGGGTTGAGTGCGGTTCATAAGTCCACCAGGCTGCTGCGTCATGCTGCTAGGCCCCTGCTGCTGCTGCACCTGCTGTGGCTGCATCGCCCCCCCCATCTGCTGCTGCTGCTGCTGTGCCTGAGCTGGCAGCTGTTGCTGCTGTTGCTGCAGCGGCTGCTGTGGCTGCTGCTGCTGCTGCAGTGCTACTGGCTGCTGCTGCTGTTGCTGCTGTTGCTGCTGCTGCCGCAACTGCTGCTGCTGCATCATAAGCATTCGCTGCTGCTGCTGCTGCTGCATCTGCCCCCCCTGCTGCTGCATCTGCCCCGGCTGCTGCGGCTGCCCCCCAACCACTTGCATCGGACCACCCCCCTGCACTTGACCACTACCCCCCATGGACAGATTGCTCTGAGGCAGCTGCCTCACCCCCCCGGGTCCCCCCATGCCGGCACCAGGCTGCACAGGAGCGCCCATCCCGCCTGGGCCTGTAAGAGAGCCGCTAGGAGCCATGGCGCCTGGCTGCTGCTGCTGCCCCATCATCGGCCCTCCTGGTCGCATTGCCTGTTGCGGCTGACCCAGTTGACTTGGTTGACCAGGTTGACCCGGTTGACCTGGCTGTTGCTGCTGCGGGGGATAGCTCATGTTGGCTGGATATGGAGACGGAGGGAGGGCCGATGCATGTAAGCGTGTGATGCATGTAAGAGTGTGATGCATGAAAGCAGTGATTGTGGTACTTACTGATACATGAGAAGTGTGCAAGTAATGCATGAAGAATTCTATGTGATGCGCACAACGAACAATTTGGTCGATGGCGGTGCATGGAGAAAGTGAGTGTGACTGTGAGTGTGAGTGTGACTGTGAGTGTGACTGTGAGTGTGAGTGTGACTGACTGATGTGATGCATGTAAGGAATGCTTGTGATACATGCCCTATGGAACGAACCTATGTGACCGTTTGGAATCTCGAAGTAAGACTTTGAGTCGACTCGAAAACGACCAACACTCACTCCTTCCATTACATCCATCACACACATGCGTACATGCATCAATTCACTCCTTCCATGCATCAATTCACTCCTTCCATGCATCAATTCACTCCTTCCATGCATCAATTCACTCCTTACATCCACCACCCCCACACACAAACACACTTACATGCATCAGCGGTCATCCCGCCAGTGGCAACGGACCCGGCAGACGCCTGGGAGCTCGAAATAAGACTTTTGAGTCCACTCAAAACCTATCACACACACTCTTTACATGCATCAATTCACTCCTTCCATCCACCACCCCCACACACAAACACACTTACATGCATCAGCGGTCATCCCGCCAGTGGCAACGGACCCGGCAGACGCCTGGGAGCTCGTGCCCCCTGCCGCCTGCGCCTGCAGCATGTGGCCCTTGCTCTTGATGTAGAGCATCTTCTGGGATATGCGCCACAGGTAGTCGTCCTGAGGTTGGAGGGAGAGGAAGGGTATAGATTGAGGGGGAATGGGTGGTGCTCTGCTCGCTCAAGCCTGCAGCATGTGGCCCTTGCTCTTGATGTACAGCATCTTCTGGGATATGCGCCACAGGTAGTCGTCCTGAGGTTGGAGGGAGAGGAAGGGTATAGATTGAGGGGGAATGGGTGGTGCTCTGCTCGCTCAAGCCTGCAGCATGTGGCCCTTGCTCTTGATGTACAGCATCTTCTGGGATATGCGCCACAGGTAGTCGTCCTGAGGTTGGAGGGAGAGGAAGGGTATAGATTGAGGGGGAATGGGTGGTGCTCTGCTCGCTCAAGCCTGCAGCATGTGGCCCTTGCTCTTGATGTACAGCATCTTCTGGGATATGCGCCACAGGTAGTCGTCCTGAGGTTGGTGGGAGGCGGAAGGCGGGGCGAGGGGTAAACACCGGGGGAGAGTGAGTGGGTGGTGCTGAGGGCTGGGAGGCAGAAAGCTGATCCGCCTTGCAGCCTGCAGCATGTGGCCCTTGCTTGCTCCTGATTTGATGTCCAGCATCGTCTGGAATATGCGCCACAGGTAATCGTCCTGAGGGCACATTGGGGGAGAGCGAGTGGGGATGAAGGCTGAACGCGAGCAGAGGGAGGGAGGGAGGGAGGGAGGGAGGGAGGGAGGGAGGGAGGGAGGGAGGGAGGGAGGGAGGGAGGGAGGGAGTGAGGGACAGAGGGAGGGAGGGAGGGAGGGAGAGAGGGAGCGCGTGCCTACACCCGCCTGAACCTGCAGCATGTGCCCTTGCTCTTGATACATAGTATCTTCTGGGATATGCGCCACAGGTAGTCGTCCTGAGGTTGGAGGGAGGCGGAAGGCGAGGCGAGGGGTAAACACCGGGGGAGAGTGAGTGGGTGGTGCTGAGGGCTGGGAGGCAGAAAGCTGATCCGCCTTGCAGCCTGCAGCATGTGGCCCTTGCTTGCTCCTGATTTGATGTCCAGCATCGTCTGGAATATGCGCCACAGGTAATCGTCCTGAGGGCACATTGGGGGAGAGCGAGTGGGGATGAAGGCTGAACGCGAGCAGAGGGAGGGAGGGAGGGAGGGAGGGAGGGAGGGAGGGAGTGAGGGACAGAGGGAGGGAGGGAGGGAGAGAGGGAGCGCGTGCCTACACCCGCCTGAACCTGCAGCATGTGCCCTTGCTCTTGATACATAGTATCTTCTGGGATATGCGCCACAGGTAGTCGTCCTGAGGTTGGAGGGAGGCGGAAGGCGAGGCGAGGGGTAAACACCGGGGGAGAGTGAGTGGGTGGTGCTGAGGGCTGGGAGGCAGAAAGCTGATCCGCCTTGCAGCCTGCAGCATGTGGCCCTTGCTTGCTCCTGATTTGATGTCCAGCATCGTCTGGAATATGCGCCACAGGTAATCGTCCTGAGGGCACATTGGGGGAGAGCGAGTGGGGATGAAGGCTGAACGCGAGCAGAGGGAGGGAGGGAGGGAGGGAGGGAGGGAGGGAGGGAGTGAGGGACAGAGGGAGGGAGGGAGGGAGAGAGGGAGCGCGTGCCTACACCCGCCTGAACCTGCAGCATGTGCCCTTGCTCTTGATACATAGTATCTTCTGGGATATGCGCCACAGGTAGTCGTCCTGAGGTTGGAGGGAGGCGGAAGGCGAGGCGAGGGGTAAACACCGGGGGAGAGTGAGTGGGTGGTGCTGAGGGCTGGGAGGCAGAAAGCTGATCCGCCTTGCAGCCTGCAGCATGTGGCCCTTGCTTGCTCCTGATTTGATGTCCAGCATCGTCTGGAATATGCGCCACAGGTAATCGTCCTGAGGGCACATTGGGGGAGAGCGAGTGGGGATGAAGGCTGAACGCGAGCAGAGGGAGGGAGGGAGGGAGGGAGGGAGGGAGGGAGGGAGTGAGGGACAGAGGGAGGGAGGGAGGGAGAGAGGGAGCGCGTGCCTACACCCGCCTGAACCTGCAGCATGTGCCCTTGCTCTTGATACATAGTATCTTCTGGGATATGCGCCACAGGTAGTCGTCCTGAGGTTGGAGGGAGGCGGAAGGCGAGGCGAGGGGTAAACACCGGGGGAGAGTGAGTGGGTGGTGCTGAGGGCTGGGAGGCAGAAAGCTGATCCGCCTTGCAGCCTGCAGCATGTGGCCCTTGCTTGCTCCTGATTTGATGTCCAGCATCGTCTGGAATATGCGCCACAGGTAATCGTCCTGAGGGCACATTGGGGGAGAGCGAGTGGGGATGAAGGCTGAACGCGAGCAGAGGGAGGGAGGGATGGAGGGAGGGAGGGAGGGAGGGAGGGAGGGAGGGAGGGAGTGAGGGACAGAGGGAGGGAGGGAGGGAGAGAGGGAGCGCGTGCCTACACCCGCCTGAACCTGCAGCATGTGCCCTTGCTCTTGATACATAGTATCTTCTGGGATATGCGCCACAGGTAGTCGTCCTGAGGTTGGAGGGAGGCGGAAGGCGAGGCGAGGGGTAAACACCGGGGGAGAGTGAGTGGGTGGTGCTGAGGGCTGGGAGGCAGAAAGCTGATCCGCCTTGCAGCCTGCAGCATGTGGCCCTTGCTTGCTCCTGATTTGATGTCCAGCATCGTCTGGAATATGCGCAACAGGTAATCGTCCTGAGGGCACATTGGGGGAGAGCGAGTGGGGATGAAGGCTGAACGCGAGCAGAGGGAGGGAGGGAGGGAGGGAGGGAGTGAGGGACAGAGGGAGGGAGGGAGGGAGAGAGGGAGCGCGTGCCTACACCCGCCTGAACCTGCAGCATGTGCCCTTGCTCTTGATACATAGTATCTTCTGGGATATGCGCCACAGGTAGTCGTCCTGAGGTTGGAGGGAGGCGGAAGGCGAGGCGAGGGGTAAACACCGGGGGAGAGTGAGTGGGTGGTGCTGAGGGCTGGGAGGCAGAAAGCTGATCCGCCTTGCAGCCTGCAGCATGTGGCCCTTGCTTGCTCCTGATTTGATGTCCAGCATCGTCTGGAATATGCGCCACAGGTAATCGTCCTGAGGGCACATTGGGGGGAGAGCGAGTGGGGATGAAGGCTGAACGCGAGCAGAGGGAGGGAGGGAGGGAGGGAGGGAGGGAGGGAGGGAGTGAGGGACAGAGGGAGGGAGGGAGGGAGAGAGGGAGCGCGTGCCTACACCCGCCTGAACCTGCAGCATGTGCCCTTGCTCTTGATACATAGTATCTTCTGGGATATGCGCCACAGGTAGTCGTCCTGAGGTTGGAGGGAGGCGGAAGGCGAGGCGAGGGGTAAACACCGGGGGAGAGTGAGTGGGTGGTGCTGAGGGCTGGGAGGCAGAAAGCTGATCCGCCTTGCAGCCTGCAGCATGTGGCCCTTGCTTGCTCCTGATTTGATGTCCAGCATCGTCTGGAATATGCGCCACAGGTAATCGTCCTGAGGGCACATTGGGGGAGAGCGAGTGGGGATGAAGGCTGAAAGCGAGGAGAGGGAGGGAGGGAGAGAGGGAGCTCGTGCCTGCACCCGCCGACTTTTGAGTCGACTCAAACGTCAGCTCGACTCAAAAGTCAGCTCGACTCAAAAGTCAGCTCGACTCAAAAGTCAGCTCGACTCAAAAGTCAGTTTGAGTCGACTCAAAAGGAGAGGGAGGGAGGGAGGGAGAGAGAGAGGGAGCTCGTGCCTACACTACACCCGCCTGAGCCTGCAGCATGTGCCCCTTGCTCTTGATATATAGCATCTTCTGGGATATGCGTCCTGAGGTCCGTGGGAAGGGGGCACATTGGGGGAACGTGAGGTCCACCAAACGGGGGAAGGGGGAAAGGAAAAGCGGGGACGGCGCTAGAGCTTCAAGACGAGCAGGAGGAGAGACGGGAAGAACGGAAGAGAATAAAACAAACAAACAAACAATCAATCAAACAAACAAACAAACAAACAAACAAACAAACAAACAAACAAACAAACAAACAAACAAGAAAGTGCCATGTAGCAAATCGACTACACTGTGCCCCTGTGGGTGGTGTGTACAAGTTGGTGGGTATGCACTAGGACTAGGTTGGTAGCATCTGAATCAGCAGCTCCTGTGCGCATGTGGGTACTCTGTCTGCATGTGCTGTACTATCCGAGTGTGTGGGTAGGCACTCAGTGGCATGGCATGGCAGCAGCATCCAAATCGCTGCACGCACCATTGTGCATTGCCAGGCCGCGCCTGATTCATGCGCACTGAGTTGACTTTTGAGTCGACTCAAAAGTAAAATCCAAATCGCTGCACGCACCATTGTGCAGTGCCAGGCCGCAACTGATTCATGTGACATATCTCCCAGTGAGCAGCAGTGCTTAGGATCAGCAGCAGTGTGTGATGAGCCGCTTTTTTAGTCGACTCAAAAAGCACCATTGTGCATTGCCAGGCCGCACCCGATTCATGGGCACTGAGAAAATCATCTGCTGTGTGACCAATTTTGAGTCGAATGAAAGCGTTGCTTGCTCGCACCTGATTGGTGGCCGTTGCTCGCTCGCACCTGATTGGTGGCCGTTGCTCGCTCGCACCTGATTGGTGGCCGTTGAGAAGATCTTTTGCTCAAACGATGCAGCAACGCGGTGCAGCTCATTCATGTCGGGCGCTGATGTGAACTTCTGTAGACTCTCCATTCTGCACAGTGTGGTGGGCGGCGGAGGGGGAGAGAGAAAGAGGGAGAACGAGAGCTGCTTTCGTCTTGAGTCGACTCAGAAAAAAGCAGATCGTTCATGTCGGGAGCTGATGTGAACTTCTGTAGACTCTCCATTCTGCTCGCACGGGAGAGGGAGAGGGAGAGGGTTAGGGTTAGTCAGATCGGGCAGGGTGCGGCTCAGTAGGGCGGGCGAGGAACAGCACAAAGCTGGATAGGGTTAGTAAGATGGGGCACAGTGCTGCTTGAACGATGCAGCCACACGTTGCAGCTCGTTCAGGTCAGGAGCCGATGTGAACTTCTGCATACTCTCCATTCTGCATGCGTGGTGGAGGGGAAGAGAGAGGGAGAGAGAGGGGAGAGAGAGAGATGGTAGAACTCGGAGTTGAGAGAGGCAATACAAAGTCACTCTGTCCACGGTTGTCGTGGGTTTTTAAGAGACTCTTTCGTCCCACTCTGCACACAAACAAGAATTCTTAGTCTTAGTGGAATAGCAGCAAAGCGGATGACAACACAACACACCACGGTGGGTGAGTTGCTGCATATCTGATGACGCCATAATCTAATAACAGGACATATGATGACGTCATAGCGGATAGCAGCGAATCTGATGACGGCAGAGTCAAATGACAGCGGAATCTGATGACGTCATGGCGGATGTCAGGAAATCTGATGACAGCAGAGCCTGATGACGTCATAGTGGACTCTGCGGCTATTCCACATGCGAGCTGGGTCTCCGAATGGCTCTCTCCGTTCTGCACGCACATGACAATCCATGCTTGCTACAACAGCGAACCTATAGTGCAATATCAGCGAACCTGATGACGTCATGGTGAAAAGGTCCTACAATCGCTTCACAAAAATCGGCGCGCCAGAAAGCAAACGCACATTCGCTTCACCAGAATTTGCCGCTTCTCCCGCGGGAGGCGCGTGCGCCAGTCAGGCTCCGCCGGTGCTGCTTGCTGGCGCATGCCGCCGCCGCCACCTCCGCCGGCGCCGCTCCAGTCGCTTTCCATGCTGGCTCGTTGCTAACGACGCGCCTTTACTAGGGTCGGCTCAGAATCGAAGTACTAACGACTTGGTTCAAAATCCTCCGCTAACGACGTGCAACAATAGACAGCCGCGCGTAAGCCAGTTCAAAGCAATTCGAAGCAACCCAACTGAAAGCTGCGAGCAGGAAGGCCGACGCGAAACTCAGAAGCCCCTGCAGACGGATAACTGTGCTTGCAATGTCGAGGACGACTTGGAGATTACTATATGGCGGATCAAGCTTCGTGTGATTCACGATTTATGTGCACACTGTGTTGCGTTATCAAGGCTGGTGAGTGGAGTGATTGATTGAAAGCGGTGAAACGAACAAAGCGTTTCAGAGGCGGTGTTCTGTTGCCGCACCACCTAATTTGTGGGCGGAAAGGACAGCACCGCATCACATGGTGCGGCATCAGGCTTCCGCGAATCATCAAACCCCCATGTTGGTGCAACACAGCCTCCTGCCACCCTCCGCGCAACTGCAGGGGTTTCTATCGGAGCGCGGACTCAGGGACAGCACAAGTAGTCCTGTGCAGGGATTGGTTGGCGAAAGTTGTTGTAGTGGCGAGGAGGGTGGCAGGAATATTTTGTTTTTTTCCATTTCAGACCGAGAAACCATCTCTCGCGATGGCAATTGGATGGTTGAATGCCCTGAAAGCAAAGGGGCCAACCAGGACAACGAAGAACGTTGATCCCTGCCCTGAACCATTTGGTGCGGTCCCTGGATCCCCCCTCTGACCCTGAACCAGGGCCGCACCAGTCCCGCACCCATTTTGCCTGGGAGTGGGGGATTGCGAGTGCGTCACTGGTTCACCGTTCTTTTGGGCAATGATGGGCGGACTGCACTGCACAGCACTCACTAGGTCCGGGAAGGGGTTCAGTTTCCCGAGCCTGGTAGCAAGGAATACACCCTCGGAAACAAGGCTTCTAGGGTCTCCGGTAGAACGCCGCACGAAGCATCAAATGGTGCTGTGCGGGGGGGGCGCACCAAATAGTGCGGCAACAGAACAGGGCCATAGGGTGCATAAAATTTGATTGCACTCAACCTAGCCATTGGTGTGGTGCAACTCCTTGAAGCAACTCCTTGAAGCAACTCAACTTCCCTGCACTACACATGCATCCTTGGTTTGGGATCATCGGAGACTCGGAGGGACCAGTTTCGGTTCGGACCAGCCTCGGACCAAAATTGTGAGACCAGTGTCGAGCAGCTCGGACCAGGCCCCAAGCCAGCCAGTGACTTTTCTAGCTGATCTCCGTTTCTGCTGATGATTACATGACAACACAATGGGCAATGTGCAATTATCATTGATGTCACATATTTCTATGCAGACAATAGTGAAAATGCTGATGATTAAACAAAAATCAGAATTTTGTTTCAGATTCGCCCAATTTTACAGTAAGCCTAGCTCAATTGCCTGAATAAAACAAATATCCACTATCCTACCGTCTGAGAAATCAGACAGGCAAAAAAACTAGGGATGGTACTCCACCACCACACAATTAAACTACAGTTGACAGCATATACAACAGTCCAAACCAAAAGGACCGTGAAGAAATCAAACCAATCCTGTATTGATGACTCCCCACTCCATATTGAACCCTATTTTTGTTCACACATCTGCTTTAACTCATATTGTCCACCATGCTACGTCCGCCTCAATTCTCCTTGAACCGACTCGTCCTCTGAAGCTGCATCAGGTTGGATATGCCCTCCCCCACACCCCTCCACTACAGGACGCATCATCCCACCCTCACCCTCCTCTTCCTCCTCCTCGTCCCACTCACTCCCCTCCTCCACCACCCTACATCCCCCTCTCAACCTCTCCATATAATCCCCCCCAGCATACACCCCTCCTCCGTTCCTGGTCTCTCTATAAAGCTCCCCACCACCGGCAAAACCACCGCTGGCTACATCATCACTGCCGATATAATCCCCTGATGCAGCACCCCCGCCTTCATAGTACCCTGGCTGCCCTGCTTGCATGTGCACGCCCCCTGCGCCATGGAGAGGCATGTCACGTGAATCGGCGTAACCGCCCGGTTGGTAACCGTCTGCTTGCTCGCCACTCATCAGGCTCTCAAGATTATGCGACCTTGAGTGCAAGTAAGTGTGTAGGGAGGGGGGGGGAGAGGAGAAGTGGGGGGGAGGGAGTGAATAAGGGGTAACCTCTGATGAGGCATTCCGGAAGCAAGCAACGCAAGGCAAGAACCTCCCCCCTCAATCCGTCAGACAGGGCCAACAGCAACACCCACTCTCTCCTTTGCAGCTGGTGTTCCAGCCACTCGGCAATCATGGAGCGCCTTGCTGTCTAGCCTGGTGACTTTTGAGTCGACTCAAAAGTCACCTCTCTCCTTGGCAGCTGGTGTTCCAGCCACTCGGCAATCATGGAGCGCCTTGCTGTCTAGCCTGGTACGGAAACCCAGAAGCAAGAAAAGGCAAGCACAAACGGATATCCTGCCAGCAAAATTGAAAGATACTCACTCTCTCCGTTGCAGCCGGTGCTCCAGCCACTCGGCAATCATGGATCGCACGGCAATGTTGTCTGTCAGCGCCTTGCTTTCCAACCGCCGGCCAGTCTTGGGCGAGGTGGAGTGCACGCGCAGCCACTGCTCTATGGCCTCCCTCTCGTACGTGTGCCCATCCGCTGCCAGTACTGGATTCTCCATGATGCCCTGCCAGGGAACGGGTAGGGGGGGGAGGGGGGGGTGGAGGAGAAGAAAGGGGAGGGAGAGAGAGGGGCCGATGGGAAGGAGGGTGAGACAGGCACACATCTCTGGCGGCGTGGTGTGCGGTGTGGGGGGTTGAGAATGGGCGGCCTGTCTTGGGCGAGGTGGTGTGCACGCGCAGCCACTGCTCTATGGCCTCCCTCTCGTACGTGTGCCCATCCGCTGCCAGTACTGGATTCTCCATTATAACCTGGTGGGAGTGAGAAGAGAAGAAAGGGAGAGGGGAGAGGGGAGAGGGAAGAGGGGAGAGGGGGGAGGGGAGAGGGGAGAGGGGACGGAAAGAAGACGTGTGCCCATCTGCTGCCTGCACCGGGTTCTCCATTATGCCCTGATGGGAGAGAGAAGAGAAGAAGGGGAGAGAGGGGAGAGGATGGGGTATGGGCAGAGGATGGGGGGGTATGGGGGGAGGATGGGCGGGGGGATGTGGGGAGCATGGGGAGAGGATGGGGGAGGATGGGGGAGGATGGGGGGAGGATGGGGTAAGGATGGGGGAGGATGCGGGAAGGATAGGGGGAGAATGGGGGAATGATGGGGGGAGATGGAGGAAGGATGAGGTCTCTAAGGGTCTGTCCATCATGCCCTGACCCCTCCAATCGCATTGATGAAATGCGGCATACAAATACCCTAAACCCTAAACCATGGTGATGCGGCATACAAATACCCTAAACCCTAAACCATGGTGATGCGGCATACAAATACCCTAATCCCTAAACCATGGTGATGCGGCATACAAATACCAGACCATGGTGATGAGATGAGACACCGATGCAGATGCACGCACCATGGTGATGGGGCATCGGAACTCGATGGGAACAGAGTCCCCGTAGTCACATGCATGCATGCATGTACCGTGGTGTTGCTGATGGGTACCACAGTGACAGGGAACCAATGCAGGTGCACCGAGCATGCACGCACGTACCATAGTAATTGGGCATCGGAACTCGATGGGAACAGAGTCCCCGTAGTCACATGCATGCATGCATGTACCGTGGTGTTGCTGATGGGTACCACAGTGACAGGGAACCAATGCAGGTGCACCGAGCATGCACGCACGTACCATAGTAATTGGGCATCGGAACTCGTTGGGAACAGAGTCCCCGTAGTCACATGCATGCATGCATGTACCGTGGTGTTGCTGATGGGTACCACAGTGACAGGGAACCAATGCAGGTGCACCGAGCATGCACGCACGTACCATAGTAATTGGGCATCGGAACTCGTTGGGAACAGAGTCCCCGTAGTCACATGCATGCATGCATGTACCGTGGTGTTGCTGATGGGTACCACAGTGACAGGGAACCAATGCAGGTGCACCGAGCATGCACGCACGTACCATAGTAATTGGGCATCGGAACTCGTTGGGAACAGAGTCCCCGTAGTCACATGCATGCATGCATGTACCGTGGTGTTGCTGATGGGTACCACAGTGACAGGGAACCAATGCAGGTGCACCGAGCATGCACGCACGTACCATAGTAATTGGGCATCGGAACTCGTTGGGAACAGAGTCCCCGTAGTCACATGCATGCATGCATGTACCGTGGTGTTGCTGATGGGTACCACAGTGACAGGGAACCAATGCAGGTGCACCGAGCATGCACGCACGTACCATAGTAATTGGGCATCGGAACTCGTTGGGAACAGAGTCCCCGTAGTCACATGCATGCATGCATGTACCGTGGTGTTGCTGATGGGTACCACAGTGACAGGGAACCAATGCAGGTGCACCGAGCATGCACGCACGTACCATAGTAATTGGGCATCGGAACTCGTTGGGAACAGAGTCCCCGTAGTCACATGCATGCATGCATGTACCGTGGTGTTGCTGATGGGTACCACAGTGACAGGGAACCAATGCAGGTGCACCGAGCATGCACGCACGTACCATAGTAATTGGGCATCGGAACTCGTTGGGAACAGAGTCCCCGTAGTCACATGCATGCATGCATGTACCGTGGTGTTGCTGATGGGTACCACAGTGACAGGGAACCAATGCAGGTGCACCGAGCATGCACGCACGTACCATAGTAATTGGGCATCGGAACTCGTTGGGAACAGAGTCCCCGTAGTCACATGCATGCATGCATGTACCGTGGTGTTGCTGATGGGTACCACAGTGACAGGGAACCAATGCAGGTGCACCGAGCATGCACGCACGTACCATAGTAATTGGGCATCTGAACTCGTTGGGAACAGAGTCCCCGTAGTCACATGCATGCATGCATGAACCGTGGTGTTGCTGATGGGTACCACAGTGACAGGGAACCAATGCAGGTGCACCGAGCATGCACGCACGTACCATAGTAATTGGGCATCTGAACTCGTTGGGAACAGAGTCCCCGTAGTCACATGCATGCATGCATGTACCGTGGTGTTGCTGATGGGTACCACAGTGACAGGGAACCAATGCAGGTGCACCGAGCATGCACGCACGTACCATAGTAATTGGGCATCTGAACTCGTTCGGAACAAAGTCCCGGTAGTCATCCATGCGGTCCGCCCTCTCCAGCGCCACTGCTGCATCCACGTAGGGGCGTAACTCGTCCACCACCACCATCACCTGCAAGTTGTGGGAGAGTGGAGAAGGATGAAGGGATGGGATGGGATGGGGTCAGGTCCGCCCTCTCCAGCGCCACTGCTGCATCCACGTATGGGCGTAGCTCATCCACCACCACCATCACCTGGTGGCAGGGGAAAGGGGGAGTGGAGTGAGATGGGGAGGGGTGGAATGAGGTCAGGTCCGCCCTCTCCAGCGCCACTGCAGCGTCCACATATGGGCACAGCTCGTCCACCACTGCCATCACCTGCACGCACAGAGAATGAGTGAGGGAGTGGAGAAAGGATGAAGGCGTGAAGGGATAAAGGGATGAGGGCAGGTCAGCACGTGTCTATCAGCACTGCAGCATCCACGTACGGGCGTAGCTCATCCACCACCAACATCACCTGCACGCACAGGTGGTCGGATGGGGCAGGAAAGTGGAGTGAGATGGGGAGGGATGGAATGAGGTCAGGTCCGCCCTCTCCAGCGCCACTGCAGCATCCACGTATGGGCGCAGCTCGTCCACCACCATCACCTGGAGTGGGGGAGTGGAGAGAGATTGGGAGGGGTGGAATGAGGCCAGTCAGGTCAGCACATGCCTGTCAGCACTGCAGCATGCACGTACGTACGGTCGCAGCTACTCCGCCACCACCATCACCTGGACGCCCAGAGAGAATAAGGTGGACAGGTGGAGAGAGATTGGGAGGGGTGGAATGAGGCCAGTCAGGTCAGCACATGCCTGTCAGCACTGCAGCATGCACGTACGTACGGTCGCAGCTACTCCGCCACCACCATCACCTGGACGCCCAGAGAGAATAAGGTGGACAGGTGGAGAGAGATTGGGAGGGGTGGAATGAGGCCAGTCAGGTCAGCACATGCCTGTCAGCACTGCAGCATGCACGTACGTACGGTCGCAGCTACTCCGCCACCACCATCACCTGGACGCCCAGAGAGAATAAGGTGGACAGGTGGAGAGAGATTGGGAGGGGTGGAATGAGGCCAGTCAGGTCAGCACATGCCTGTCAGCACTGCCGCATGCACGTACGTACGGTCGCAGCTACTCCGCCACCACCATCACCTGGACGCCCAGAGAGAATAAGGTGGACAGGTAGAGAGAGATTGGGAGGGGTGGAATGAGGCCAGTCAGGTCAGCACATGCCTGTCAGCACTGCAGCATGCACGTACGTACGGTCGCAGCTACTCCGCCACCACCATCACCTGGACGCCCAGAGAGAATAAGGTGGACAGGTGGAGAGAGATTGGGAGGGGTGGAATGAGGCCAGTCAGGTCAGCACATGCCTGTCAGCACTGCAGCATGCACGTACGTACGGTCGCAGCTACTCCGCCACCACCATCACCTGGACGCCCAGAGAGAATAAGGTGGACAGGTGGAGAGAGATTGGGAGGGGTGGAATGAGGCCAGTCAGGTCAGCACATGCCTGTCAGCACTGCCGCATGCACGTACGTACGGTCGCAGCTACTCCGCCACCACCATCACCTGGACGCCCAGAGAGAATAAGGTGGACAGGTGGAGAGAGATTGGGAGGGGTGGAATGAGGCCAGTCAGGTCAGCACATGCCTGTCAGCACTGCAGCATGCACGTACGTACGGTCGCAGCTACTCCGCCACCACCATCACCTGGACGCCCAGAGAGAATAAGGTGGACAGGTGGAGAGAGATTGGGAGGGGTGGAATGAGGCCAGTCAGGTCAGCACATGCCTGTCAGCACTGCCGCATGCACGTACGTACGGTCGCAGCTACTCCGCCACCACCATCACCTGGACGCCCAGAGAGAATAAGGTGGACAGGTGGAGAGAGATTGGGAGGGGTGGAATGAGGCCAGTCAGGTCAGCACATGCCTGTCAGCACTGCAGCATGCACGTACGTACGGTCGCAGCTACTCCGCCACCACCATCACCTGGACGCCCAGAGAGAATAAGGTGGACAGGTGGAGAGAGATTGGGAGGGGTGGAATGAGGCCAGTCAGGTCAGCACATGCCTGTCAGCACTGCAGCATGCACGTACGTACGGTCGCAGCTACTCCGCCACCACCATCACCTGGACGCCCAGAGAGAATAAGGTGGACAGGTGGAGAGAGATTGGGAGGGGTGGAATGAGGCCAGTCAGGTCAGCACATGCCTGTCAGCACTGCCGCATGCACGTACGTACGGTCGCAGCTACTCCGCCACCACCATCACCTGGACGCCCAGAGAGAATAAGGTGGACAGGTGGAGAGAGATTGGGAGGGGTGGAATGAGGCCAGTCAGGTCAGCACATGCCTGTCAGCACTGCAGCATGCACGTACGTACGGTCGCAGCTACTCCGCCACCACCATCACCTGGACGCCCAGAGAGAATAAGGTGGACAGGTGGAGAGAGATTGGGAGGGGTGGAATGAGGCCAGTCAGGTCAGCACATGCCTGTCAGCACTGCCGCATGCACGTACGTACGGTCGCAGCTACTCCGCCACCACCATCACCTGGACGCCCAGAGAGAATAAGGTGGACAGGTGGAGAGAGATTGGGAGGGGTGGAATGAGGCCAGTCAGGTCAGCACATGCCTGTCAGCACTGCAGCATGCACGTACGTACGGTTGCAGCTACTCCGCCACCACCATCACCTGGACGCCCAGAGAGAATAAGGTGGACAGGTGGAGAGAGATTGGGAGGGGTGGAATGAGGCCAGTCAGGTCAGCACATGCCTGTCAGCACTGCAGCATGCACGTACGTACGGTCGCAGCTACTCCGCCACCACCATCACCTGGACGCCCAGAGAGAATAAGGTGGACAGGTGGAGAGAGATTGGGAGGGGTGGAATGAGGCCAGTCAGGTCAGCACATGCCTGTCAGCACTGCAGCATGCACGTACGTACGGTCGCAGCTACTCCGCCACCACCATCACCTGGACGCCCAGAGAGAATAAGGTGGACAGGTGGAGAGAGATTGGGAGGGGTGGAATGAGGCCAGTCAGGTCAGCACATGCCTGTCAGCACTGCAGCATGCACGTACGTACGGTCGCAGCTACTCCGCCACCACCATCACCTGGACGCCCAGAGAGAATAAGGTGGACAGGTGGAGAGAGATTGGGAGGGGTGGAATGAGGCCAGTCAGGTCAGCACATGCCTGTCAGCACTGCAGCATGCACGTACGTACGGTCGCAGCTACTCCGCCACCACCATCACCTGGACGCCCAGAGAGAATAAGGTGGACAGGTGGAGAGAGATTGGGAGGGGTGGAATGAGGCCAGTCGGGTCAGCACATGCCTGTCAGCACTGCAGCATGCACGTACGTACGGTCGCAGCTACTCCGCCACCACCATCACCTGGACGCCCAGAGAGAATAAGGTGGACAGGTGGAGAGAGATTGGGAGGGGTGGAATGAGGCCAGTCAGGTCAGCACATGCCTGTCAGCACTGCAGCATGCACGTACGTACGGTCGCAGCTACTCCGCCACCACCATCACCTGGACGCCCAGAGAGAATAAGGTGGACAGGTGGAGAGAGATTGGGAGGGGTGGAATGAGGCCAGTCAGGTCAGCACATGCCTGTCAGCACTGCCGCATGCACGTACGTACGGTCGCAGCTACTCCGCCACCACCATCACCTGGACGCCCAGAGAGAATAAGGTGGACAGGTAGAGAGAGATTGGGAGGGGTGGAATGAGGCCAGTCAGGTCAGCACATGCCTGTCAGCACTGCAGCATGCACGTACGTACGGTCGCAGCTACTCCGCCACCACCATCACCTGGACGCCCAGAGAGAATAAGGTGGACAGGTGGAGAGAGATTGGGAGGGGTGGAATGAGGCCAGTCAGGTCAGCACATGCCTGTCAGCACTGCAGCATGCACGTACGTACGGTCGCAGCTACTCCGCCACCACCATCACCTGGACGCCCAGAGAGAATAAGGTGGACAGGTGGAGAGAGATTGGGAGGGGTGGAATGAGGCCAGTCAGGTCAGCACATGCCTGTCAGCACTGCAGCATGCACGGACGTACGGTCGCAGCTACTCCGCCACCACCATCACCTGGACGCCCAGAGAGAATAAGGTGGACAGGTGGAGAGAGATTGGGAGGGGTGGAATGAGGCCAGTCAGGTCAGCACATGCCTGTCAGCACTGCAGCATGCACGTACGTACGGTCGCAGCTACTCCGCCACCACCATCACCTGGACGCCCAGAGAGAATAAGGTGGACAGGTGGAGAGAGATTGGGAGGGGTGGAATGAGGCCAGTCAGGTCAGCACATGCCTGTCAGCACTGCAGCATGCACGTACGTACGGTCGCAGCTACTCCGCCACCACCATCACCTGGACGCCCAGAGAGAATAAGGTGGACAGGTGGAGAGAGATTGGGAGGGGTGGAATGAGGCCAGTCAGGTCAGCACATGCCTGTCAGCACTGCAGCATGCACGTACGTACGGTTGCAGCTACTCCGCCACCACCATCACCTGGACGCCCAGAGAGAATAAGGTGGACAGGTGGAGAGAGATTGGGAGGGGTGGAATGAGGCCAGTCAGGTCAGCACATGCCTGTCAGCACTGCAGCATGCACGTACGTACGGTCGCAGCTACTCCGCCACCACCATCACCTGGACGCCCAGAGAGAATAAGGTGGACAGGTGGAGAGAGATTGGGAGGGGTGGAATGAGGCCAGTCAGGTCAGCACATGCCTGTCAGCACTGCAGCATGCACGTACGTACGGTCGCAGCTACTCCGCCACCACCATCACCTGGACGCCCAGAGAGAATAAGGTGGACAGGTGGAGAGAGATTGGGAGGGGTGGAATGAGGCCAGTCAGGTCAGCACATGCCTGTCAGCACTGCAGCATGCACGTACGTACGGTCGCAGCTACTCCGCCACCACCATCACCTGGACGCCCAGAGAGAATAAGGTGGACAGGTGGAGAGAGATTGGGAGGGGTGGAATGAGGCCAGTCAGGTCAGCACATGCCTGTCAGCACTGCAGCATGCACGTACGTACGGTCGCAGCTACTCCGCCACCACCATCACCTGGACGCCCAGAGAGAATAAGGTGGACAGGTGGAGAGAGATTGGGAGGGGTGGAATGAGGCCAGTCAGGTCAGCACATGCCTGTCAGCACTGCAGCATGCACGTACGTACGGTCGCAGCTACTCCGCCACCACCATCACCTGGACGCCCAGAGAGAATAAGGTGGACAGGTGGAGAGAGATTGGGAGGGGTGGAATGAGGCCAGTCAGGTCAGCACATGCCTGTCAGCACTGCAGCATGCACGTACGTACGGTCGCAGCTACTCCGCCACCACCATCACCTGGACGCCCAGAGAGAATAAGGTGGACAGGTGGAGAGAGATTGGGAGGGGTGGAATGAGGCCAGTCAGGTCAGCACATGCCTGTCAGCACTGCCGCATGCACGTACGTACGGTCGCAGCTACTCCGCCACCACCATCACCTGGACGCCCAGAGAGAATAAGGTGGACAGGTAGAGAGAGATTGGGAGGGGTGGAATGAGGCCAGTCAGGTCAGCACATGCCTGTCAGCACTGCAGCATGCACGTACGTACGGTCGCAGCTACTCCGCCACCACCATCACCTGGACGCCCAGAGAGAATAAGGTGGACAGGTGGAGAGAGATTGGGAGGGGTGGAATGAGGCCAGTCAGGTCAGCACATGCCTGTCAGCACTGCAGCATGCACGTACGTACGGTCGCAGCTACTCCGCCACCACCATCACCTGGACGCCCAGAGAGAATAAGGTGGACAGGTGGAGAGAGATTGGGAGGGGTGGAATGAGGCCAGTCAGGTCAGCACATGCCTGTCAGCACTGCAGCATGCACGGACGTACGGTCGCAGCTACTCCGCCACCACCATCACCTGGACGCCCAGAGAGAATAAGGTGGACAGGTGGAGAGAGATTGGGAGGGGTGGAATGAGGCCAGTCAGGTCAGCACATGCCTGTCAGCACTGCAGCATGCACGTACGTACGGTCGCAGCTACTCCGCCACCACCATCACCTGGACGCCCAGAGAGAATAAGGTGGACAGGTGGAGAGAGATTGGGAGGGGTGGAATGAGGCCAGTCAGGTCAGCACATGCCTGTCAGCACTGCAGCATGCACGTACGTACGGTCGCAGCTACTCCGCCACCACCATCACCTGGACGCCCAGAGAGAATAAGGTGGACAGGTGGAGAGAGATTGGGAGGGGTGGAATGAGGCCAGTCGGGTCAGCACATGCCTGTCAGCACTGCAGCATGCACGTACGTACGGTCGCAGCTACTCCGCCACCACCATCACCTGGACGCCCAGAGAGAATAAGGTGGACAGGTGGAGAGAGATTGGGAGGGGTGGAATGAGGCCAGTCAGGTCAGCACATGCCTGTCAGCACTGCAGCATGCACGTACGTACGGTCGCAGCTACTCCGCCACCACCATCACCTGGACGCCCAGAGAGAATAAGGTGGACAGGTGGAGAGAGATTGGGAGGGGTGGAATGAGGCCAGTCAGGTCAGCACATGCCTGTCAGCACTGCCGCATGCACGTACGTACGGTCGCAGCTACTCCGCCACCACCATCACCTGGACGCCCAGAGAGAATAAGGTGGACAGGTGGAGAGAGATTGGGAGGGGTGGAATGAGGCCAGTCAGGTCAGCACATGCCTGTCAGCACTGCAGCATGCACGTACGTACGGTCGCAGCTACTCCGCCACCACCATCACCTGGACGCCCAGAGAGAATAAGGTGGACAGGTGGAGAGAGATTGGGAGGGGTGGAATGAGGCCAGTCAGGTCAGCACATGCCTGTCAGCACTGCAGCATGCACGTACGTACGGTCGCAGCTACTCCGCCACCACCATCACCTGGACGCCCAGAGAGAATAAGGTGGACAGGTGGAGAGAGATTGGGAGGGGTGGAATGAGGCCAGTCAGGTCAGCACATGCCTGTCAGCACTGCAGCATGCACGTACGTAAGGTCGCAGCTACTCCGCCACCACCATCACCTGGACGCCCAGACAAGTGTTTTTTGAGAATTCTCAAAAAACACTCGCTGAGAATTCTCAAAACACACTCGCTGAGAATTCTCAAAACACACTCGCTGAGAATTCTCAAAAAACACTCGCAGATCATCCACCACCACCATCCCCTGGACGCCCAGACAAGGAGAGGGGAACGGGGAATGATGAAGGGATGCATGCGGACAGCACGTGTCTGTCAGCCCTGCAGCATCCGCATATGGGCGCACCTCGTCCACCACCATCACCTGGGGGAGTGGAAAGGCGTGGAAAGGCGTGGAAAGGAGTGGAAAGGCGTGGAAAGGAGTGGAAAGGCGTGGAAAGGCGTGGAAAGGCGTGGAAAGGCGTGGAAAGGCGTGGACGAGGGGAGAGAGATGGAAGGAATGATGAGATGAAAGGATAAGGTCAGGTCACCTCATCCACCCTCCCCCCCACCACAACCAACCCCCCCACCACCATTACCACCACAACCACCACCCCCTGCACCATCACCACCCCCACCCCCACCACCATCACTCCCATCACAATCACATCCCCACTGCCATCATCACCTGCTTGCTCAGGTCCGGCCGTGATGCACGAAGGTGAGGTCCCAGGGGTCCTCATCCCCATCGCCCCCCTTCATCCCCACCACCGTCACCATCCCCACCACCCCCACTGCCATCATCACCTGCTTGCTCAGGTGACTTTTGAGTCGACTCAAAAGCCACCACCACCACCGCCACCCCCAACACCACAAACACCCACCACCACCGCCACCCCTACCATCCCCACCACCACCACCACCGCCACCCCCACCACCACAAACACCCACCACCACCGCCACCCCTACCATCCCCACCACCACCACCACCGCCACCCCTACCATCCCCACCACCACCACCACCGCCACCCCTACCATCCCCACCACCACCACCACCGCCACCCCCACCACCACAAACACCCACCACCACCGCCACCCCTACCATCCCCACCACCCCCACAGCCATCATCACCTGCTTGCTCAGGTCCGGCCGAGCCTTCCTCTTGTAATGCGCCATCTGCCGCACCAGCTGCACCAACCGCAGCGCGACACGTGGCGGCCAGCACCCAGCCGACGGATCCAGCAGCTCACCCAGCGCCTCCATATCCCCGCCCTCCTCACACTCCTCCAACGCCTCCAACTCCCTGTCCCTCTTGCCCCGCTCCCCCGACGTCTCGTTGATGCCGATCAGCATGTCGAGCATGACCATGCCGAGGGAATACACGTCGGACTCGCGCGAGAACTGGCCGGTGCGGAGGAAGTGCGGGTCGACGTAGCCGAAGGTGCCGACGGCCATGGACTGCTGCATGAAGGAGCGGCCGTTGTCCATGCCGACTAAGAAGCGCGCCAGGCCGACATCTCCTAGCTTGGCGACAAAGTTGTTGTCCAGGAGCACGTTGGCTGGCTTCAGGTCCAAGTGGACTATGGCGGGCACACTGGAGACACAAGGGAGGGGGGGGAGAGAGAGGAGGGGGTGGGGGAAACGGAGGGAGTGGGAGAGGAGGATGAGGGGGAAGAGGGAAGGGGTGGAATGGGGAAAACGAGGAGGGGCATGAGGCGTCTCAAGTGTTGAAGGTGCCGAATGGACTCTTTCAGGAAGCACTCAGCAGCAAGCATCCCGTAATAAGAATCAAGCATACGGAGATAGTTTCGACCTGGATCCAGCAGGTAACTCGTCCTAATCTTCTCTAGGCTGAGAGCGCTGATGAAGGCCACCGGCCGAAACGCGCGTACGCTCAGGTTTGAAAACTAGCATTTCTTACCTACTCAGTCCCATCTACCTTGCCCAACACTCAACCAAGAAACAAGAAATCCAGTGCGGCTCGTCATTGCCTCAAGTGTTGAAGGTGCCGACAGCCATGGACTCTTTCAGGAAGCACTCAGCAGCAAGCATCCCGTAATAAGAATCAAGCAGCTTGTCTGTAGCACAGCAGCAAGAATCACTAAGCAGCAAAGATTTCCTATCGATGCGTATAAAGGCCCTCGAATCTCAAATCTCGCCACTTGTGCAGGTGAAAGATCGCCTCGCCTTGCACGTGCTTTCAAAGGTGCAAGACCGAGGCGGGGAGGGGGCTCTCTAGCACACAGCTGCAAGACGCACTCATCCGCATTAAACATCCTATAGTCACGTTTCACCTGCACACCTGAAAGGGGAAAACCTCACCGGTTGTGCAGGTGGATGAGCGCCTTGCACATGTTCTCAAAGATCTCAAAGCGCACGTTCCACGGCAGGGGCGGGGAGGGGAGCATCTAGCCCACAACACTGCAGAAAGCATCATCTGAACGAGCATATAGCGGGGGAAGGGGGAGCTCAAATCTCACCGGTTGTGCAGGTGGATGAGCGCCTTGCACATGTTCTCAAAGATCTCAAACCGCACGTTCCACGGCAGGGGGGGGGACCCTCGGTCACAGAGCAACCGGTCGTAGAGCGAGCCCTGAGGCATGTACTCGTACACGAGGCAGGGCGGGTTGTGGCAGCACCCGATCAGCAGCACTATGGTGGGGTGCCTCAGCCCCCTCTGCACCTCCACCTGTTGGGAGAGGGGAATGCGCGTTCGGGGAGAGGAGGGGAGTCTGAGAGAGCCAACCAGCAAGCACGGGTCAGTTGGTAGGCACGTGGTTGATCCTGCTCCCAGAGCTGTGATGGCATAGCAGGAGGTCGCAGAGCAGGCGGTCGTAGAGTGAGCCCTGAGGCATGTACTCGTACACGAGGCAGGGCGGGTTGTGGCAGCACCCGATCAGCAGCACTATGGTGGGGTGCCGCAGCCCCCTCTGCACCTCCACCTGCGGGGGATTGGGAGGGGATGTGGGGAAGGGAGGGGAGGGCAGGGTTGGGGGCAAAGAGGGGTTTTCCAGAGATCCAGCCAGCACTTGTCAGTCGGTATCTGTGTGGTTGGTGTGTCTCAGGAGTCACAGTGGCTCAGCAAACAGGTAGAGCAGAGCGAGCCCTGTGGCATGGCATGTACTCGTACACGAGGCAGGGGGCATGGCATGGCATGTGCCCGTACACGAGGCATGGCATGGCATGGCATGTACCCGTACATGAGGCAGGGGGCATGGCATGGCATGGCATGTACCCGTACACGAGGCAGGGGGCATGGCATGGCATGTACCCGTACACGAGGCAGGGGGCATGGCATGGCATGTGCCCGTACACGAGGCATGGCATGTACACGTACACAGTGGCTCAGCAAGCAGGTAGAGCAGAGCAGAGCGAGCCCTGTGGCATGGCATGTACTCGTAAGTACACGAGGCACAGCAGGTTGCCCACAATCAGCAGCATGATGGTATGGTATGGTACGGTGTGCCCACCTCTATCTTCGGCTCACTAAGAAACCTCAGCACAGACAGACACTCACACAGTGCTGCAGGGAACACACCTCTTTTTGAACTCTTTAAGCGCCTGGTTGGTTTGGGCGTTTAGCACCTTCACAGCCACAGGGAAGTGCTGCAGCATGCCCTTTTACACTGACCCACTCCCAACTCATCTTTGAGGCGCCTTAAAAACTACCAGTACCCATTCTCCCAGCTCACCCAGACAACTCAACACTGGCACAGAAACATGTTCACACTGTGTAGGGAGCGCACCTCTTTCTTGAACTCCTTAAGAGCTTGATTAGTCTGGGCGTTCTTGAGCACCTTCACAGCCACAGGGAAGTGCTCCAACATGCCCTTGTATACCGACCCCTACCCTCCCTCTCCAGTCATACAGGCAACTCAACACTGGCACAGATAGATACTCACTCACACTGTGCAGGGCACGCACCTCTTTCTTGAACTCTTTAAGAGCCTGGTTGGTCTGGGCGTTCTTGAGCACCTTCACAGCCACAGGGAAGTGTTCCAGCATGCCCTTATACACCGACCCGTACCCGCCCTCCCCCACCAGATTCTCCTCACTGAATCCGTTACAAGCTGCCTCCAGTTCCTCTATAGTGTACTGCCGGAACTCCTGCTGCTTCTTCACCCCCCGTTCTAACGCATATTCCTCCTGCGCTTTCACCAGAGTGGCCGCAGCTGATGCTGCTGCCTCTGCCGCAGCCCTTTTAGCCTCGGCCGCCTCTTCTTTTGCCGCCGCTGCCCGTTTTGCCTCCTCCTCCGCCTGACGCTTAGCTAATTCCTTTTCCAGTTCGGCTTCTAAGCGCCGCTGGGATTCGGCTCGGGCGTTCTCCAGAGCCATCCGAGCCTCCTCCCGAGCCTCCCGAGCCTGCTGGTCGGCTCGTTCGGCAGCAAGCTGGGCTGCCCGAGCCTGCTCTTGCAGCCGAGCCAGTTCGGCTAGAAGCTCCGTGAAATCAAAGGGAGCTCCGCCAAAGCCGAACCCAGGAGGCATGCCGGGATATCCCATGCCTGGGTGTCCCATGCCTGGCATGCCATACCCACCTGCTGCTGCTGCTGCTGCTGCTGCAGAGGAGGCAGCAGCAGAAGAGGAGGCAGCAGAAGTAGAGGAAGCAGAGGTAGCAGAGTCGAGCATAGGGAAACCCCCACCCATTCCACCCATCCCTCCCATTCCACTCATCCCACCCATCATACCCGTTTGCCCCATAGGCATCCCCCGTCCTCCCATCATACCACCACCCATGCCCATGCCCATGCCCATGTAGGGGTTCATGTAAGGCCAGCCAAAAGGATTCATACCCATGCCCATTTGAGCTTGCATGTGCGCTGCCGCTGCTGCTGCTGCTGGGTCGCTGGGAGGAGGAGGAGGCGAAAGGGAAGCACCAAACCCAGGCTCGGAACCGGAGCTACTGCCCGCTCTACCAGCTGCCGCTCCTGCTGTTGCTGCTTCTCCTCCTGATGCTGCCCCTGCTGCTGCCCCTGCTCCTGCTACTCCTGCATCAGTCCCTACTCCTGCCACCAAAGGTACTGCTGGTGGTGGGTCAGTATGCGCTGCTGACTGCCTGCTGCTGCTGCTGCTGCAGCTGCTGCTGCTGAAGTTGGCAGTGCACGCGGGTCCGGGGACTGAGAAGCCAACCTTAGCAACAGCAGCAGCAGAGGGGGATGGGGCTGCGACCGGCACTGGGGCTGCTGCTGAAGGGGGAGCAGAGGGGGTGTCACTGGAAGTAACCCCGAGGGTGGAAACAGCCATTGCGGCATCTGCAGCGCTGCCAGGCATTGTGCTTGCCCTCCTCACCTGCTGCGGCTGCTGTGCCTGCTGCGTGTACTGCGCTGGCTGTGCGTGCTGTGCTTGCTGTGCGTGCTGTGCGTGCTGTGCTTGCTGTGCGTGCTGTGCGTGCTGTGCTTGCTGCGTCTGTTCCATTTGCTCTGTCTGCTGCTGCGTCTTCTGCTCCGCTCGGCTCTGCAGCAGCTGCTGCTGCTGCTGCTGCTGCAGGTGAAAGGCCAGCTGGGCCTGCTGGTGCATGCGAAACATGTCCATCTGATCCATCTGCTGCTGCCTCATCACCGCATGCACGTCCTGCTGCTGCCCCACCTGCAGCCCCACCTGTTGTCCCTGCCCCGCATGCTGCTCTCCCTGCTGCCTCTGCGGCTGCATCGCTGCCACTGCTGCCCCAATATCAGGCGAAACCCTCCCAGACCTCAAACTCGACTCGACCATCTGCTGCCTCTGCTGCTGTTGCTGCTGCTGCTGTTGTGCGGCCACTACGGCCCCAGCATCAGCTGCATCAAGAGCAGGGGACACCCTCCCTGGGATGGGCATAGGGGCGCCCATGCGGGTGGAGGGGTGGTGGCGGGAGGCAGTGAGAGCACCATACGCCCTGGGGTTGCCTCGACTGCCAACGCTGCCGCCGCTGCTGGTGCGCGTCACAGGGGCGCAATCTGGCACGTGGAATGCCCTTGCTGCTGCTGCCGTTGCTGCTCCTGCTGCTGCTGCTGCTCCTGATGCTGCTGTTCCTCCCGTTCCTGCTCCTCCCGTTGCTGTTGCTGCGCTTGAGAGACTGCTGGCATGAGAGCTGGCGTGCGGGATGGTGTGGCTGTTCGCGTGGTTGTTATTGCTGCTGCTGTCGTGAGCAGAGGGCTGCCCGCCCAAGGGGGACGGCTGGCGGGGAGGCCCGGGTGCAGAGTCCACCCTTGACAGAGGGTATTCCGCAGTGCTGCCTGTGCTGCTGCCGCCCACACTGCCATCTCTTGCCATCCCTGCAGCCGCAGCCGCAGCAGCCGCAGAAGCAGCGGCAGCAGCACCAGTGGTAATCCCGGCGCGTGTGTCAGCAGGAAATGCTCTTTCTGGAGAAACCATTCCTGCCTGCTTCCCTCCTGCCTGCTGCTGCTGCTGCTGCTGCTGCTGCTGCTGCTGCTGCTGCTGCTGCTGCTGCTGTTGCTGTTGCTGGTTGTGCTGCTGCTGCTGCTGCTGCTGGTTGTGCTGCTGCTGCTGCTGCTGCTGCTGCTGGTTGTGCTGCAGCTGTGTGTGCTGCGCCCTTAGCATCTGCCTGTACACATTCCAATGCGCCCCCTCCCCATGGCCGCCTGGTCCTCCCGAACCTGACCCCGAGTCTGTTCCCGAGCCTGGAAGCATCCCCTGGTTCGGGAAACCGCCTGCCGCAGCAGCACTAGTACCCATGGTGGTGGGGTTTGTGGTGAATCCGGGAAGGGAGGAAGAGCCAGGGCTATGGCTGTCAGCGGGGCTCGAGGAAAGGTGGGTGAGAGCAGGGGCACCAAGAGAGGAAGAAGCTGGAAAATTACCGCCCATGCCACCCATACCGCCCATGCCGGCCATACCGCCCATGCCGGCCATGCCAGCCATGCCGCCCATGCCGCCCATGCCGCCCATGCCACCCATGCCGCCACCGAATCCGCCCATGCTACCCATGCCGCCCATGCCGTTCATGCTGCCCATGCCGCCCATGCCGCCACCCATGCCGCTGCCCATGCCGCCGCCCATGCCGCCCATGCCGTTCATGGTGCCCATGCCGCCCATGCCATCCATGCCACTCAATCCACTCATGACACCCATTGCATTCATGCCACCAACGCCAGGCATACCACCCATGCCACCCATCCCTCCTAACCCATTCACATCGTCTCCCATTCCCCAGGGAGAAACAACACCAGCAGGGGAGACAGCAGCAGCAGCAGCAGCAGCAGAGTCACAGATACTGGTATAGGCGGAGCGGGAGGGCGGGGAGAGAGGAGGGCTCTGTGTGGGCGAGCTGAGCGCGCTAGACACCTGCGACGAGCCCCCTGCTGCAGCAGCAGCAGCAGCCGCAGCAGCGTCGGCATGAACAGCAGGGGTGCCATCCGACCCGTTACCACTGCCAGCCCGTGGCAGAAATCCCTGACCCTGCTGCTGCCCCTGCTGCTGACCCTGCTGCCCCTGCTGACCCTGCTGACCCTGCTGACCCTGCTGCCCTGTGAAGGCTTGCAGGGGCGCCTGAGCACGCTGCGTCTGCTGGGGAGGGTACTGGGGAGTCGGGGCGTGGATCTGTGAGGAGGGGTGCTGGGCTTGCTGGGGCGCCTGAGCCCACTGCGTCTGCTGCTGGAGAGGATACTGCGGGCCAGGAGCTTGGCCATATGGGGAGGGCCCGGAGGGGTGTGAGGGCTCGGCACGCTGGGCTTGCTGCTGGGGCAGCTGAGCCTGAGCCCACTGCGTCTGCTGGGGGGAAGGATACTGGGGCCCAGGAGCTTGGCCGTACTGGGAGGGGTGTGAGGAGTGCGAGGGATGGGAGGGGAGTGTGTGTGAGAGCTCGGCGCGCTGGGCTTGCTGCTGGGGGAGAGGAGGGTTGCTGTGGCGGGCGGAGCGGGCGGGCAGGTTGGGAGGGGGCCCGGCGGCGCCTGGCGCCTCTCTGATCTTGCGCCCCCCCTGCACGACAATGAGCGTGCATGTGTCTGGTAGGTGGCCGCTGCAGTAGTCAGGCACTTGGGACGACTTGCCAAAGAGCTTCCTGAGAGGGAAGGGAGAGAGGGGGAGAGAAGGTATGGGCGGGGGCGAGAGAGCGCGAGAGAGATGGGGTGACGTTTGTTAGAATTCTCTGCGGAGCGGGCGGGCAGGTTGGGAGGAGGGCCGGCGGCACCTGGCGCTTCTCTGATCTTGCGCCCCCCCTGCACGACAATGAGCGTGCATGTGTCTGGTAGGTGGCCGCTGCAGTAGTCAGGCACTTGGGACGACTTGCCAAAGAGCTTCCTGAGAGGGAAGGGAGAGAGGGGGAGAGAAGGTATGGGCGGGGGCGAGAGAGCGCAAGAGAGATGGGGTGACGTTTGTTAGAATTCTCTGCGGAGCGGGCGGGCAGGTTGGGAGGAGGGCCGGCGGCACCTGGCGCTTCTCTGATCTTGCGCCCCCCCTGAACCACAATGAGCGTGCAGGTGTCTGGTAGGTGGCCACTGCAGTAGTCAGGCATGTGGGACGACTTGCCAAAGAGCTTCCTGGGAGAAGGGAGAGTGAGAGAGGGGGTATGGGCGAGGGTGAATGAGCGTGAGAGAGGGTGATATTTGCCTTTTTCAAGAATTTCATGTCGGACACCTTACAAATAAGTTTTTGGGAACGAGATGGAGAGAGGATGTAGAGGCGGGTTGCCTGGAAGGAGGTTGCCACGTGTACCAGCCCCTCAATATGCTTTGATTCGACTCAAATCACACCTGAACCACACAGAACCACTCAGAACCGTTTTTGCACCGCTGGGTACCGTACGCACTTCTTGGAGCCGATGTAGAGGCGGGTTGCCTGGAAGGAGGTCGCCACGTGCACCAGCCCTTCCAGGTGTGCTTTAAGTCGACTCAAAACACACCTGAACCACACAGAACCACTCAGAACCGTTTTTGTACCGCTGGGTACCGTACGCACTTCTTGGAGCCGATGTAGAGGCGGGTTGCCTGGAAGGAGGTCGCCACGTGCACCAGCCCCTCCTCCCGCCTGTCATTCTTCTCCACATGCATGGCTGCTGGGATCTGCCATGGGGGGTGGATGTCATGGAGAATGCATGTCACGCCATGGCGAATGCATGTCACGCCATGGAGAACGCATGCCATGCCATGGAGAATGAATGTCACGCCATGGAGAACGCATGTCATGCCATGGAGAATGCATTGTGTAAGAAAGTCGCGCAACGACGCGCGTTATGAATTGAAATGTGACGCAACAGGGATGCATGCGCGTGGTGCTGCAGAAAGTGGCATGACAACATGTCCTGTCAAACAAGTCATGAATCTCATTTCTAATTACGTTACGTGACATCACGTCATGTCATGTCAACTCTACTTGTGAAGGACAAGGATGTTCAGAAATATGCTATTTTCTCTCTGCGGAATTTACAGAATTGTTAGACTCTAAAAAGCCGGGACGCTCACATGCTTGCGTTCGGAGAAGGACTTGAAGGGCACGAGGATGTCCTGGATTGGAAGATGCTGTTTTCCATCTGCTGCAATTTATATTTGTTAGGGTGGCTCGACTTGACGCTCACATGCTTGCGTTCGGAGAAGGACTTGAAATGCACGAGGATGTTTTGGGAGATGCTGTTTTCCATCTGCTGCAATTTAGACTTGTTAGGGTGGCTCGACTTGAAAAAAATGGGCGCTCAGCTCACATGCTTGCGCTCGGAGAAGGTCTTGAAGGGCACGAGAATGTTCTGAAAGATGTTGTTCTCGATCTGAGGAATCTACAGAATTGTCACAGCGGGCCAACTTTGAACAAATTGGGACTCACATGCTTGCGCTCGGAGAAGGTCTTGAAAGGCACGAGGATGTTTTAGGAGATGCTGCTGTTTTCCATCTGCTGCAATTTAGACTTGTTAGGGTGGCTCGACTTGAAAAAAATGGGACGCTCACATGCTTGCGCTCGGAGAAGGTCTTGAAGGGCACGAGAATGTTCTGGAAAATGCTGTTCTCCATCTGCTCTGCTCTGCTGCATCTACGAAATCGTTTAGAGTAATTCGAGATTGAAAAGCTCGGACGCTCACATGCTTGCGCTCGGAGAAGGTTTTGAAGGGCACGAGGATGTTCTGAAAGATGTTGTTCTCCATCTGCTGCAACGACCGCGCGTCCGCCTGCGATATCGGGAGCTCGCCACCCGCTGCGAGGAGTAGCACAGAGAGGACAGGCGTGAGGAAGATTAAGAGTTGGGTGGGGAAGGGAAGGTGGGGAGGGAAAGGGAAATTGTGGGCGGTGAAGAGAAAAGGTGGTGGATTGAGGAGAATGGTTGAATGGAGCAGCGGAAGGTTGTGGTGAGGGTGAGCGTCAGCCTGCTACTAAAGCGTATGGGCTGGTAGCAGATGCCGAGAGCGCCATGTCGGCAACCGACATGTAAGCGATAGACACGTAAGCGAGAGCCACCTAAGCGACATTTATTAAGCGTCTGTCCATGGAATGGATGACGGAACGGCGGACGGAGAGCTGCAGCAACGACGCTATTTATAGTTGTCGTTTCGAAAACGGAACGAAAACGGAGCGACAGAACTCGGGCTATCGTCGCTTAACTGGACGTCGGGACGGCGGTTAAGACGGAAACGAGGTTGAAAGCGACGCGGAAGGCGCATTGATGCGCGTCCTCGATAGCGGTGAGCAGCACATCCTTGCTGACCTCCTTGTCTCGCACCACCTCCACCACCCACACCGCCACGTGGCCGCGGCTCGTCCCCTTCGCCAGGCTGTGCATTGCCACGTCACTGATTGTGTCACGAAGTGTGGAAGTCTCTAAGTTCCGGACTCTGCGTCACTTGCTAAGTTCCTGAGTCAGGTGGATAAAAAGGTACTAAATTTGTGTCGCTGCATCACAGAGGTGCTAACTCGCTGAATTTTCTTTCAACGGCATTTTTTAAACAAAATATTGTCGTCGCTCATTGTTTGGCAAAGCGTATGCAGCTGCTTCCAGTCTGATTAGGACAAAGAGACGACTCGAACGCGAGCTACGCTCCCTGCCAGGCAAGAATCCTCAATCTAACCCCAAGGCAACACGACAGCGGGAGCAGACGCAGAGTAATTTCTTCCATAATCCTGCATCGCGAGCAGCACTGGTGTCATGGAGTCGCGGCAACACCATGGCGTTCTGTTTCTGGGAGTGTCGCCAAAACATGATTCTAGGGGGGATCGATCAGAGGAGCAGCAACGTTGGCGGCAATCTCAAGGGAGGAGGTGGAAGGTCCGAACCTGGAGATTGCAGAGGTAGGGAAGGAATCTGGTCAGGTGGTTCGTGTGTGCGGGCGCCAGCCAACAACATATCATCCGTTTCCGAACCTAGTCAAGAGGCACGGCGCAGGTAGACATGGAGGACAAGTTTGGTTGTTCGGTGTGACGAAAACCCAACCCTCCTGTTTCCTGGGTTGCTATGTTTTGTATCCATGACAGCTAATAAAGACAGAATCATCTGCATGGCTTTCACAATGCAAGGGCGGGTCATAGCTATTCGTTTAGTGTTCGTTTAGCGCGCTGCAGTACATTAGAAACGAAATTCGGTTTTCACCGGCCAAGGATGTACCCTTAGAACAAAGAACACAGGACTCAACATTGTAAAACGAATTTAGGTAACAAGCCCCGACATCCATTTCGTACCCGTTTCTGTATGCTTCGCTCAATTTCGGTGTCGTACATTGAGGTGTAAATTTAAAATTTAACGAGAACAGATGTGCTTCAAAACCTTATCTGGCATGAGAACATTCCGCGGCCCCAGATGCTTCGCAACATCCAAACGTGGGGTCCAGATCTGCTCAGCACGGAACTGGGCTTGTCCCAAGCTTGACTCTGGTTCGAACGCGAATATAGCTACTTGTAACAAATTCGTCAAAGTATAGAACGAACGGTTGGATCTTGTGTTCACTCGCACACCCAGGGAATGACGGGGGGTCCCGTCCTGTCCCGGCTTCACATTTTGAATTCCTCCACCTACCATACTCCCATACTGGCACCAGAGTGAGATGTGATGCACGAGTGTGGAACGGAGACAGCGACTAGGATTGCGCAGTCGAGCGGCCGGCACGGAAGCTCTTGAAGCAGGCGTAGCGGGCGACCAATATTTCCGCCACTATCGCGGTGTCGTGGGGAAGAGTGGTGGTATTTCGTGGTCTGAGGCCCATCGAGTGCAGCAGCGCAAGCAGCGGAAGCCATCGAATGCTGGGCTTGAATGGGGCGGTAGCAGGCCTGACCTGTGACCAACGGCTACTAGTAAGGCGTTCTGCGATTATGATTCCGGCCTATATGGCGTAGTGTGCGCGCGGGTTACGGCGCGTATCACAACTCAGGTTACAACTCAGGTTACAACTCGGGTTACAACTCGGTTTACACCAGCGATGGCTTTACTTCCGTCCTGCCTTCTCTCCTCAGCCGCCCTTCCCTCTCGCCTGCTACCCAGCGTAATCGAAATCCAAGAGTCCTGTTTCTCCCTCGTCTATAACGCGTACGGCCTGCGCCTCGACCAATTCCACGTCGACAATCTCACGCTCGTCTCCTGCTGGGTCCCCGCTTCTCGCGGCGACAAGCCCGCCGCATCACCCGCCGTCCCTTCTGCCGCAATTCCCGCAAAACCTCCTCTGTTGCTCCTCCACGGCTTCGGCGCGTCGTCGTTAAACCACTGGATTAATCAGCTCGCCGCGTTTTCCCGCCATTTCGACCTCTACATCCCCGACCTGCTGTTCTTCCGTGGCTCGTACTCCCGCGACGAGCGGCGCGACGAGCGGCTCCAGGCGGAAGCGATGATCGCGCTGATGGACCGGCTGGGCATCCAACGGTGCGCCGTGGTCGGCGTGAGCTACGGCGGGATCATCGCCCACACGTAAGCTAGCTCGTGGAATGCTGCCGAGTGTGGGAATTTCAGGCAGCAGAAAACTCGCTTTTATTACGTGGGATGTTTATGTGCCGTCTCAGGAAGCGAAGTGCATGTGAGCACCTGTTGAGGGGATCGACTGTTGCTGGGGATTACTCAGGTAGTTGACTGAAGGACCAGTTGGGAATTGAAAGGTGCTTTGAGTCCCCTTTCCTTTCCCCTTCCCCTCCCCCTACCCCTTCAACTTCCCTTCGCCTACTCCTTCCCCTTCCCCTCCTCTCCCCTTTCCCTTCCCCCTCCCCCTTCCCCTTCCCCTCCTCTCCCCTTTCCCTTCCCCCTCCCCCTTCCCCTTCCCCTCCATGTTCCCCCGCTTGCTCTTCTCTCGCACGTGTTTCCGCCCACCTTATTCCCCCCCCTTTCCCTGCAGAATGGCGACTCTCTATCCCACACGTGTCACCCAGCTAGTGCTGGGAGGGGCGGGGCTCATGCTGACGCAGGGCGAGGTGCAGGGGGTGCTGCAGCACTGGCATGCCAAGACTCCCCCGGACCTATTCCTTCCCACCGAGCCTAGCGGCCTGCTTCGGCTGATCAGGCTCGGGAACAACGAGGCGCCGTACCTCCCGGATTGGCTGCTGCAGGACGCCTTGGAGGTATGCGTGCCACTCCCGGTCACTCCTCTCCCTCCCGGATCCGGACTCCGCTGGAGTGACGGGCTTTGAGATTTTGCTGTCTGGCTGTCTGGCTGTCCGGCTGTCCGGCTGTCTGGAGAATTTGTTGCATGTGCACGGGTTTCAAGCTGTGACTCTCAACTGTGACTCCAGTATAGCTGATTCAAGCTAAAGCTCCCTCAACTTGTGAGACCCGTCAATGCTGTGCGTGCATGGTGCTGTGCGGTGCTGTGTGGTGCTGTGTGGTGTTGCGTGGTGCGTGCATGGCAGGTGTTGTTTGAGAACAGGGAGGAGAAGGCGGGTCTGCTGGAGGCATCGTTGGGAGAAGCACAGGCCAACGCACAGCACCCAGAGGGCATCGCTGTGCCATCAATGGTAGGTGCTGAGTGGTGCAATGCGGTCCTGTGCTGGGTGTGTGAGAACAGGGAGGAGAAGGCGGGTCTGCTGGAGGCATCGTTGGGAGAAGCACAGGCCAACGCACAGCACCCAGAGGGCATCGCTGTGCCATCAATGGTAGGTGCTGAGTGGTGCAATGCGGTCCTGTGCTGGGTGTGTGAGAACAGGGAGGAGAAGGCGGGTCTGCTGGAGGCATCGTTGGGAGAAGCACAGGCCAACGCACAGCACCCAGAGGGCATCGCTGTGCCATCAATGGTAGGTGCTGAGTGGTGCAATGCGGTCCTGTGCTGGGTGTGTGAGAACAGGGAGGAGAAGGCGGGTCTGCTGGAGGCATCGTTGGGAGAAGCACAGGCCAACGCACAGCACCCAGAGGGCATCGCTGTGCCATCAATGGTAGGTGCTGAGTGGTGCAATGCGGTCCTGTGCTGGGTGTTTGAGAACAGGGCGGAAAAGGCGGGTCTGCTGGAGGCGTCGTTGAGAGAAGCACAGACCAACGCAGAACACCCGGGGGGCATTGCTGTGCCATCAATGGTATGCTGAGCAGTCCTGAGAGGTGCTGGGCAGTGCAATGCGGTGCATGCAGTGCTGTGCGGTGTTTGAGAACAGGGCGGAGAAGGCGGGTCTGCTGGAGGCGTCGTTGAGAGAAGCACAGACCAACGCAGAACACCCGGGGGGCATTGCTGTGCCATCAATGGTATGCTGAGCAGTCCTGAGAGGTGCTGGGCGGTGCAATGCGGTGCATGCAGTGCTATGCGGTGTTTGAGAACAGGGCGGAGAAGGCGGGTCTGCTGGAGGCGTCGTTGAGAGAAGCACAGACCAACGCAGAACACCCGGGGGGCATTGCTGTGCCATCAATGGTATGCTGAGCAGTCCTGAGAGGTGCTGGGCGGTGCAATGCGGTGCATGCAGTGCTATGCGGTGTTTGAGAACAGGGCGGAGAAGGCGGGTCTGCTGGAGGCGTCGTTGAGAGAAGCACAGACCAACGCAGAACACTCGGGGGGCATTGCTGCGCCATCAATGGTATGCTGAGCAGTCCTGAGAGGTGCTGGGCGGTGCAATGCGGTGCATGCAGTGCTGTGCGGTGTTTGAGAACAGGGCGGAGAAGGCGGGTCTGCTGGAGGCGTCGTTGAGAGAAGCACAGACCAACGCAGAACAACCGGGGGGCATTGCTGCGCCATCAATGGTATGCTGAGCAGTCCTGAGAGGTGCTGGGCGGTGCAATGCGGTGCATGCAGTGCTATGCGGTGTTTGAGAACAGGGCGGAGAAGGCGGGTCTGCTGGAGGCGTCGTTGAGAGAAGCACAGACCAACGCAGAACACCCGGGGGGCATTGCTGTGCCATCAATGGTATGCTGAGCAGTCCTGAGAGGTGCTGGGCGGTGCAATGCGGTGCATGCAGTGCTATGCGGTGTTTGAGAACAGGGCGGAGAAGGCGGGTCTGCTGGAGGCGTCGTTGAGAGAAGCACAGACCAACGCAGAACACCCGGGGGGCATTGCTGCGCCATCAATGGTATGCTGAGCAGTCCTGAGAGGTGCTGGGCGGTGCAATGCGGTGCATGCAGTGCTGTGCGGTGTTTGAGAACAGGGCGGAGAAGGCGGGTCTGCTGGAGGCGTCGTTGAGAGAAGCACAGGCCAACGCAGAACACCGAGAGGGCATCGCTGTGCCATAAATGGTAGGTGCTGAGCGGTGCAATGCGGTACAATCCGGTGAAGTGCACAGGGGTCGACATGCACATGCCAGCCATGTCGCATGCCAGCCATGTCGCTTACTCCTTTTGAGGCGCCTCAAAAGTCCTTTCGCATGCCAGCCATGTCGCTCACTCCTCTTCTTTTCTCTCACCCTTCATTTCTCCCCTCCGTCGTTTTTTGTCTGTTTTGTTTGGTTTGTTTTTTTCACTTTGTTGTGGTGTAACTTTGTCTCCCATCCACTCTCTCTCATACCCCGCCCGATCCGTTGAACAGCCCACGCTGCTTGTGTGGGGAGGCAGCGACCAGCTCTTTCCCCTTGCCATTGCCCATCGCATACACCAGTGAGACTCCCTCTCTCCCTCCCTTCCTCTCGCTCCCGCTCTCTCCTTCCCTCCTTCACGCGCACTTGCACACATCCACACTACAGGCATGCAGTCATGCACGCGTGCACACACGCACACAGATGAGTATGCACACGCAACGCAACAGTTAAACGCAAACACACAACCTGGTTACGTAGCTGCCCCCGCTCCAGCTTTCCCCCTCCCCACCTTCCACCCCTCTCCACCTTCCCCCCTCTCTACTTTCCCCCCTCTCCACCGCCCCCCCTCTCCACCTTTACCTCTCGTCATTGCTCACATTAACCTCTCCCTTCCCTTCTCTCGTCTCCCCAACTTCCCCCTCTTCACCTTCACCCCTTCCCATTGCTCATATACAATTTTCCCTTACTCCATTTTCCCATCTCCCTCTTTCTCCCACTCAGGCACTTTGGGTCGTCCTGTCAGCTCGAGGTGATTGAGAAGGGCGCTCACGCCATTCAGGTGTGCTGAGGGGTGCGGAGAGGTGTATATGATGCTCTGGGGGTGTATATGCTGTGATAAGGGGTGAGGACTCCCTCCTCCCTCTTCCTCTCTCCTCCTCTCCACCTCTCCACCCTTTTACCTCTCCTCCCCTCTCTCTCAATCGACTTACGCATTCCCATGCGATCTCGCGCGTTGATCCTAAGCCGTTTCAACCGTTTCCCATGCTCCTTCAACCCCCTCCTATGCTCCTTCAACCCCCTCCTATGCTCCTTCAACCCCTTCCCATGCTCCTTCAACCCCTTCCCATGCTCCTTCAACCCCTTCCCATGCTCCTTCAACCCCTTCCCATGCTCCTTCAACCCCTTCCCATGCTCCTTCAACCCCGTCCCATGCTCCCTCAACCCCGTCCCATGCTCCTTCAACCCCGTCCCATGCTCCCTCAACCCCGTCCCATGCTCCTTCAACCCCGTCCCATGCTCCTTCAACCCCGTCCCATGCTCCTTCAACCCCGTCCCATGCTCCTTCAACCCCTTCCCATGCCCATCCTGCCAGGCACATAAAGCAGCACAGTTCAACAGAGCCGTCCTCTCTTTCCTCACCACCCAGCACCAATGACAGCAACCAATCTCAAATGCCATCGGTGCTGATCCTCACTCCAGTTCCCAACAGCAGCGCAGGTCAACAGTGCCGTCCTCTCCTTCCTCACCGCCCAGCACCAGTGACAGCAACCTTCTTGCTGCTGCCCTGCCCACTCCAGTGCCAAGTTGCCAACAGTACCGTCCTCTCCTTCCTCACCGCATGACACCAGCCACCTCAAGTGCCAGCAATGCTGCTCCCCACTCAAGTGCCAACAGCTCTGCTTGAGTCACTCTTGAGAAAACTTCAAAACTTCACAACTTCAACAGCGCTGTCCTCTCCTTCCTCACCGCCCAGCACCAGTGACAGCAACCATCTGCTGCTGCCTGCCCTCCCAACTCCATTCCAGTGGCAACAGCGCCGTCCTCTCCTTCCTCGTCCACATGTATAGCAAAGATGGTGGTTGAAAAAGAACACAGGTAGGCTACCTGCTGCCCACCTGCAATTCCCAACCAAAATTGAACTGCACCGGCAGCACCGGCAGCACTGGCAGCACTGGCAGCACTGGCAGCATTGGCAGCACCGAATGAAGTCCCTGACACATATGTTGATCCGAGCAGGATACGGTATGATGTTTCCCTGCAATAATAAAATCCCTGCCCCACAAAGTGTGAATGTCTTCTTTCTTTCTTCTTCGTCTTGTTCGCATATCACCCACAGGTGTTCATATCGTATGTGGAGGAGTCACTTTCACTAGAGAAAAGGCGGGAAGTACTAGCAGGCGATGGCTTTGTGTGCCGATGTGACCTGTGTGTGGCACAGGGGGAGCAGGAGTAGCACCTAAGGAATGGATTGGGAAGGGAAGAATCAAGGCAGGCCAGAAGAGTGAAGAGGGCAGGGGAAGGGAACAGCAAACCGTATTACATAGAACAGAGGAGAGGATAGACACACATGGCAAGGCACAGAATAGTGGTGCTTGTTTTGACAATTGTGCCGTAAAAAGAAAGGAAATGCTTTGTCATCTCATACTAGGTATGGTATTTACAACAATGAAGACAGCAGTCCAAAACAGCAAGAAAAAAGCAGCAACAATGCACCCTTTTCCCACTATTGCCTACAAACGGTAGACCCAACGGCACTACCCTCACACCCACTGATCCCCATAACATACACTTAGACTACAACCAGGTTTCCTGACTCCCCTTCAACTTCTCCCAAGGTATTCTTCTCTTCTACTCATAAATCTGCCCACGCAGGGCGCCATTAGGATAATTCTTCGTGTGAAGGTTCACGTAGAACCCCTCCGGACCCGCCGAGATCGCCTTGAGAAGCGACACAAACGCCGGCGTCAGTTCCTTCTTATTCTTCCCGAGCACACCATTGCATTGAAACGCACTGGTGGCCTTCAGGAGCCGGTACTTGCACGGCAGATCCAACACCTTGGGACCGTTTGTTCCCTCTGCTGCCTTGTGCACATGCATCATGGTCGGCGGCATATTGCCCTCGAGGTTATAAGCTGTCACTGTGTACTCAAGCTTCACAGGCAGGCCCTTTATCCTGCAAATCACACGTCAGTGGAACGGGGGTTAAAATTCTAGACATTGTAACGGGGTTCAAGTGTGCATCGCATGACAGAGTTGAGCTTTGAACATAGGAGCTTTGAACATAGGAGCTTTGAACATAGGAGCTTTGAACATAGGAGCTTTGTACATAGGAGCTTTGAACATAGGAGCTTTGAACATAGGAGCTTTAAACATAGGAGCTTTGAACATAGGAGCTTTAAACATAGGAGCTTTGAACATAGGAGCTTTGAACATAGGAGCTTTGAACATAGGAGCTTTGAACATAGGAGCTTTGAACATAGGAGCTTTGAACATAGGAGCTTTGAACATAGAAGAAGACACTTGGTATATCATGGGGTATATCATGGGGTATATCATGGGGTATATCATGGGGTATATCATGGGGTATATCATGGGGTATATCGTGGGGTATATCATCAGAGCACCCATTGGCCCTGCTCTGTTGGATCTGCGGAACTCAGGCCTGCCATACTCACTTGTGGATTGTTAAAGCCATGCTGGCATAGCCGCCTGAGTCACCCTTGGGAACCTCGTTGTAGCCAAACAACGGAAAGAGAAAGTCTGCTCAAGGAGAAACCGAGGGGAGAGGGGGAGAGGAGGGAAGATCGAGGGAGCGAGAGGGGGGAGGGTGGGGGGGGGGGGCGTGGGGAGGGGGCGGGTTGGGAGGGGATGGGGGTGGAGGTGAGGTTGGAGCTTGGCGGTGAGGCATTGAAAGAGAAGGCATCTGCTGGGGTAGGACCGAGAGAGAGAGGGTGAGTTCAGGTTCGAAAGTCATGCGCCAATGGGATTTAGGTGGCTCACCAAGGTGGAAAACAAAAACGAGAGCTATATGCAACTCACCAGGTTCCCCTGCATAGGCAATCGCCACCAGAGCCGCCGCGAGAAACGCTGCACGAAGCACACACGCGATGATAAGCGAGATTAGCAATCGGGTTACCACGCCTGGTAAACAGCTGGCAAGCAATGAGTTCGGATTGAGCTGGCATTGGCGTTGCGGTGTCACGCCAGGGGTAAAGCTTATCGAATAGTAATAGCGCTTACCGAAAGGTAAGACTGACCAAATAGTAACGCTTACCAAATAGTAAGATGCAGCGAGTACGAATGAAGGCCATGAGACAAGGGCAGACCCTGGCTTTAACTAGAAATCGGTTTGCAAGAGGGAGCGAGAAATCGAGTACTACTAGTAGAGAGGTAAACGGAATGCAGAATTATTTCTGGATGAGATTCTAGGGACTGGGATTACCCTCATTTATAGTCACATTGAGGATCCAGCATGGAAGGTCCAGAATAGTGGAAAGTGGGAACTGACGGACGGGATGATAGGAAATTCCGCGAAGGAATCTCGGCATCAGACATCGCGAACCATCAATAAGACGAGCGAGCGCATCAGTCGGAAGGGCATTGGCGTCGAATCAAGCCAATCCTGTCGGTGCTGGTTAGGTTCTGAACTCCGGCATCTGATTGGGTCTCCGCAACTCAATTATAGCAGCTGTAGACGAGGGGAGGGGAGTCATTTGCGCTGATTAGCTATCCCTGAGTGAGCTACTATAATGCACATGGATTGTGACGCGTTCCGGAAGCTCGGATGATTCAATCGTTCGAGAAAGAGGAGGGCCACGAATTTCCGAGTGAGCTATGCTGCACTGCACTGCACTGCACTGCACTGCACTGCACTGCACTGCACGTGATGATTGTGACGCGTTGCTGAGCCGAGCCGTGATTCTCGCTGCAGTCATCGTGGATGGAAGGTATGGCAAAATAGGACAAGCGATGGTGCAAAACCATTCCACACGTTACATTCTGGTTCTGGTGTACAGCTGTGGTGTGTGATTTGGTTATGGCATCGGTTGGAAGAGGTTTTTGCCTTTTTAACTAGTGTGCTGTGCGATGCAGCGGAAGACAAGACGATTGGTCTCAGAGTGTAATGGGGATCGACTACGGTAGGAATAGGAGGGTACAAGTAGGAATGTCGAGAATGTTTCTGTACTCTATACAGCTGTCGTCACTCTTGCCAACTCGTTCTGAACTGCTACAGTATTGCCCACAACTCAATTACAGCAGCTCTAGGTGAGAAAAAGGAGAGCCAGCGATCATGAATCTTCATTGTGACGCGTTTCTGAAGCTTGCTAGAGTCAATCAATCGTCAAGACCTAGATAGATTAGGTAGGAGCCTTGTGCACTTTCATAGCACCCTGACATTTACAATGAAATAAGAATAAAGTTTCTGCTGTCGGCCATGTGCTCACACACCATCCCCAGAGCATAGCACACCATCCCCAGAGCATAGCAATTGTATTTTATGTTGCATCTACTATTGCAGATGCTTTATTCCTTGCTCATTCACTGTCAATTCAACTCCTCAAATTATATTAGCCCTTGGAAAGCTGACCACGCACAGCGCCATCAGGATACTTCTTCGTATGAATATTCCCATAGTGTCCCTTCGGATTCTTGGAGATATCTTTAAGCGCTGACACCAGGTCGTTGGTGCGCTCGTGCTCGTTCTTCCCAAGGGAGCCCTTGCAACGCCAGTCGGTGCGGCTCTTCCTCTCGTACGAGCATGGCAGGTCCAGCAGCACTGGGTTGTTCTGCCCCTTGTTCCCCGGGTGTATGTGCGTCTTGGTTGGCGGCATCTCTCCTTCCAGCTTCAACGCTTTCACCGAATACTCCAGCCACGTAGGCTTGCCATCCTCCCTGATCATGGATGGTCACCAGAGGTATCAAATGAAGCTGAAACAAGTGTAGGCAGCATATTGGCGGCTCACGCCTCACAGATGTAGCACAACAAATGACAGGGGAAGGACTCACTTGTAGATCTTAAGCTTCAAGTGGACCATGCCGCGTTTGTCGCCGACAGCGTTCCTGGCAGCTTCACTGTTATTCTTTGGAACCTCGTTGGACCCAATCAGCAAGGATTTGAAGCGCTCTGTTGAAGGGAGAACGAGGAGGAGGGTGAGTGAGGATGAAGTGACAGAAGAAATGGAGAGATGATGCAAGAATGGGAAGGTATGAAACGGAAAGACACTGTAATTAAGGAAAATGACGGATAGCAAAGGCAGATGGAAGGGACACGCACCATAATCCTTATCGTCGTCCGAGTAGGCAAGGGCCACCAGCTTTCGTATACATTTGAAAGTGGGAGTTTCAGAAGTTTAGAAATTTGAAAACTGGTTACCCTATTACAGGTCATTTCCCTCGTCCCACAAGGGAGATGATCCCCCCGACACCCCGCACCATCTCCTCTGACTGCTGGTTCAAAACTTTTGAAACAACAAAAGGATACAAATTACCATGTTTCTCAGAACTAGGCCACTACGCACGATAGGCCGAAAACTACGTAGATAAGCAGATCGCGATTCAACAACCAGCGCAAAGAACCCCGTTTCCGACACAAACAGCGACGTAACTAGACGTATAGAGTCATTACGCGTCCGCACCAACGCCAGTTCCGCCCTCTCACACTCGCCTCTCCCGCATCACACGCGTTCGACATTGAAATAGCACTAGCCGCGCCCGCTAGCTTTCAAACGCGGCATCCCTCCACCTACCACTCTCGTCGCGCCGCATCAAACCGCTGCTTGTGGCCTAGCCGGCGCCGGTTCTAGTCACCTCGCCGAGCCGATCACAACGGACCTCCTTTCATTAGCCTCGCCTCGTTGTCCGTCGCGGCGTCGCATCGCCTCACCTCGCTGCCTCCTCACACCTCCTTGAACACGCACGCTGCATCTGAAACTGCCGAACAGCGGGATCTCGCACGATCACAGTCGCCTCCCGCTCGCGCAGCTTTGTTACCCCGTTTCCGCACTAGCCACGGCTGCCGCACTTGAGGTCGCGACGGACTGCCGAAACGGTCTCCTTGACCAGCCAATTCTTCTCCCCTTCCCAGCGCCTTCCCATCTCTGCCTTACGCCCTTTTTCCCCCTCTCTCCACTCTGCTTTACCCCCCGCTTCCCCGTTACCCCTAACCCGCCTCCCCATTACCCCTTCCCACCTCCCCGTTTCCCCTTCCCACTCCCCATTACCCCTTCCCGCTTCCCCCTATCCCTTCGCGCCTCCCCGTTTCCCCTTCCCGCCTCCCCAATTCCCCTTCCCGCTTCCCCATTACCCCTTCCCCCCTCCCCGTTTCCCTTTCCCTCCTCCCCAATTCTCCTTCCCGCCTCCCCATTTCCTCTTCCCTCCATGCCCTCGTAACCATCTCTCCCGCCTCCCCTACCTGCCTGCCTACCCTAAGGGGATAATGACGGGGAGAAGAGGGGGGGAATGTGAGGGCTAAGGGGGGGAATTGAGAGCGAATAGGGGGGAGTGTGAGGGGTAGAGGCCAGGGAACTGAGAGGGAGAAGGGGGAGAAAAGACCCGAAAACGGGGGAAAATGGAGGGGGGAAATGAGGGGTAAAGGGGGGATTAAGTTGGGTAATGAGGGGGGAGAAGGGGGGGTAATGAGAAGAGTATGTGCTAAGCTCCCGAAGCGCGCAGCGGGTGAGGCGCTAAGCGGGAAAGGAGTGCAGGGGGTGAGGCGCTAAGCGAGAGAGACGCGCAGCCGGTGCGGCGCTGTAGATGAAAACGAGGCGCGCGAACCTAGAGGAGCTAAGGGCTGAGGCGCGCCGCGGGTTCGGCGCTAACGGCGTGTGACATTTTTCAAAATCGCAGAAAGTCCGGACGTTGTGCGACGTACGTCCGAACGCTTGCAAAGCTGGCGACATCGTACGGTCGCTTTGCGACGTGGTAAGGACGCGAGGCGACACATACGACGTCGTTTCGATTCTGGACGAGCTAGCTGGCGAGCTGGAAGGATTCTGGTAACCACACAACCGTCCGAACGGCTGGACGTCCGGACAAAACAAAGGAAAAATGTCACACGCCCTAAGGGCTGAGGCGCCGCAGCGGGTTCGGCGATAAAGGGCCATGGTGCGCATCGGGTGAGGCGCTAAGTGGGAAAGGCGCGCAGCGGGTGAGGAGCCAAGCGGGAGAGGCCTACCTAGCGAGTGTTGAGAGTGGCGGCGTGGCCAACGCATGAAACGCGCATCCGCTCAGTGAACACGGCCCCTAAATTATCAATCGCGTGACGGCTTACTCGAGTGCGGCGACCCAGCGTCGTGATGCAAACCGCTAGCCTCGGTTCCTCTATCTATGCTTCGGCTAGTGAGTCACTGCAAGGTTGGGTGACGGGGGAGTTTCCCGTGTTTGGAACCCTCAAAGGTGCAAGTTTTCGCAAAACCTCTCGCCACCCTCATTTGGTTTCGTTTGAGCGATTTTTTTTGGGATACTGTGCAACCGTGAACAGTACTTGCAAATGTATACGAAAGCTTTAAGCTTCAAGTGGACCATGCCGCGTTTGTCGCCGACAGCGTTCCTGGCAGCTTCACTGTTATTCTTTGGAACCTCGTTGGACCCAATCAGCAAGGATTTGAAGCGCTCTGTTGAAGGGAGAACGAGGAGGAGGGTGAGTGAGGATGAAGTGACAGAAGAAATGGAGAGATGATGCAAGAATGGGAAGGTATGAAACGGAAAGACACTGTAATTAAGGAAAATGACGGATAGCAAAGGCAGATGGAAGGGACACGCACCATAATCCTTATCGTCGTCCGAGTAGGCAAGGGCCACCAGTGCCGCGAAGAATGCTGCACGCTCGCACCACATGCGATGGAGGTCGATGCTCAGGCAGGGTTATAATGCAGCGCCGATAATTCTCCAATTTAAACGAAAAGAATTAAGAAATTAGGGAAAAAATGGAAACGTTGGCAACATCGAGGATCGAGAAGCGGCTCTGATTTCATACCTACGAGTAGCACGCGGGCCGGAGTTGAGGCCATGATTCAAAAGACGAGACACAGAACCACGGTCTGCAGGAGGAAAACGGTTTGTAGTAGTAGCTAGAAGTGTGGGAGCTGAATTAGTGTAAGATGGATCGCTGATTTAGTGTAATGGATGGATGAAACCCCCCTCATTTATAGGCCACGTCAAAAAAAATGTTCCGCGCCGAAGAGACACACCATTAGGTAGGGCTGGCTGGGCGTGAGTGACGGGTGAGGCTCCGACGCGCCTCCTATAATCGCCGTTGACCCCAAAAAGAGGTCAAGCGGAAATGCAGAATTGGAATTCGTCATCCATAGAGTGCGAGGAGCAGTAATTGTGACAGTCAGCCGTGGACACATGCGTCGAATTGCACAGGCGAGGAGACGTGCCGCATTTGGCTGGTATTGATGCGCAGCTATCCTCAATAATTGTGACGCCTTAGGTTGCATTCCCCGTCGGGACACCATCCGAAGTCGGGACACGCGGTCTGCAATTTCCAAAAATGACATTTCAATGTTCAGCCACGCGGTTCGAGTTAGGGACACGTTGGGACCTGACGGTTTAGTTTACGTGCGACCAATCGCACGTCAAGCATCCTGCTCTGCGATCGTGGAAAAAAGGGCGTTGCAATGCATTCGGGCTGACTTGGCACAAACGTGCAAGGCAGCCGGCTACACGTAAATGGTAAGCTGCCCACGTTTCTATCTGGTGCCCCCAAGTCAAATCGGGTACCCCCAAGTCAAAAATTGGATCCCCTCTTTTGTTTTTTTACAGTGCCCGACAGGCAGGTTCTGCCGTTATATTTGGCGCCGATTATGTTGTCGCATCTCGTCGTTTTATGACACCTCTACACCCCCATTAGTTGGCGACCCCCCCTGAAATCGCAACAGGCAGACGACTCGGGCGACCCCGATCGCATCCAAAACACTGACAATTGTCAGAGGTGGGGCCCTGCCCCAACCGGGACACCATCCGCGCGCCAAAACCGTTCGGATGGGCAAACTTCGGGACCCGACGGGGAATGCAATCTTACTTAGAGCTAGCAGGAAAGGTGATTTCCATTCAGCACACAAATCACGAACAGGCGGTATTATTCGTTTCTATGCAATTCAAAGCGGTACAACACCTAATTGACATCAGGCAGAAGACAGGAATGCTCCACTCTACCAATTGGTGCACTACGGTGGCAGTCACAGTCCGCTGCTAGCTTCCCCAACTCTGTTTGCAGTGTCACCCTGTGTGCGAAATCCACACATCGCGAATCTTCGCAAAACTCTTGGATACATCTGGTACACTACGAACACCTCAAGAATTAACAACACGTGGTAAGACTATCTCTCACTCATTTACCTGTTAAAGACCCACACTGTTTCAAACAGTCGTCAACAGCCTTCATCAATGTACGGAATGAACTTGCAGCTTGCTTTTAAATGTCTAAGCACAAGCTTCAAGTAATCGAAGAGAAAAAAAAAGTAACATTGTATGATAAATTCCACCCGAATCCGTAGCTGTGGCAATGCACATGAACTGCTCTACTCATCAATCCAACCCCCAATATTCGGCCCACCGGCACCATCGAACGGGCCTCGACCACCAAAACGCGGATGGTCCTCCATTCCTCCACGGGGATCCATGGGGGGGAAGCCACGGAAAGGCCCCCTAGGTCCTTGATCATTGGGAAATGGTGGCGGGCCAAATGGAGGGCCATGTGGGGGAGGCCCATGTGGCCCTCCTTGCGGAGAAGGGAAAAACTCTCCTCGCGGGCCTTGCGGTCGAAAAAAGTCACCTCGTGGAGGAAGAGGGTCCGGCGGGCCTTGCATCATGTGGTGGGGCGGTCCCGGGAACCTCTGCTCGTGGATTCCACGAATCTGGACGCTTTCTCCAAAATGCTGCAGTTGCTGCCGCTGATGGCCGAAAAAGGGAGGCCTGCCGCCATGCAGATCTAGCGGCATGTTGGGGGGAAGGTGCCCCATCGATCTCGGCTGCTCCATCGGTTGGCGGACGGGCGAATCTGCAACAACCATCACGCGATGCATGCCGACCATGCGCACGGTCACCGGCGCAACATCGGTCAGAGGTTCCATAGGATCCCCCAGCTGCTGCTGCTGCATGTGAGGCGGTCTTGCTCCGAATCGCGGCTCTGAAAAGGGGGGTCCGTCTTCAAAGCCCGGAGGGATGGGACCACGAAGAGTCATGTGAGGTGGTGGGGGCGTATGCGGGTCGAACGGTGGTACGTGCATGCGGATCACAGGCCCCATGGGTCCCATGGATGCGCTTCTCATGCCGCCTGCTAGCTCGCCTTGCAGCCCACCCATGCCCCCACCCATGCCCCCACCCATGTCACTCATACCGCGCATCTCCGCATATCTCCCCGCATGCACCGCTTCCAACCGCTCTGCATTGCGGAGAAAGCTGCTGAAATCCCCCCTCCCTGCATCACCAGCACCCAATGCACCCTCTGCTGCTGCAAACTGCAGCTGATGATGCATGGGTGGGATGGGCGAGCTCAAACCACCACCAGTCATCGCAGGTCCCCCTTCTCCCCCTCCACCTGCCCCTCCTCCTCCCGCCTCAAGCCTCTCTGCGTTGCGCAGGAAATTCTCCATCTGCTCGGCTCCTCCGGTTGCTGCTCTTGCCGCTTCCAACCGCTCTGCATTGCGCAGGAAGCTCTCCATCTGATCGGCTCCTCTCAGGATGCAGCCTGAGCTACTAACGAGTACGGCAGCACCCCCCAGACCGCCAGCTCGCTGCGACAGCTGCTGCGGTGTGTGGGCAGCACGAACAGTCATGCAAGGCACGCAGGGGCAGAAAGAAACAATCCGGGGTTGTAAGAACACTTGACTTGGCCCAGCCACACTTGAATTGCAGGGATCGCATCTCAAACAAGTACCAGCTTAGCAGCATCCGCTGCTTCTCCCTCACCTCACATACAGCTAGCTAAGGCTCCCACTATCCGAACGTATCTCCATCCATACGCATCGCTGTCCATACGAATCGCTGAGCAGACTGCTTAAGCCTGAGCACCGGCACGAGTACATTCGGCTCCCCATGAGCCCTCACTGTCTCGTCTCGAATCCAAGCTTCTTCCAACTTCAAATCCGTATCGCCCCCGAGGTCAAACTGACTCCGAGTTCGCATTCAGTTGAAGCTCGTTTCGACACCAGCTCGTTCAAGCCATGGCTGAGCTAGTCAAGCTGAGCCAAACCGGCTCCTATCGAGCTGAGCTAGTCAAGCTGAGCCAAACCGGCTCCTATCGAGCTGAGCTAGTCAAGCTGAGCCAAACCGGCTCCTATCGAGCTGAGCTAGTCAAGCTGAGCCAAACCGGCTCCTATCGAGCTGAGCTAGTCAAGCTGAGCCAAACCGGCTCCTATCGAGCTGAGCTAGTCAAGCTGAGCCAAACCGGCTCCTATCGAGCTAGGAGGCCTAGAAGCGTTGCGAAGGCCTAGAAGCGTCGCGAAGGCCAAGAAGCGTCGCGAAGGCCTAGAAGCGTTGCGAAGGCCTAGAAGCGTTGCGAAGGCCTAGAAGCGTTGCGAAGGCCTAGAAGCGTTGCGAAGGCCTAGAAGCGTTGCGAAGGCCAAGAAGCGTCGCGAAGGCCTAGAAGCGTTGCGAAGGCCTAGAAGCGTCGCGAAGGCCAAGAAGCGTCGCGAAGGCCTAGAAGCGTTGCGAAGGCCTAGAAGCGTTGCGAAGGCCTAGAAGCGTTGCGAAGGCCAAGAAGCGTCGCGAAGGCCTAGAAGCGTTGCGAAGGCCAAGAAGCGTTGCGAAGGCCAAGAAGCGTTGCGAAGGCCAAGAAGCGTTGCGAAGGCCAAGAAGCGTTGCGAAGGCCTAGAAGCGTTGCGAAGGCCTAGAAGCGTTGCGAAGGCCTAGAAGCGTCGCGAAGGCCAAGAAGCGTCGCGAAGGCCTAGAAGCGTTGCGAAGGCCTAGAAGCGTTGCGAAGGCCTAGAAGCGTTGCGAAGGCCAAGAAGCGTCGCGAAGGCCTAGAAGCGTTGCGAAGGCCAAGAAGCGTTGCGAAGGCCAAGAAGCGTTGCGAAGGCCAAGAAGCGTTGCGAAGGCCAAGAAGCGTTGCGAAGGCCAAGAAGCGTTGCGAAGGCCAAGAAGCGTTGCGAAGGCCAAGAAGCGTTGCGAAGGCCAAGAAGCGTTGCGAAGGCCAAGAAGCGTTGCGAAGGCCTAGAAGCGTTGCGAAGGCCAAGAAGCGTTGCGAAGGCCTAGAAGCGTTGCGAAGGCCAAGAAGCGTCGCGAAGGCCTAGAAGCGTTGCGAAGGCCAAGAAGCGTTGCGAAGGCCAAGAAGCGTTGCGAAGGCCAAGAAGCGTTGCGAAGGCCAAGAAGCGTTGCGAAGGCCAAGAAGCGTTGCGAAGGCCAAGAAGCGTTGCGAAGGCCAAGAAGCGTTGCGAAGGCCAAGAAGCGTTGCGAAGGCCTAGAAGCGTTGGCAAGTGGCCATGCCCTGGCTCCACCCTGATATTTCCAGCACACACTCTCGAAATGGGTGAAATTGCAGGACAAGCCTTGTCGAATTGACTAAATATTTTTGCAGAGGTTTCACGTGGCTTGGCCAGGAGCGAGAGACAAAGGTCTGCTGGTGTTGTTCTATAACCGTCCGTCTCTAAACACTAAGACTAACTGAAGGGACGGGTCTTAAGTGGACTCACGCCCAAAGAGATTAAGACCAGTTGAAGTCAAAATTTGCCCGGGTCGAGCATGACTTGATTTCGGAGTCAAATATAAAAACAGCTGTGCCCGGCTTGCACATGACTTGGCCATTTCTCGCCAAAATTGCTGCTCTGTTCTTGAGTTCACCACTGAAGACCAGACTTATTTAAATCTGTGCATACATATACGCACACCCGTTTTGACATGCATCAGAGCTCGGACCTGCCACTTCACTTGATAGTTTCGTGCCAACACTGCTGCTCTTTTTTTTTGTGCACTGACCTCTTGCTGCCCTGCAGCATACTCTCCTTCCAAGAAAGATCCGGGGAAATGGTTCGCAGTGGCAGCAGCAGAAGCCAGAGGGCTCCTACCCCCCTACCTGCTCTGACCCACCCTATTCACTCACACTCAGCCATGCACTCACCTCTGCTCCCCACATCACCTACTCTTTCCAGACAAACTCCGGAGAAATGACCGACAGTAGAAGCAGCACAGGGCTCTTACCCACCTGCCTGTCCTGACCCACCACGCGTCCACCCTCACCCTTGCACTCCCTCAGCCTTGCACTCACCTCGTGCTGCCTCAAGCCCCCTTCTCCCTCCCCAGAAAGAGATCCTGGAAGCAAGAAGCTTGCATTCGGGCCTTCGTCCGGGCCGAACCCGGGAGGCACAGCAGACACCTCTTTCCCCTGCATGCCCAAGAGAACACTGTTGGCAGAGTGGTCATTCACCGATGGCTGCCGTCGGCAGGTGTGAGTACAATGCCCAAATCGCTCTGCATTGCACTCACACCTTCCTCCCTCAGCCTCGCACTCACCTCGTGCTGAAAGCCCGCCTGCTGCCCTTCGTCTGGCCCGAACCCAGGAGGAACAGCGGACACCACCCTCCCCTGCATGCCCTGACCGCCCAAGGGAACACCGTTGGCCGCAGAGAGGGCACCCCCCAGCCTTGTACCCACCTCAGCCTCGCACTCACCTCGTGCTGCCCTTCGTCTTGCCCAAACCCAGGAGGCACGGCAGACATCACTCTCCCCTGCATGCCTTGACTCCCCAAGGGAACACTGTTGGCAGAAGAGAGTGCACCACCCCCCAAGGACTGGCCGAATGAAATGGGGACTCTGATGGCGCCTGAGGCTTGAGAGCTGATGAACATGGGGGGGTGCGGGCCTTGGGTGAGATCGAGAACGAGAGGGAACGGGGTAGGGGAAGGGAGGGCAGGGGCGGGAGGGAGAGAGTGCATTTGCGGGCTGGTAAATGGTTGACCGTGCGGTGCCGGTGGTGCATCCAAGGCAAACTCTCCTGCTTCTCTTCCTTCTGCCGCTTCCTGCTCCCTCTGCCCCCTCTCCCTCTGCCCCCTCTCCCTCTGCCCCCTCTCCTCTGCCTCTCGATACTCTCTTTCGCCCCGCTCGTTCCACGCCTCCTCTCCTCTCCTCCCACCCCCCCGCTCCTCATACCCCATGTCCCTTCTCTCTCCCCCATCAACATCCCTCCCACGCATGTACCGATGCTCACGCTCCCTCGCATCGTACTGACTCCCATCACCACCCCTCTCAACACCTCTATCACCGCCCCTCTCCAGCCAACCATCAACTCCTCTCTCTGCGCTTCGCCCGCGGTCTCTAACATAGCCCTTGTCACGCCCCTCACCATAGCCCTTCCTCACAAGCCCTCCCTCCTCCTGCCGGCCCCTCTCTCTCTCGTACTGCCCCCGCTCCCCTCCATACACACCCCTCTCTCCTTCCAGCCTCCCTGACAGTGATCCACGCCTCTGGTGCTGCTGCTGCTCCGCCCAGCTCTGCATAGCCTCAGACTCACCCCTCCGGGACCCGCCTGCCCTCCCCACACCCCCTGCCCACTGCTCCTCCTCCCTCCTCCACTCCTCCTCTCGCCTCACCTCTCTCCTTCGCCCCATCTCTGCACTTTCGTCCTGTCTCACCTTTTCCCGAACCCTCTCCTTCTCCCTCTCCCTCTCCCGATCCCTCTCCTTCTCCCTCCCCTTCTCCTTCTCCCTCTCCCTCTCCCTGTCCCTATCCCTCTCCCTCCCCTTCTCTCTCTCTTTCTCCCTCTCCCTTTCTCTCTGACGGTCTGCCGCTGTCCTCTCTTCATCGTGACCTCTCCTGTCCTTACCATCCTTCCCTTCTTTTCCCTCTCTCCCCTCTCTTGCCTCCGTCTCCTCTCTCTTCTCTCTACCCTCCCTCCCTCCCCCCTCAACCTTCTGCCCGCCCTTGTCCCTGGTATCCTTAGCAGCTGTCTCCTCCCCCTTCTCACTAATTGTACCCTTTTCACAAATTGAACCCTTCTCACTAATAGTACCCTTCTCCTCTCCCTCAATACCATGACCCTCGATTCTCTCCTTCTGCACCTCCCCCTCCTTTTCTCTCTCCCTCTCCCTCTCCCTCTCCTTCTCCTTCTCCTTCTCCCTTTTCCTCTCCTTCTCCCTTTCCTTCTCCCTCTCCCTCTCCTTCCTCCTCAATCTCTCCTCCCTCTCCCTATCCCTCTCCCTTTCCTTCTCCTTCCTCTCCTTCCTCTCCCTATCCTTCTTCTCTTTCTCAGTCTCCTTTCTTCCCTCCTCATCTCTCTTCTCACTCCCTATCTCAACTTTTACCCTCGGACTCAAATCACCAACCACCAACCCCCTCTCAGCTCCCAACCTCTCGCCTCCCAACCTGCCCCCATCAATCCCACCCCTACCACCCACTCCTTTCTCACCCATATTATCATATTCCCGCTTCACCTTCACAATTCGTTCCACATTCATATCCTCCTCCTCCCTCCTTAGCTGCTTCATCCCCACCATCTTTCTACCCTCCAGCTCTCCCTCTCCTCCTCCTCCGCCCTTATCAATGCCCAGGACATCCAGCCCTACCATCTCCCATCCTTCATTCTCCCTCTCTTCCAAATATAGCTGCTGCCCTCCATCTCCATTACCAACAGCAGCAGCAGCAGCATCATCACCATCACCACCACCACCACCACCATCACCACCAGCAACACCACCGCCTGCATCGGCACCACCAATATCATCTCCCGAAGCTCTTCCCTCGGCCAAGCCACAGCCAGCCCGAGCCCAGATGTTAGGTCCGAGAAGTATCAGAGCTTGCGATTCAGCAGCAGCGATGGAAGCAGGGTCGAGTCCTGAGAAAATTAGAGGAATCATAGTTTGAAAATACTCAGAGAGTTGATTTCCATCTGATATGGGCGGAGCACATCCTGTCAAAACCATATAATTATACTCATATCGAGCCTTTCGCTTGGATGAACAGCAGAGAAAGGGGGAAGGAGATCCCAGCAACAAAGGCCTGAGAAGCGGGATTGGACGGTAGAACGGAATTGAGACAGGATGAATAAACAAGCGCCCGGATTCAACAAACTCCATGGGAACTTATGTGGGAGTATAAGGGGGTTGAAGGGGGCTGAAGGGACTTGAAGAGGACCGAAAGGTCGAAGGGGAAAAGGGGGGTTGAAGAGGGTTGAAGGGGATTAAAGAAGGTTGAAAGGGGGTGCCCTTCAACCATCTTCAAAACCCTGCCCCCAAGTCAGTGCCCCCAAGAGGGTTGAAGGGGATTAAAGAAGGTTGAAGAAGGTTGAAGAAGGCCGCCGACGACCACAAGTTGGTGCCCTCAAGGCGAAGCCGCCGACGACGGGAAGCCAGTGGCTGACTTCGACTGCCGTGGTCGACGAAGGAGGTCGTCGACTTGGGGACGCCGACTTGGCGAAGTCGACGGACAGCTTCACCGTGGTCGACGAAGGGTTTGTCGACCCACGGGTTAACCGACTTCGGTGAAGCCTTCTGCGACACCGACTTTGTTGGAACGGCGGAGCCGACTTTGCAGGCGGCCAAGCCGGTTTTATTGGCCGATTTGGAGGATCAAGTCGGCGTGGTTAGCCGACTTCGACGGTTAGCCGACTTGGAGGAAGTCGGCTACAGCAGGGCCGGCTTCGGCGAAGCCGGCCAAGACGTTGGTCAACGAGGTGAAATCGACGGCCGACGAAGGTGTTCGTCGACATGACGCCGACTTGGGGGCACCGACTTGTGGTCGTCGGCGGCCTCCTCCGGTCGACCGTGTAACCTGGCCGACGAATTTCTGCGGGGGTGCGCGAACGTCGTCCAGAGTTTTAACGAAGCCGACCTACGTGGCAACGTCACGTGCGCACGAGGTCGGCGTGGCACATCTGGAGCAACTGTCGGTGCGTGGCCGACTTGACACCTGTGCAATGTTCGTGACGGTGCACAACGTGCTCAACCGTCCACATGCACCTGCCAAGTGGGTGCGCTCATGCGCTAAGGCCACACGCGGTGGCAACGCTGACAAGCCGCATTGCTGCAGCATTGGCGAGCGGCTCTGTTGCAGCGCTGGCAGGTCGCCGACTTGCAGTGCTGGCAAGCCGCCATCGAGCTGTGTTGGCGGGCCGCCGACTTGCTGCGATGAGTCCACCTGCATATCTGCTATGTTTCTAGGCCCCAGATGTAGTCATTCTTGTTTACCATCTTTGCACCATTGTTGTGCATCCTATGCTAGTGAAACTCTTGCCAATTTGTCTTGTGAACAAAGAAGTAGAGAGGACACGAACAAACGCTACGATCACTCGTACCACCCGTGCCTTCCCCCGTAGTCCAGTTTTCGGTGTAGAGTGACTCTCCGCAGTACACAGGATTCATTATTGAAGTACTGAACTATGTCCTTCGATACTCATAGTACATTTGCATTTGGAGTGCAAATCCACCCAATTATACTGGAAACCCCACTTGCAAGCGGTTTGTCCTACAACACATACTTCCTTCTTTTGTGTTTGGACATTCCAACCACATTTTAAGAACCAATGGTGGTTGAGATCCCAACCATCACTTGCTCCCAACCAACTTCTTCCCTCCCAAACTTCCAGTGTATGTGTTTTTCAATCTAATAAAAAGCTTCATAATACTATTCACAAGGCACTTGAACCTAGTTTGGGTTCAACTAGGATTTCGATAATGGGTTGGGAGTTTAACCATGACATTAATATTCCCATGTTGAGTTGGGGGTTAAAAGAGGCCTAATGATGGTGGCAGCTTAGCTCGAGCACAACATCGAACCACTTCGAGCTTCTCTTTCCACTATGACAATCGGACTCATGTGAAGGGTATGGAAAAACAAGAATCAACGCACCTATGGTGGAGCTGGAGGTTGCAACTTTGAGCTCTGTTAGCTTTTGAGTCAACTCAAAAGTCAACTTGGAAAAACAAGAATCAACGCACCTGTGGTGGAAATGGAGGTTGCAACTTTGAGCTCTGCAAGCAACGAGGGAGGCATGGGCCGTGGAGAAGAGAAGAGGCCCCTTGTGTGCCCGAGGCGGTCCGCCAACGGACCGTAGCTGAAAAGGGAGGGAGGGAAAAGTATGGGGTCGAGAGGGCAAGATAGTATTTAGGGCAACTTAGATAGAACACAATTTTTTGGTCAACTAAGGAAAGGGGTCCTCTAAAAAATTGTCAACTACGTAAACTTTGCTTCACTTACCGGTGGACGAGGTCATTGCGGCACCAGAGGTACAAGGGCGGAGGGATATTATTCCATTGATTCATTGTCTTGTTGTCCTTATCATGCGACCCTGGCAAGTAGAACGCGCGATTCTCAAAACTCTTCTCGTCCTTCCACAGTAGCGTATACCCAAGTGGGCCCAGCTGTCGCGTCTCCGGGGGGACAATGAGAATGATGAGCTTGGGTCGAAAGACGGAGGCGGCACGGCTCGAAAAATTCGAAGCCAGTTGCCCTCGCACGCCAAAGGGTGGGTTGAGGCCCATGATGAGGCGATTTCCTTGAGGGAGCTGGTTCCTCTGTTATACGGGCATGGGATAGAGAGGGAAGGGAGGAGAAGGGAAGAAGTTGAGGATGTGCAAAGGATAAAAGCGAAAGGCCGGGTTGATACCAATGATGAGGCGCTTGTGAAGAGGGAGGGAGCTCGTTCCTTTGTTGCATGGGTATGAGTTGGAAGAGTCAAGCAAGAAGACAGGAAGACGACGGCGATCGATCGTTGCTGACAAGATGACGTTCCCTCAACCATAAGGGCATGGGATGGAGGACGCAAGGTAGGCGACTAGGAGATGAGGATGTTCCACGGAGGATGACAGGGTATGGAAAGAGGAACAAGGCAGCAGCAACAAGGCTAGCTTTACCACGTCTTGTTGCCCTACAACTAGCTCTCCTGTGCTAGAACTAGCCCTGCTGAACCAAAAGAAGCTCTACTTCGTTACATCGTCCTCTGTCGGGCTACAACTAGCTCTGCTCCATTACAACTAGGAGCCCTGCTACTACCTCTACTGCGTTACAACTACCTCTCCTACACTACCAATGGTTATGCTTCATTACCAGTAGCGCTGCTGCGTTACAACCAGCTCTGCAGCGTTACAGCTAGCTCCGCTGCATTACAACTAGCTCCGCTCCATTACAACTAGATCCGCTGCATTACAACTAGCTCCGCTCCATTACAACTAGCTCCGCTGCATTACAACTAGCAACCGTACAAGGCTAAAGTTGCAACTGTATGAAGTGGCAAGCTGAATAGTGCAGAGCAGTGACCGGCAACGGGCAGTTTCCCTGCACTACTTTTGTGTTCCGCACTAGCACTCACACATACCCTATCGGCACGCACCCCAACAGCATAGCATACAACCTACCGAAACGCATCCCACCAGCACATACCCCACAAAAACATTCCCCACCAGCACAGAAGCTATCAGCTGGAGGGAGGAGCCACCATTGGAGACATGTGCCACCAAAGGTCAATTACCCACATCACTTATCAGCAGCACCTACCAGCAGCACCTACCAGCAGCACCTATCAGCACTGCTGTTTGAACCTAACAATAACATGCATGCACTAAATCGAGCATAATCGATCCATCCCCTAATTCAACTCGTTCAGTAAATCCATTCATCCCAACAAACAAGTGTGCCATGTGTTTCCAACTTCCCACCATGCCATGCCTTCCCCCACATGCCATGCCTCGCCCCCACACCATGCCTCCCAATCCCCACCAGCGCCATCTTTTGAGTCGACTCAAAACACGCCCCCACACCATGCCTCGCCCCCACATGCCATGCCTCGCCCCCACACCATGCCTCGCCCCCACACCATGCCTCCCAATCCCCACCAGCGCCACCCACCTTGGTCTAACCAGTCGAGATTGACAAAGAAGTACCCAATCATCCACTCACCATTTGCACCCAGCAGCACCCAGCAGCACCCATCAGCACCCAACAGCTCCCAGCAGCACCCATTCGCACCCACCTTGACGGAGAACCAGTCCCGCTTAACAAAGCAGAACTCATTGGGAGGCCGCATGATGTCGAAATTCGCGAACCCACACCGCTTCCCCGCCTCCTCCAGGCGATGCCTTGCGATCAGCGAGAAGTGATTCGCCCCGCAGCAGAAATCCACCAGCACGTCCCCATCCTCCATATAGGACACCAAGCAATGCCTCCCCACCATCCCATACCATACCCCCTCACCAAGCCGTGCATTCCCGCTTGCCACGCCTCCCCATCCCAACCCACCAGCACCCATCAGCACCCATCAGCACCCATTTGGACCCACCTTGACAGAGAACCAGTCTCTTTTCACAAAGCAGAACTCATTGGGAGGCCGCATGATGTCGAAATTGTCAAACCCACACCGCTTCCCCGCCTCCTCCAGGCGATGCCGCGCAATCAGCGAGAAGTGGTTCGCCCCGCAGCAGAAATCCACCAGCACGTCCCCATCCTCCATATAGGGCACCAAGCAATGCCTCCCCACCATCCCATACCATACCCCCTCACCAAGCCGTGCATTCCCGCTTGCCACGCCTCCCCATCCCAACCCACCAGCACCCATCAGCACCCATTTGGACCCACCTTGACAGAGAACCAGTCTCTTTTCACAAAGCAGAACTCATTGGGAGGCCGCATGATGTCGAAATTGGCAAACCCACACCGCTTCCCCGCCTCTTCCAGGCGATGCCGCGCAATCAGCGAGAAGTGGTTCGCCCCGCAGCAGAAATCCACCAGCACGTCCCCATCCTCCATATAAGGCACCAGCCGCTCCACCACCTCGTTAAGCTTCTCGGGCATCGTGAAATGCCGCCCGAAGGACGTGTACCGCTGCCCGTGAACGTACGGAGAGAGGTACACCCGCAAGGTGCTCCCGATTACGTTCAGCTGCTGGAGTTGCATCTTAGGGCAAAGTCCCATCGCTTGTTGCAGTGCTTGGGCTGATATCACCCCTGCTTGCTCCAACTCCTTGGCTAAAAAATTCCGAGCCTTTTCCCCTGCGTGGAGGATTGATTCGAGCTTGCTCAGCGCTATCTTCCGAGGGTTGCCGCCCTGGTTGTTGTTGTTGTTGCCGCCCGCATTTCCGCCCGCGTTGCCGCCCGAGCCGGAGCCCGCGTTGTTGTGGCAGTGCTGGTACATGCGCGGGACGGCAAGGCCGGCCTTGGCCGTCTGTTCTGTGACCTGCTTCGCTGCATCCTCAAAGATTTTGCTCAGACGAGCTCTGGACGCGTCCAGGTCACAAGGATACTGGAACATGTGGCGTGGGGCCTTCCCTGTGAGTGCAAGATATGGGAGGGAAGGAGGGGGGAGAGGTAGGTGTCTGTTCCGTGACCTGCTTCGCTGCGTCCTCGAATATCTTGCTCAGACGAGCTCTGGACGCGTCCAGGTCGCAGGGGTACTGAAACATGTGCCGTGGGGCCTTGCCTGTGATTGCAGAATACGGTGGGGAAAGAAGAGGGGCAGGGGGGGGGGGGGGGGGGGGGGAGGTTCTGAGTTGATTCAATAACTGGCTGCGTCCTCACATATCTTGCGCAGGCGAGCTCTAGACGCGTCCAGGTCGCAGGGGTACTGGAACATGTGCCGTGGGGCCTTGCCTGTGAGGGAAGGGGGTGAAGGGGTGTGGGTGGGTGAGTGGGTGCATAGTGTGCAGTTTACAAAGCACCTCTGGACGCGTACAGGTCGCAGGGGTACTGGAACATGTGCCGTGGGGCCTTGCCTGTGATGGCAGGGTATGGGAAAGAGGCAAGGGGGAGAGAGAGATAGGTTCTTGAGTCAAGTCAAGGCAAGGCCGGCCTTGGCCGTCTGTGCTGTGACCAGCTTCACTGCGTCCTCACATATCTTGCTCAGGCGAGCCCTGGAAAGGACACGTCTAGACCGCAGGGATACTGAAACATGTGCCGTGGGGCCTTGCCTGTGGAGAGAAGGGAGGGGGGCAAGGGGGAGAAGGAAGGAGAGTGGTGAAGGGCGGTATGGATGGGTGGGTGAGTGGATAGATAGTATGTAGCTCTGAAACAAGTCCTGGACGCGTCTAGGTCACAGGGGTACTGAAACATATACCTGTGCTTTCCAGTACATGTTCCAGAGATTCAGATATCTCTGCGCCATGTACCTTTGCTCCAGGTCTGCGCCGTCTCCTTGTGCATAAAGCCCCTCTTGCATCTCTGAATCCCCCCCATGCTCTGAATCACACACACACAGGGTTGCTGACACTTGGAGAAATTTTTCCAAAGTGCCTCCACTCAGATTCACCATACCTTTGTTCCAGCTCTGAGCCATCTCCTTGGGAGTGAGCCCCCCTTTGCCGCTCTGAATCCCTCCACTGCCCTCCCTCACACATAGTAACAACATTGTAGTTACCTTAGGTCCAGTCGAATTTGTACCTTTGTTCCAGCTCTGAGCCATCTCCTTGTGAGTGAGCTCCCCCTTGCGGCTCTGAATGCCCCCAATGCTATCCATTGCCCTCAGAGCCGCCTCCCTCTCCTCCCTCTCCCTCTCTATCCACGACCGCTTCTTCCCCTTCCCCTTCTCCCCTACCGCTTCTGCTGCTCCTCCTGCCGCAGCTCCTGCTGCTGCTGCTTGTCCTTGCTCCTGTGCTGAACGGGATGATCCAGCAGCAGCGGCAGCAGCAGCTCTGGCAGACGCTGATGCACCTGCTGCACCCGTCTCACTCAACCCAAAACCTTCCATCTCCATCTCCTCCTCTTCCTCCTCCTCTGCAGCCTCCTCTTCCCCCTCATCATCCACAATCATCCTCCTCCTCTTCACCCTCCTACCAGCTCTCCGCTCCTCCTCCCCCAACACCCTCCCCCCCTCCTCCTCCTCTCCCTCCTCCAAATCCACAAACCAACTTGTTTTTCTCGGTCCCCTAGTCCTCCTCACGTCCGGAAATTTATGGTGCCCGCGGGCAGCAGTACCAAGAAAAGGATCCAATGAATGCCTGGTACAGTACATAAGACTCTCGGCAAACCCATCCCCAACACCCCAAACCCTCTGCGGATTGCTAGGGTCATTTCCATCCAGTTTCAGGTCAGGCGGAATGCATTTCACATGGAAAGATTTTGGGCAGCGGCGGCACGGAACAAGCTTGAAAGATTCCAAGTCTCCCTCACCCAGCTGGCACTTGGAGCAAGTGTGCAACGGGCAGAAAAACATTCCGGATCCTGCCCGGATGTTCCCGGCGACAGTTTCCAGCTCCTTGATTCGCTCCTCGCTGCCCTGGGGCAGCCTTTTAGAATCGGCCAACCACGACGCGACACATGTCGGGTGGTAGAAATGCCCACAGAGTGCCACGTCACACATGAACACCTGCTGTTCCTGCAGCACCTGCTGCCCCTGCTCCTCGCCCTCCCCCCCACCATCCGCCCCCGAATTCCCACCCAAAACCGGCTCCGATCGCCCGAGCTGGTGGCAAATAAAGCACACGTGCTGCTTCGCCTCGCAATTCGGGCACAGCCAGGTCTCCTTCTCATGCACCTCTCTGTCCGTCAGTCCAATAGTCGGGCAGTGGAACTTATCCCTCCGCTTCTCCTCCTCATTATCAGGCTCCACGTGGAAAGAGCGCATACAGGGGCCGTCACAGCACACCAAGTCGCCCCCATCGTCACAGATGTAGCACACGCTGTCCCACGCTGCCACCTGCTCATCCTCCTCCTCCTCCTCTTCCCCCTCGTACAACCCCTCCGCTCCTTCCTCTGCACCTTCCTCTGAACCTTCCCCCGCACCTTCCTCTGCTCCTTCCTTCCATGTTCTGTACCTCGCGTCTCCTCCCCTTCCTCCTCCTCTGCTGCTTCCACCCACATCCATCTCACCCTCATCCTCATCGTCTGAAGCGATGAATCTCCGATCCCGCTCCTCCTCATCCTCCTCTTCCTCCTCCAGAAACCTTGCTACTCGCCGCTTCTTTCTCAGCAATTTTACCTTATCCGAACCTGCTCTATCCAATCCTGCTCTGCTCATTGGATACCCTATATTTTCCAGGATTTTATCTCGCACTTGAGCCCGTTCGCTACCTCGCTCATTCTCTCCCTCCTTCTCCTTCCCCTTGTCCCTCTCCTTGTCCTTCCACCCTTTCTCTACCTCCCTTCCCTTACCCCTTTCCGTGTCTCTCTCCCTCTCACTCCCCACTCCTCGCTCTTTCCCACTCCCCCGCCTCTCCTTCTCAAGAAACTTCCAAAGACTAGAACTTTTCAGAGCCACGTCATCCTGAATAAAATCTCCCAGCAAATCCATCCTCTTTACAAGCCGCTCCAGATCAACGTTGTGTGACCGCAAAAACTGTTTCACCTCACATTCCGACCAATCAGGATGGAAACGCACGCAACACTGCGCCCACCCTATCTCCGAACCCAACCCCCCGGACGCGTAACCCAGGCTCGGCTTCCGAACCTCAATCCATTTCTCCCCATGCCGAGCCTGCACTTGAACTTTCACCAAATCTACCTTCACCACTACCCGCCAAGCCACCACATCAACAAACACAGGTGCCCCACCATTCGCATCCTTCCCACGCAGATACACCTTCTCCTTCAACAAAGCCGAACTCCATTTCTTATAAAGAGGCAACCTATAGAAGGAATAAAGATCTCCAGCGGCAGTTTCTAGGCGGAAATCAGTAACAGCATTTGGAACCCGCACAGCTGCATCATCATCGTCATCCTCATGGTGAGCAATAGGGTTCTTAAACAGTTCCGACTGACCCAACCTACGCCTCGCACCCTCCTCTCTGTCCCCGTCCTCCCTTTCCCCACCCTCCCTCTCCCGCGCTCCTCCACTCACTTCACCTCCTCCCCCACCTCCTCCCCCTCCTCCCCCTCCTCCTCCTCCTCCTCCTCCTCCTCCTCCTCCTCCTCCTCCTCCTCCTCCTCCTCCTCCTCCTGTACCTTTTCTCGCCTCCTCTCCCTTCCTCTCACTCCCTTTGCCTGAGCCCTCGGCTCCCCCGTCTTTCCTCCCTCCAAACCCTGCTGGTCCTGCTATGCCTGCAGATCTTGCTGCTCCCCCTGCTCCTGCCCCCCCTTCTTTCCCGCGTTCCTCTCCTGCTCTCGCCCTCTCCCCGCCGTCCTTGCCTCTCTCACCGCCCCCGGCTCCCAATCCCAATCCCCCCTTGCTTCCTGCTCCGATCGCCAGAACCGTCAGTTTATACGAGCCGGACCGACCCAGCGGCACAGCCTTAGCAGCAACCGCAGAGAACCCACCCCCACCGCTGGAACCACCCGCAACGCCTGCAGCAGCAGAAGACGAAGCGACAGCAATCACCGACTTTCCCGAACCTAGCATAGGTCTGGTAGAGACAGGTCCGGGACGCTTCACTCCCCCCCGTTCCGCGCATCCGTGCACCTCTCTCCACTTCGGCTTGCTTATACAAAATTCATCGGGAGTGAGGGGATTTCGACGGTTCCGATTGTAGCTCTCCAAGAACGTGGTTAACTGGCTAGGAGAATAAAATTTCTTCTTATCCGGGGTTATGTAAAAAATATCCCCTCGGAATTTCGACATCCACCAGAAACCGTCCGGCTCGAACGGCTTAGTCTTTTCCGCCTCGGTTTTTTTCTCCTCGGGATCCAAGCACCGGGCTCCTGGCCTATAGGGCTCTGCCTGGTGGCAGAACCAATCCACAGTTTTGGAGTCTGCGAGTTTTAGAAATTCCTCGGGAGGGATTCGACGAAGCTTCTTGCATGTCTTGCAGATGACACGTGGCCAGATCTCGTCGTGGCCGGCTTCAGCCGTACGATCCATTTGTATCTAACGGTTTTCAACCCACACACTTCATGAATTAGTAGGTCAATGCCTAAGTTGCAGCTACGATGGTTGTAGGTCAATGCCAAGGTTGCGGCTAAGTTTTTTGTAGGTCTCGGAACTTCAAGCAACGCTTACTCATTTCGCTAGGGGCATGCGAAGTAAACATAGGATTTACTCGTCGCCAAGGTAGCGACGATAAGTTGTGCGGTGAAGGATAGACTCAAGCGAAGGATCTAGACAAGAAGGGGCAGAAGCGTGAGTGGCAAGACTAGATCCTTCGCTTGAGGGAATAGTCGAAGGAGGGAGTCGGAGTCATGCTAAAGGGAATAGCTCAGGAAAATATACTGGTGGTACATCTTCGAAAGTGTTTTATGAGTTGAATAACTTTAAAGTTTATTATCATCTCACGTAGAAAAAGATATCAACCATACAGTTAAAGAATATTTGCATCTTACTTAAAGAATCTCTTTATTCATTGGTATTATATTGGCTAATACACACCAGATCAACCTAGACATACATGGCTTAATCACCTATTACTGTTTCATATTACCTTCCAACCTAGGATCCCAGCTTCCCTTCATTGAAGATTCAAAGGTCTGACCCAGAAGAAACAGAAGAGCAGGATGATAATGACAGGGCAGCAGGTAAGGAAGAGTCTTGGAGGTTCTTGAGCCTGGATCTCCTTCCTGGCAAGATACGGCATGAAAGAATACTAGTGTACAATTCATCCCCCTCCTTATCTCCATGTTCGAAAGCCTCACACCACCCTCTCCCAGAAGATGCGGGCGACTCTGTTACGTTTGAGGCTTCATCTGAAGTTTTAGAGGGCAGCGACGATGGGGAGGGGAATTCACCCTCATTATCAGCCTGGTCGTTGGAGGTTTTGCTTTCCCCATCCACTACGTCATCTCCGTCGACTCCGTCAACACGGTTATCGTCAAATTCACCAGCTGTATCCTCGACAAGCGATGACCTGGTAACGTGACTTGCTATGGAGCTAGGTACACCACACTCCTCCGACCTTGCATGCTCAGTTTCGATGTTGTCACCATAGACTGTTGATAAATGAGAACCCGTGATTAAAGGGGAATGTCCCTGTAGCCGGGATCTTCTGGTTTGCCGGGATCGTCCAGGTGTCCTCACGACAGTTGCTTGCGAGCCGCACGGTGCTGACGTGGGCAGCACATTGCTCTGCGATCGCGGAATCTTAGCCAGATTTGCAGCCACTATTTGCGGACTATCGGCAGTGGCGTTCGAGTTTAGAATTTGGCCGTTGTTCTGGCGGTCAGTTCCGGGCCCGCCAGGGCTGGTGGTTGGAGAAGCAGGTTCGCTCTTCGCCGATTCTGTCGCAGCTTCTGTTGCGACAACGACACTCAATGCTCGCGGCATGGCGACAGCGTTCTTAGAATTCTCCCGGCGCTTCATGGTTTCGCATTGGGCTGTCGTCGGACGTAACTGACGCGTTTTTGGTCGCTGCGATTGTACTTGCGACGGAGCATGCGACGGAGCCTCCAACCGAGGCGGAGCGAGCTGCTTCTTCAACCATGGATGCTCCAACACGCCGATTATATCAACTCTCTCCATCGGATCTGCCGTTAACATCCGACGGATTAAATCCTTGGCTTCGAACGAAATCGACGGCCAAGGTTTCGGCAGCAGATCTGACGGCAGCAGTTTGCGATTGTCGTTGGGAAAGGCCGGCCAGTTCGCAGAGAGCATCGCGTAGAGCAACACGCCGAGCGACCAGATATCCGCGCAGTAGTTGTACGGCTCGTGCGCCAGGACCTCGGGCGCTTCGTACGGCGCACTCCCCGCTGCTCCGATAATAGCCGAACCCGGTTGTAACGGAAACGCCAGTCCGAAGTCTGCGAGCCGGAGTTGCAAATCTTCCAGGCGTAAGGATTTATCCGTAGCATCGCCGTTGGAGGAGGCGAGGGAAGCGGGGGACGAAGGAGGAGACTTTTCGCCACGCTTTGCGGGCGCGGCGGAGTTGGGAGATACTTCCGCCGCCGGCGGAACGATAAGAATGTTTTCAGGCTTAATGTCCCGATGCACGACGCGGTTGATGTGACACCACCGCACAGCCCTCGCTAACTGTACGAACAGCCGCGCCGCCACGGACTCCTCCAGCCCCTCGTGCTCCGCTATAAGCGCGAACAGATCGCCTCCCGCGCAGAGCTCCGTTATCATGTAGACCGCTTTGTCGTCTTCGTAGAGGCCGCGTAAGCACAGCACGTTCGGGTGCCCCCGGAGAATCAGCATCGATTGAACTTCTCTCCGCAAATCAGCGAGCTCCACGTGTGACATGCCGCGTTTGCGGACCTGCTTACACGCAAGGGTTTCCCCCGTTATTCTATCCTGGCAGCGCCAAATGCGGCCAGACTGGCCCTCTCCAAGGATGTCGCTGAAAACGTAACGATTAAAGAGCTCTGACGTCGGTAGCGCCATGGCTGATTGACTATCATGCACAGAAATATCTACCATCTGCGCTTCTAATGTACTCGACCTAATCGACCACAAGAGGAACTAGGAAAATGTAAATACCAAGAACCGAGCTTTTCTTTTGATGGGGCGAGTGGACGGGCACGATGGGAATACAGAGCGGAATGTTTCTGGACAACGATGCGTGCGTATGCGGTAAACTAGCATGGGCTCATTTCTCATGGTTCCTTGTGTTCTAGGGCCCGTCCGACTCTCGCAGCCAAGATGCCGTTCGTGTACCCCCCAGGAACCGTACTGCTGTCGCTGTAACTTCATCGCAACAAAGGTGGCAAAGGTGGTGAATGAGGTGGAGTAAATCTTAGGAGAGACAACGCCAGCAGCGGTGGCTAGAGGCCAGAGGGAAAGCACGCAAATGGTGAGGTTGGTTGGCATTTCGTTGTCCGTTTGAGCTGGCATGCCGTCGTTGTTGCTCGCATGCTGAAAATTGATCAACACGATGCTGCAGCAGCGGTTTACAGTACCGAGCTGAAGTCCCCCCCGCCCACCCACCCCAACCCAACCACGTGTGCCATCTTCTCCTCTCCCCCTTACCTTCCCCGTGTCCTGTTTCAAAATTGAAGGGGGAAGGTTGGGAACTTGGGATTGGGGGATATGCTGTTCTACAAGGGCAATTTCATCCCACCCGCGGCTCCCTGCTGGTGTGCTGTGCTGTGTTCGCTGTTCCGCCACGCTATTCCCCCTGGTTTGCTCCTCCCCGCTGGCCCCCTGACATGAGCAGCATTGTGGCGCCCCTGCTGCTCCCCTCCCTCCCCCCATTGGTCTGGTTCGGTCGGTTCCCCTCCCGCCCACCTTCACATCTTTGAATGAGTCAGCTCTTCGTACACCCCGCTGGTCGACTTGTGCTGCATGCAGTGAAGGCGGCGCTGTGTTTGAAATGGGAAAATTATTTTCTCATAATTCAATCAGCGGCGGGCAGATCTAAGGCTGTTCTGTAACCAGTCGATATTTTTGGCTAGGCTGGTTGACAGTGAAGAGAGGGTGGGGTGCGGCGAAGTTGATTGACATCGCCATGTCACACCTCAACATTCCAAAATGGGTTGTGGTAACGAAGGTCGTATTGACCCTGATTGTTTGTGAGACCCGCCAATCTGAATAGCAGAGAACTCCTCCGAAAGTTTCACAGAAGAACTCTTGTACACCCCCGAAATATTATATGTTTTGGAGTTTCCCTTTGGCAAAGTTTATGAAACGTCGGGGTGGGTCCGTCCAGATTCAGCAAACCTCGTGTGTAACTGCCATTTCGCCTTCGTTGCCCCTTTTCATCCTACGTATCGTGTTTTTGGAACCTGGCATGCAGCTCGAGAGAGGCACCCTCGTTGTCGGCGACTCCGTGAACTTCACGCTAAGTTTTCGCAACCCGTCGTTTGGTTTTCCACGTTAAAATATCTCTGACATTATTTCAAGTCCGAGCGCTTGAACAAATTCGAGTCTAGTCTAGAGATGGAAGGGGATCTTGGTGGAAGTCGAGAAGGGAAGGTTAGCTCGTAAATTGTGAAGTTGTGGATTAATACAAAGGACACTATTCCTACACTTACGATATGCCACAAGTCACGGCCGATGGATACCAGGTGGGTTCTTGAATGCGGAGGGATTTTCGTCAAGTACAGCTAGCCACAGCCGATATTCTAGTCCTGCGAGTCAGGGCGCATTCCTGGCTCGTGTCAAGCATCCGGTCATCCGCGGAAACAGGGATTTGGACCCACTTCGGGTCATCCGAGACCAACTTCGGGTCTTCCGGCCAAAAATTGCCCCAACCCGTTTTCTTCCCGGGAAGGCCCGAAGCTTGAAACGAGCCAGGAACCCACCCTCAGTCACACGACAACACATGAAACACTACAGTCCACACGGCGCACTGTTCTTGCTGCCAAGTGCGGCGTGTTTTGCTGCGCACTCTGCGACGCGAAGACTGCTTGTTGTGGTGGTGGGCATTGGCAAGCGTCGGCTCGCCCCGCCATAGCACACCCCCACCTCAGGCCCACATCGCATCTTCGCTCACTTTTCATCTCCACCATACCCTGCACGTTTCCCACTTATGGTCTGAGGAGATATACAGCACATTCTGTGTCCAGCGCGGTCGGAATTCTTTGATTGACAATGGTGATGTGAAAGCCTCAGTCATGGGCTGCAGTACCCAATGATGTCGCACATTCGCAATACGGTAGTCTACACCTGGAACTGATTTACACCAATCTTGAGGATATCAGGAACATTATTTCGTAAGAAACATACCTTATTAGGGCGTGTGTCCTTTGGCGAAAATTGCTGAAGTTCGAACTCCAACCGCTTTGAACCGTGATGAAAGTTTCTCGAATGTCTCTTACCGTGTAAAAAAACTTTAAAAGTTCGAACCTTAGCCAAAGTTCGACACCCTAGTACACACGCCCTTAGTTTAGTTTCTCACTACATCTCTTCAGCATCTTCAACTATTGCTAGTGCATTGCATTGTAAGCTTGGAATGCAATTGCATCGTCAAAGGTCTTTAATATTCAATGAGACATGCATCCCATCAACCAAAGAATCAGTGAATCACAGCCGGATAGGATTTATCTGGTATTGACCCAGCGTATGTAAGGCGGGCCTGCGTGGAGAACTCTGGCAAAAAAATGTTGGAATTGACCTAGAGCCTTCAAGCCAGCTGGTTTGGCGTTTTGCCTTTGACCTTAATTGTTTGACCTAGTGCCTTTTGCCTTTGGCGTTTTTTTTTTTTTTTTTTTTTTTTTTTTTTTTTTTTTTTTTTTTTTTTTTTTTTTTTTTTTTTTTTTTTTTTAACCCGCGCAAACAGGAAGCAAGCATTTAGAGGCGTCACGGTTTCAGTAAACACCAAAGTTTTAAAGCTCTGTGAGTACATCCAGTGGTAACCATGTGTGCTGGCGACCCATCAACGAGGAGAGAATCTAGGTACATGTGCTGAGAGGCATGCACACAGGGGCAAGGGATGCAGGAGAGGCAGGGTTTTGAAGGGTAAAATAGGGGATCATGCTGGTCTAGTGAGGCAAGAGGGGAGAATGGAAGTGGTGGTGTGTATTGAGAGAAAAATGATTTAGAACCTTGTCAGAAAAAAAGACTGTAAAAAAAAGCCCACAGCACAATGGTTGAGGGGGGTTTGATTGAGGGATGGAGAGGCCAGAAAAGGAGGGTGAGGGAGGGTGATGGGAGAAAGAGGATGATGAGGGAGAAAAGGGGGAAAGGGAAGAGGAGGATGAAGGAGAGAAGAGGGTAGGGACGAGGAAGCTGCGGTAGAGAAGAGAGAGAGGAAACAAGGAGGGACATGAAGTTCGAAAAGTAGGGGAAGGATGAGAGGAGTGCCAAGAGCATGGCAACATGGCACCATGGCAAATTGGAAACATAGCATCGCACCAACATGGCAAAATGCCCACTTGCCCACATGCCAATGTGCCCTAGTGCCAACATGCCAGCTTAACAGAGCATAAGAAGCACCAGGGGGGTATGTGGCAGAATGGAAACACGGGGCGAGTTGAGAGAGTTGAGATTACTTCGATACACCATACCCACCATAGACCATGGGCGGTACACTCACCTTTGTCCTCTTGCTGAGTAGACTGGGCGGCAATCTCACCTTTGTCTTCTTGCTGAGGACATTGGGCGGCACACTGATATTGCCACTGAGATCACAGTACCTGTGAAGAAAAAGCATGCATGCATGGGCAGACGGATGGATGGATGGATGGATGGATGGATGGATGGATGGATGGATGGATGGATGGATGGATGGATGGATGGATGGATGGATGGATGGATGGATGGATGGATGGATGGATGGATGGATGGATGGATGAAAGGAAAAACAAAGATGGTTATGATGTAAGCAGAACGTGTGTGATGTGATGGAAGGGGGAAGAATGAGCTTGTGGGAGGCTTGAGACGCAAACAGGGGAAGTCGATGGAATTCAGAAGATGGGTACTGAATGAATGAATAAATTTTGAGCGAATGGGGTTTGAGAAAAAGCTACTTGAGAGAAATCAATGGGAAATGGGTAAATGGGGTTTGTGGCCCACTTGGCGAGTTTGAGTTGCTTCAGAGACGTCCTGATGTCCTCTGGATGGATTGCCGTGCTCTTGGATAGGCTCTGATGGAGGAAGGTGGGGGAGGAGACAAGTGCAGGGAGCAGACCAGTGCGGGGAGCGGACAACAAAGCGGCCTGAGGGCCCTACGGATGTCCTCTGGTTGGATTGCCGTGCTCTTGGATAGACTCCGATGGAGGACGGTGGGGGGGACAGACGAAGGCAGGCAGGAGCGAGCAAGTGGGGAGAGCGGACAATTGGGGGGAGTGGACACGTGGGGAGAGTGGACAATTGGGGAGAGTGGACACGTGGGGGAGGAGGGAGGGGGGAGAAGGACAATGGGTAAGATATGAGGCCCTACATCGACGGTGCAGCTTCCTTGAAGCTTCTTGAGAGAGAGCAGCAGCTGCCAGCGCCAGTAGCTTCTGAAGGCCACCTGAAAGGAAGTGGGGGAGGAGTGGAGGTGGAGGGAAAGTGTGAGGGGAGGTGTGAGGGGAGGTGTGAGGGGAGGTGTGAGGGGAAGTGGGGGGAGGTGGGGGGGGAGGTGCGAGGGAATTGGTGAGGGGAGGTGTGAGAGGAGGTGTGAGGGAAGGTGTGAGGGGAGGTGGGCGGGAGGTGGGGGGAATGTGGAGAGGAGGTGGAGGGAAGGCAGACGAGTGGGAAGGAAAGGAAGTGGGGAGGTAAAGCAAAGTGAGTGGGAGAGAAGGGGAAGGCTTGGGCACCCAACAATCCACAACAGCCATACCAACCCGCCAACACTTCAACCTCCAACCCATCCCTCCAACCCTGCACCCCAGCATCTCAGCAATGCACTCACAGTACCGAGGTCAGAGAGGGGAGGCTTGGGCACTAGAAGCTGCTGACGGGCTGCTGCCAAGTCATAGGCTGAAAAGGGCAGGCCATGGATAGCGGGTGGGTTTTGAGAGATGTAGAAAATATTTCGAGATGAGGGGATCGGCATGCCGAAGGATGAGTTAATCTCTGGGGAAGCGGGGTGTACAGGGGGCAGGTGGGGACCTTCTTTCAGAAACGTTCCCTATAAAATATTTCCATGGAAAAATCTCCCTAAGAAATATATACATATATATATATAAAAACATTGGAAAGATTGTCTCAGGTATAAATTCTCGCGGAGAAAGAATTACAAAAGTACAAAAGTTGGGGAAGGCTAAGTACAGCTTTTGAGACGTCTCAAAAGTAAACTTGGCACAAAACGATGTCAGCCAGTTGGACAAAAGGGTAACAGTAGAAGGGTAGAAAGGTAGCTGCCAAAACGAGACACACAGCCTGAAACTAGCCGACAGGATGCCGGCTGGTTTTAGATATCACGCATGCAGCTGGCAGGCTTCTCAAACAAGCTGAGAGCACCAATCGGCCATATGCCTCGTTCTCTTTCATAAAAAAAAAAAAAAACAAAAAAAAAAAGGTGCTCACCGATTGAGAGGAGCCATCGGCCAAAACCACGTCTCTGGAAGGGAGGCAGCACAACTATGCTGGAGAGATGCATCAAAGCGGGGGAAGTTGACGGCGATGCCAATGGTGACCTGTGGGGCGACCCACGTGGCAACGCCGCCGAACCTCCTCCCATGTCCCCTGCTGGGTTGGCTGCTCCTGCTGTGCCCGTCTCCTCCATCCTGAGGGAATCAACCGGCTCTTGAGGTGCCTGCGGAATCGCCAGGGCCTCTACCTTGGGCCTGTGTGGTTCATCCGGCTTCTCATGTGTCTCACGAGTCACCTCAACCTGCATTCTGTGTGGACCGGCCATTTCACGCTTGGAATCACACGGCTTTTCAGGCGCCTTGGGAGCTACCTCGACCTCCGCTTTGAGCCCTTTCAGCTGCTGTGAATCAGCCGTAACGGCGTTTGCTGCTGGAGAGTCACGTTTGGGTGGTGGAGATTCGGGAGGGGAAGACTCCTGCGGTCGGGGGACGAGGATGGAAAAAGGGAAGGAAAAGGGGAATGGGAAAGAAGGGACTGGGAGTTTGAATAAACAGGAACAAACGGGAAGAGCAAGGCTGCAATGGAGAGGCAACCATGCGGCAAGGCCCGGGCTTGTTAGCTGGTGGTGTGCTTATCGTTGAAAGCACAGCAAGCTTTTCAGAAACAGCATAAAGGTTGAGATAGAACTGGCATACTTAATATCAATGAAAGCACGATGACCGTTTGAGAGTGCTCAAACGTGGTCCACATAGAAACGACAAACCCACCAGCAAAGAACACATGATGAACTTTTGAGAGTGCTCAAAAGTGGTTCAAATGGAGCTGGCATAACCTTACAATTCTGAGGCATATTATTTTAGCACTCGTTAACGAGAGCAGGAGTGTGCTGGGACCCTTACAATGGCGAAGTAGCCAATGAGAGTGTGCCACGTGTCGGAACCCCTTGTGAGGACATAGAAGGTGTGACCCTCAACGGTGTATACACGTGGCTTGTGCTCCAGAAAGAGCTTACCCAGGAGAGACAGGCACTGGGGGGGGGAATGAGGTTTGGCACAGAGAAGAAGGACGAGAGGAGTGTTGAGAACAAAAGAGCATGCTGTAGTGTGTTGTGGCTGTACTGCTGTGTACACCCGCGGCTTGTGCTCCAGAAAGAGCTTTTCCAACAGGGACAGGCACTGCAAGGGATAAGGAGGTGTGGGAGGTGTAGAAAAGGGAAGAAGAAAGAGAAAGGGTTGAGTAAGAATGAGAGACGCTGTACTGCTGTGTGCATCCGTGGCTTGTGCTCCAGAATGAGCTTTCCCAGGAGGGACAGGCAGTGTGGGGGGGATAAGGAGGTGTGAAAACGTGAAGAAGCAGGGAAGGAGGGAAAAGAAAGAGCGTGCAGCATGCAACATGCGACATGCAATATGCGATATGTAACATGAGACATGCAGCAAGCCGCCGCCACCACTGCCATCTCTCCCCATATTCACCACCACCATTCCCTTCTCCTTTCCCTATCCATATCCCCCACCACATCTACCTCCCTTAATTCACCTACCAGTACAGCTTTGCACGATCTGGATCAATCTTGAATCCACCATCTCTTCCCCTTGTGAACTCCCCTCCCCGCACACCACCCACACTTGACTCACCTGGCAGTACAGCTTCGCATGGGCTGGGTCCACCTTGAACACATGCAGCATGGCGCCACCAACACTTCCCCCAGCTTCCTTTCCTCCTCCTCCTTCTCCCTTTCCAAGCTCTGCTTCCTCTTTTCCTCCATCACCCCGCCTCTCTGCACCCTCCGGATCCGCATCAAACCCATTTCTCCCTCCAACTGACGCCTCCCAATCCTGCCCCTGCGCCTCACTCTTGGCCTTTCCTCCCTCACCACATGCTCCCTCCACACCCCCTCCCTTCCCACTTCCTTCATTCCCACTTCCTTCCCTCCCATCTTCTCCCGTCATACCCTCTCCCTTCACACCCTCTCCCGTCACATGCTCTCCCTTCCCTCCCTCTCCCTCCTTTCGCACACTGCTTGTCCTGCCCACATCAGCATCCCTGGCAGACACACTGTTACCCATGCCAGCCACGTCAGCAAGTCTCCTTTTCGAGTCAGCATCCTTGGTACCAGCAGCAGCAGCAGAAGCACCACCAGAGCCGTCCGTTTTAACAGCAGCAGCAGCATCCGAGCCAGCAGGGGCAGCAGCAGCGTCTGATCCAGAAGTCCCATCATCACCTCCCCCCACCCCAGGGATTCTAAACTGCAGCCCTGCAAACGCCTCTGCTGCAGCAGCAGTTTCTGTGCCTGTCGCTGCAGTCCCTGTCTCACTCCCCTCTCTTCTCCCCCCTCCTCCCCCTCCTCTTCCCCCTCCCCACTTCCCCACACCCACATCTGCTGCATATCCTGCTGCTGCCGCAGCTGCCACAGCAGCAGCTGCTGCAGAAGCAGCCAAATTGCCATCCACCCGAGCAATACCACCAGCAACAGCCTCCCCAGCAGCAGCAACCACACCTCCACATGCCTCTGAACCTTCCCCACGCCCATCTCTACCCCTCCCGCCTTCCCTTCCTGCCATCGGTTTGCAATCTTGAATGCCTTCGCCCCCCTCACATGCGTCTGCTGCAGGGAAAGGCATGGCAGGAAGCACGTATAGTTTAGGCGCCTCAAAGTTAGACCCATCACATCACACTAGGCTTCTGCTGCAGGGGCAAGTGTGGCAGCAGGGGCAGGCACGGCAGGCAGTAGGAGAAAGAGTGACAGCAGGAGAGTTACACGGAGGACGAATAGGGTTACCAGCAGCAGGCTCACGGGCAGGAAGTGCAGTGGTGGGGGCAGCAGGGCTGGGGGGAAGGAGCCTGGCACGGTAGACCTCCGCCCCTGGCGGAACAACCTGCTGGCACTTCTCCTGGTCGGTGGAATTCGGTTAGGGGGATGAGATAAGAGTGCACAAGTAAATGAACTTAATTTCGCCTCCACGTACCTAACCTGCAGGAATTTGGCCTGGATGGTGGCATTCGGTCGAGGTTTTAAGAGACAGGAGCGAGGATGAAGAGACCTGCACGTGGCGAGGATGGGCTTTCGGGGCTGAGGCTCTGGGGTTCATGATTAAGGGTTTAACGGTCACGGATTAGGGTCAACTCACCAGGTGCCGCTCGTAAGCTGCTGGAGTGCTGGAGTACTTGAGACAGGCGTCACAGATGAAGAGACGACCCGTGCTGGTGAGATGCGGTGGGTATGGGGAGAAGTACCTGCCATGTGTGCCCACACACAGGCACACACAGACACGCGAACAGATGCGGTGATGGTGAGTGAGATGCGGTGGGTATCGGGAGAAGTACCTGCCATGTGTGCCGACATTGAGATACACGCAGCGCATGATTTATGTACGCACAAATGCACGTGCGTGTGTATGTGCACACACGCACAAAAACGCGCATACCCAACCCAGCATGTATGCATGCACGCACGTGCACCGACACACACACACGCAAAACACTGGAAAGAGTGACTATGTGCAAGATGCAACGACACACACACACGCAAAACACTGGAAAGAGTGACTATGTGCAAGATGCAACGACACACACACACGCAAAACACTGGAAAGAGTGACTATGTGCAAGATGCAACGACACACACACACGCAAAACAATGGAAAGAGTGACTATGTGCAAGATGCAACGACACACACACACGCAAAACACTGGAAAGAGTGACTATGTGCAAGATGCAACGACACACACACACGCAAAACAATGGAAAGAGTGACTATGTGCAAGATGCAACGACACACACACACGCAAAACACTGGAAAGAGTGACTATGTGCAAGATGCAACGACACACACACACGCAAAACACTGGAAAGACTATGTGCAAGATGCAACGACACACACACACGCAAAACACTGGAAAGAGTGACTATGTGCAAGATGCAACGACACACACACATGCAAAACACTGGAAAGAGTGACTATGTGCAAGATGCAACGACACACACAGACACGCGAACAGATGCGGTGATGGTGAGTGAGATGCGGTGGGTATCGGGAGAAGTACCTGCCATGTGTGCCGACATTGAGATACACGCAGCGCATGATTTATGTACGCACAAATGCACGTGCGTGTGTATGTGCACACACGCACAAAAACGCGCATACCCAACCCAGCATGTATGCATGCACGCACGTGCACCGACACACACACACGCAAAACACTGGAAAGAGTGACTATGTGCAAGATGCAACGACACACACACACGCAAAACACTGGAAAGAGTGACTATGTGCAAGATGCAACGACACACACACACGCAAAACACTGGAAAGACTATGTGCAAGATGCAACGAGATACCTGACAATGTCTGCTGCCTGCTCATCACGAGTCAATCTCGTGTGCCCATCCCATTAAACTCACCACTCCCGCCTGCACACCTCCCCTCCCGCACGTCACACCCCCATCGCACACTCACCAGGTGTCAATCTCATGGTCACCCATCTCCACCGTCTCGACATTCTTCACTCGCATCTGCCGCTCCCACGCCGCAGCATCCCCACCCGCCTCCCGATCTGCCTCACCACCCGCCTCCTTCGCCTCTCCTTCCCCTCCCATGTGCGCTGCTCTATCTACGTTCGCTCTCCCACTTCCCACTCCTACACCAACACCAGCAGCAGAAGCAGAGCCAGGTTCTTCTTTCACCCCTGCAGCTACCCCAGTGTCAAGCTTTTGAGGCGGCTGGAGTGTCCCTGCTTGCAAGCTTGGATCAGCAGCAGTGTCAGACGCATCTAGACGTCTCCTCTTTGGCCCTGGAGAATCAATAAACATGCACGGAAGCAGGCAAGCAAGCATCAATAAATGGGGGCCCAGAGTAGTCTATTCTTAAGGCGCCACAAAACTAGGACATAAAAACACATAGGAGCACAATAAACTTAAACAGATTATTGCAGCACAACATGTGGCACTCTAAGTACTTGCACGCAGTCTTTGAAAGTGTTAAGAAAAGAAAAGAAAATAAAAGAAAAAACACTGTCTCACCATCTGCAGCTGGGGAGTGGGCCTCTGTGTCCACGCCAGCAGCCAGCTCAGCCCGCCTCTTGGCGTCCAAATCAGCATACCCTTGATCGTGGCTTTGGATAAGATCGTCATGCTGCTTCTTGGGGTTGTGGTGATTCGCATGCTCACGAGAATGGTCATGCACATGGAGGTCATGCTTCAAGTCATAATTATGATTGAAATCATGCCCATGCTTTAGGTCATAATGATGGTGATGGTCATGCCCATGCTCATGCACAAGTCCAAGCCCATGGTCATGGTCATGCTCATCCTCATGGGCATCCATGGTGGTCCATGGCTCCACTCGGCTCTCCCCCACCCACTCGTCCAGCCGCTTGTTGTCTGTGTCCCTTGCCAGGCGGCATGGGGTAGGGAATGGAGGAGGGAGCGAAAGCGTGGAAAATATAAGTTGAGGTTTAGGTGTATTCACGATCAAAGGAAATACCCACTCGGCTCTCCCCCATCCACTCGCCCAGCCGCTTGTTGTCCGCATCCCTTGCCAGGCGGCAAGGGGACATGGAAGAGGGGAGGGAGCGGAAACGTGACGGACATAAGCTGGGGCTTGCGAAAGTTCAAAGGCAGGAAAAAGGCCCACTGGGCTCTTCCCCCCTACCCACACACTCGTGGCTCGTCCAGACTCCAGACGGTGTCTGCACCAGAGGAACTCACCCCCTCTACTGCTCACAGACTCACACTCCACACACGGAGTGTGCACAATGCTCCTAAAAAACACAGTACTTACAAAAACAAATAAAAATGAAATAAGTGTACAGGGTTACTACTCACATTCTACGTAGTGTATATAGTACTCCACTGAAGAAGCATCCACAAACTCAACTCCTTTGTTCGCCAGCGCCGCTCCTGCTGCTCCCGAACCAGTTGCTTCTAAACCTGGTGTCGAGCCAGCCTCTTTGCCATCCCTATCGGCAGCACGTCTGGTGGTTACCACCTCTCCAGCATCTGCAAGGAGAACGAGGGAGGGGAATCAGCTTGGTTGCGCCAATGATTGAGTTTGCTACTTTTCCCTGCTCCTGACTCGTCGTGCTCTCAGCATTTTTCATCACCCACAGAAGGGATTGGTAGAGGTTACAAAAAAGCGCTACACCACTCACGGTAGAGGTTGTCCCAGGACGCGAGGCATGCCACCCGCGACCCCGCAGGGAGCACCGCTCGACGGCCGGACCCCATCTTTAAGTCGTCGATCTCCCAAACCACAGGCACTCGTTGGATGAAGGGCTCTGCTCCGTTCGTCGCAATAGCATTGTTCGACGGCTCGACGACAGCTCGACGGCTCGACGGCGCTCGCAACCTATCCCAGCTCGTTGCTCGCAAAGATCACACCAGATTCTGCAGAGCCGACGCTTCTTTTAATGTGCCCGCTGCTACCTACCACAGAGATACCCTGGAAAGTCTGGGTTATTCATGGAGCCTCCTAGAATCTGAGTTACCAAAAGGCGACTGTTCCTACAGAGGAATGTGGATTCCTCGGGATATACGACGGACACGACGGACGGAACCCGTACGTTCCAGTTGTCACTTTAACAAAGCGGGCCCTGGAAACGAAAGCTGGAAAATCTGTCGGCCGGGCTCTGCTGTGACAATGACGAATCTATAAGCCTACTCTCGCGCAGTTTGAATGAAGGAGTACCGGAGCGCACGGCGATGGAAGAGGTACATCAGTGCTGCTACTACACATGATGCCTGTTTGAGCCACTCCCGGTTGCCTTGTGAAGGGGGCTTATAAGCTGTAACGTGAATTTCGCAAAAGTTTCGTCAATTCGCAGCTGGCTATAAAGGATTCGCAGGTGCTTATATAAAGGATCTTTAACCTTATCCGTTGACATTTTGACTTCAGTCTCTTCCTTTTGACCTCGATCTGTTCGTTACTATTGGTTCATAACCATGCGACGCGCTTGTAACGTGGGTGCAACAAGCTGGGGAAAAAACCTCGGGTGCAGCGTTTCCATCCGGTGCAGAGCAAATTCGCGTGCATGGGGTGGGCATCACCTGTAAACGGAATTCCCAAGGTGGCAGAAACTTGGCGGGGAGAAGGTGGCCTTTGGTTTGGAGGGAATGTCGAGCTTGGTCGGAATCCCAAGGAGGTTTTCTCAGAACAGATGAGCAAATTCCAGTTAACTTCTAGTCTGTTTCAAAGTCGTTCTTGCTTCGTCGAAGGGATTTTGAGCCCGCGTTCGCGACATGTTTCAGTTGGCGTTTCACAAAATTCATCTCTGTACTGAACTGGGACTGTCAGAATGGTGGAATGAAAACGGCTTCTACAATTCCTGTCCGGCGGGACAGCCGCTAGGTACACTAGAAATGTTTTCAATAAACAAACAGAGCCTGATTTTATATCCTCCATTCCAACAGCCAATGCTATAATTTGAGCTTCTTGTAGAAGTTTGCAACACCCGCCCGTCAAGCCATAACGCAACCATCTCCGTCCATCTACCTGAGTCTCCACTCTTAACCTTCGCAAGAGTCCAGGCACAAATACGTCAATCGTTTGTTTTACTACGTGCATGAGCTTGCGGTCATGCTTCCACACCATATAGACGCCTAAATACGCCCATCCATCTAAACTCCAACCATCAATGATAGTATGATAGCACAAGTCCTCTAGGTGGGAAAACAGCCCCTCACTCCACCTCTCCTGCTCCTGTCTCGTCAAGCCACAGCAATCGCCCCACACTCCATATCAATGACTACCGGTGTGACGGACGCCCCACCTCGCTCCACCTTTCTCTGCCTTACTCTATCCCTCTCCTGCCCTTCACCTCTATCCTTTACTCCACCTCTCTCCCTCCACCTGCACCTGTCTCGTCAGGTACAACACTAAGTCTCCATCCACACCCCATCCCAATAGCACCTAACTACTCATCTCCCAAGCACTACACCACTTCCATTTTCTCATAGGAAACATCTCCCCTCCCCACTCCCTGCACTCACTTCTATCGCCGGCCTCCTTCCTCCCATTCCTCACTTCACCTGCACCTGCCTCGCCAGGTGAACTACAAACTCCCCATACCCCATAAGTGACTCTCATCTCTCCAGCTTTCTCCACTACACTCCACCTCTTTCCCTCACTTCACCTGTACCTGTCTCGCCAGGTGTACCACAAACTCCCCATAACCCATCCCTGTAGCACTCCTATCCTCCACGAACGAATGGTAGAACGCCAGCTCACCGCTGCCGCCCTGCCGCAGCAGCTGCACCGCTTGATGACAAACCTCGCCGCCCCCTTTGCTGCCGTTGCCGCCCGGGAAATCCCCGCTGCGCAGGGCATCTACTATGGCTGAGATTCGGGCGGCAAGAGGGCTGTCGGGCGGAGGAATGAAGGGAACCTGACAAAAACAAGACACAAGGGAAGGAGGGACGGAAGTGGAGAAAGGTTGAAGTGCTTTTTGAGGGCAAGCGGGCTGTCGGGCGGAGGAATGAAGGGAACCTGGCAGAAAACAAGACGCAAGGGAAGGAGGGACGGAGACGGGGGAAGGGTGGAGTGTTGAGGGGAAACAGTACAGGGGCCACTATTTATGGCTTGCACATCGGATGTGGTACGGTACCAGACTAACAGGAATGGCAATACATAAGATAAAAAGGGAGAAGTTGCTAAGAGGAAAGTGAAGGCGAAGAGACTGACGGAATCGAGAACGCGCAAGACATCGAGAGAACTACAAGAACGATGATGCACGAGAAGGCCAATAAAGCGGAAGCACAACCAGAACACTAGTAGAGAGAATAGAGCGCAGGGCCTTAGTTTTGTAAAAAATCTGGCGTACCAGGCTTATATCGGGGGCGTTTAGGGCGTCCTGCCCCACGATCTGGGCGGCGGTGCTAGCTGGCAGCGCGCCGCCCAGCCAGAGCGTGAGGCCGGTGCTGTCGTCCAATAGGAACGCGCCCTGTGGGTCGAGCGATGACGTGGCTAGCGGCAGGGCACGGGGGAGGGTGACGAGGCCAGCCGCGTCTTGCACCCCGCACTACAAGTGGGAGAGGGGGGTGGAGGGGGAGAGCGGGGGGGGGGGGAGGGGGAGGGGAGAGGGGAGGGGAGAGGGGAGGGGAGAGGGGTGGTTCTAAGAAGCATCGATGCATTCAACTGACAACCCACATTTCTGGAGGGGGATGGAGATGAGAGGTGAGAGCAGCTAGGGACTGGCATGCCATGCCATGCCATCACCGTGGCAACCCCAAGGCTGACCATCACTCAAGGCCCTCTCACCTGTGCCGGCATCACATCTACTCGTACGAGACGCGGGTACAGCATCCTGAGCGTCCGCCCCACCGACACCACCTCACCAGCCCTGGCATGGGCGTACACAGCCGTCTCTCACCTGTGCCGGCATCACATCTACTCGTACGAGACGCGGGTACAGCATTCTCAGAGTCCGCCCCACCGACACCACCATCATCTCAAACGCGGCTGCCGCCTGTGCATCCAGAGCACTCACAGTACACACATGCCCACCCACCATCCCCACCACCAAGAGCATGACTCTCTCTCACCTGTGCCGCCATGCTATCAACACGAATCAACCGCGGATACAGCATTCTCAGAGTCCGCCCCACCGACACCACCATCATCTCAAACGCCGCCGCCGCCCGCGCGTCCGCCCCCATTTCCTGGAAGCCTCCTCTCAGCGCCGCACACTTGCAGAGCGCGAGCGTGTAAAGCGGCAGCAGGCGGAGAGACTCGGGGAAAACCAGGCGCTGCTGGGGGAGGTTCGGCTGGTGCATGTGGGATGGGTGGCCGTAGGGGTTGGTGGGGGGTCCGGGCGGCATTCCGTAACCGGATGTGCGGGAGAGGGCAGCGGAGCCAGCCGTCAGGATGCGGTACTCCCGGAGGGCGAGCGTTGTCTTGTTCTGGATGAGCTGGCGGCACTCCTCAAGACGCGATGTGAGCGACTTGTCAAGAGCTGTGAGGGGTGAAAGGAGAGAAGAAGGGAGAGAGAAGGGGAACGGGAAGGAGAGAGAAAAGTGATGCAAAACTCGTCTGTTTCAAATAACAGACCATTCGAGCAGTGAGTGAGGAGCTGTGTGATAAGTCGAGTTTTGAGTCGACTCAGAAGTGAGTGAGGAGCTGGCGGCACTTATCGAGTGAGATGCGATATGAGCCACTTGTCAAGAGCTGTGAGGGGTTTAAGAAAGGGGAGGGAGAAGACAGGGGGGGTAAGAGGGGAGTGAAAGGAGCTGGCAAGCACACTGCAGGTAGGCCCGTCTCACCGATCTTAGCAAGCACAGCCGCAGTCGCTCCCACATTGCACAACTGGTACAACTCCGCCATGTCCCTCACGACGGGCACAGCCAACGTGTGCACAGCAGGTAGGCCGCCCGACTCACCGATTTTCGCCAGGACAGCTGCTGTCACCCCAATGTCGCACCGCCGGTAGAGCCATGTCCCTCACAATCAGCACGGCGAGCGTGTGCACGCAGACGGATGCACCTCACCTCTGAGGACAAGTTGACCACCCAAACCTCACCCATCTTAGCAAGCACAGCTGCTGTCGCACCCACGTCGCACAGCCGGTACAACTCAGTACCCAGCGTGTGCACTGACAAGTTGACCACCCAAACCTCACCCATCTTAGCAAGCACAGCTGCTGTCGCACCCACGTCGCACCGCCGATACAGTTCTGCCATGTCCCTCACGATCGGCACGGCCAGTGTGTGCACGCGAATGTGCCTCTCCCCACACGACGACGTGTACAGCAGCGCGCATTGCAGGTAGGCGGTGGGTTGCCCTGCCCTGCCCAACTTGCCCTGCCCAACCTGCCCTGCCCTGCCCTGCTCTGTTCTGCTCACCTATATTTGCGAGCACGGCTGCTGTCGGCCCGACATCACATCACACCGCCGGTAGAGCTAAGTCATATCCCTCACGATCGGCACAGCCAGAGCGATCAGCTCTGTCGGTTATGCTCTGTGTGATAAGTCGAGTTTTGAGTCGACTCAAAACTCGACTTATCACACACAGCCAGAGCGACCAGCTCTGTCGGTTATGCTCTGCCTACTCTGCTCACTGATCTTAGCAAGCACGGCCGCAGTTGCCCCGGCGTCGCACCGCCGGTAGAGCACCGCCATATCCCTCACAATTGGCACAGTCAACGTGTACACTCGAATCCTCCTCTCCCCACAGGACAACGTGTACAGCAGAGTGCACTGCAGGTAGGCCCTGCCCTGCCCTGCCCAGCCCAACCTGCCCTGCCCTGCCTGCCTAAACCTGCCCTGCTCTGCTCTGTTCTTCTCACCTATCTTCGCCAGGACGGCGGCAGTGGCCCCGACATCACACCGCCGGTAGAGTTCCGCCATGTCCCTCACAATCGGCACGGCCAGTGTGTGAACGCGAATTCGCCTCTCCCCACACGATGACGTGTACAGCAGCGCGCACTGCAGGTAGGCAGTGCTCTGGTTTGCCAGAATTGCTTCTTCGTGGGAGATCTGCACGGCGTAGCCCTTGTCCGCATCCGCTGCTGGGATGGCCAGTAGGTCGCTGCTGCGAATGAAGAAATGGCCGTGGAATGTGGCGATCTTGAGACCTGGGGAAGGGAGGGCAAGGGGGGGCTGAGACTGAGGAGATGTGCACTGGATGGCCCTTCCCCCCCACATGTGTCCGCTGCTGGGATGGCCAGCAGGTCGCTGCTGCGGATGAAGAATGCCCGTGGAAGGTCACGATCTTCAGGCCTGCCCGGGCAGAAAAAAAAAGCAAAAAAAAAAGTGGCGGTGGATGGGAAAACAACAGCGGAGGGGGTAGGGGTTGAGGGGCTGAGATTGGGTGTGTAACAACGGCAGTACAAGAACGGCATGCGCTGCAGTATCCAGTGAATGATGCCATCTAGCGAGGTGACTTTTGAGTCGACTCAGAAGTCGCTTCAGAGGCTGAGAATGGGTGTGCAATTGTACAAGAACGGCATGCACTGCAGTATCTAGTGAATGATGCCATCTAATTCTCATGCCGTGTCCCTCGTGGCTCCTCATAATGCCCTTCACTCATCTCCCATGCACCCCAGCCCAGCTTCCTCCCACGCGCCCACCTTTACTGCATCGGATGCGCATCACTGATTCCCACGCCGTCTCCCGTGTGAGGTTCCTCACGATCTGGCTCCGCAGCTTGTCCCCGTCATTAGCCAAGTGGAAACCACTGTAATGATACACCTGCCCGCCCGTGTAGCGCGCCAACGTGCCTGGAGGAGAGTGGAGGGGAGTGGACGAGAGCAAAGAGAGTGGAGGAGAGTGCAAGGGAGTGGAGGGGAGCGGAGTGGAGGGTAAGGAATGACGCACATGCATCTGGCTGCGCAGCTTGTCCCCATCGTTGGCCAGGTGGAAACCACTGTAATGATACACCTGCCCGCCCGTGTAGCGCGCCAAGGTGCCTGGTGATTCAAAGGGGAGGAAGGGAAGAGAGGCAGAGAGGCAAGAGGGGTGAGAGGGGCAGAGGCGCATCTGGCTGCGCAGCTTGTCCCCGCCGTTGGCCAGGTGGAAACCTGAGTAATGGTGCACCTGCCTGCCCTCCTGCGTAACGCGCCAAGGTGCCTGGATGGAAGAGGGGCAGAGAGGCAAGAGGGGCAAGCAAAGTCATAGGCACATTTGACTCCGCAGCCTGTCCCCATCGTTGGAAGCCAGGTCGATGCGACTATGTCCTTTCAAGCCAGTACTTGCTGCGGAAGACAGACACATCGACACAGATGTGCGCGCGGGGAAACCAAACCCCCCCTCTAGTCAAGCCAACCCTAGACCCTCCAGTGCAACCATACCCGGCCGCGACCCACCTAGGGGCGCCAGGGATACACTCATCAAGTGAAGCCAGGTCGCAGTAGTTGCTGCTCAACACAAACGCGTCTACACAGATGTGCGCTCGGGAGAACTCAGCTCCCTAATAGTGACAGCGATACTCACCCACTGCACTACCGACCCTCCACTCACCGAGGGACGCCAGGTCGCAGTACTTGCTGCTGAACACAAACGTGTCCACACAGATCTGTGCGCGGGAAAACTCCGCTGCTGTTGTCTTGTAGAATGCGTCTTCAGAGCAGCGCACTGTGTGCTCCCTATCTGTGCCATACAGCCTTGGGTCGTCCCCTCTGAGCCTCAATCTCCCAGCTCCTAGAGAGGGCATGGTGGACTGGAAGAGGAGGACTTTCCCTCCCAGCTGGCTCTGCTCAGGACAGAACCGGGGTTTGGATTCAGGGGAGTGGAGTGCGGTGGAAAGGGTCAGTACAAGGCAGGTAGAAGGCGTCCTCAGAGCAGCGCACTGTGTGCTCCCTATCTGTGCCATACAGCCTTGGGTCGTCCCCTCTGAGCCTCAATCTCCCAGCTCCTAGAGAGGGCATGGTGGACTGGAAGAGGAGGACTTTCCCTCCCAGCTGGCTCTGCTCAGGACAGAACCGGGGTTTGGATTCAGGGGAGTGGAGTGCGGTGGAAAGGGTCAGTACAAGGCAGGTAGAAGGCGTCCTCAGAGCAGCGCACTGTGTGCTCCCTATCTGTGCCATACAGCCTTGGGTCGTCCCCTCTGAGCCTCAATCTCCCAGCTCCTAGAGAGGGCATGGTGGACTGGAAGAGGAGGACTTTCCCTCCCAGCTGGCTCTGCTCAGGACAGAACCGGGGTTTGGATTCAGGGGAGTGGAGTGCGGTGGAAAGGGTCAGTACAAGGCAGGTAGAAGGCGTCCTCAGAGCAGCGCACTGTGTGCTCCCTATCTGTGCCATACAGCCTTGGGTCGTCCCCTCTGAGCCTCAATCTCCCAGCTCCTAGAGAGGGCATGGTGGACTGGAAGAGGAGGACTTTCCCTCCCAGCTGGCTCTGCTCAGGACAGAACCGGGGTTTGGATTCAGGGGAGTGGAGTGCGGTGGAAAGGGTCAGTACAAGGCAGGTAGAATGCGTCTTCAGAGCAGCGCACTGTGTGCTCCCTATCTGTGCCATACAGCCTTGGGTCGTCCCCTCTGAGCCTCAATCTCCCAGCTCCTAGAGAGGGCATGGTGGACTGGAAGAGGAGGACTTTCCCTCCCAGCTGGCTCTGCTCAGGACAGAACCGGGGTTTGGATTCAAAGGAGTGGAGTGCGGTGGAAAGGGTCAGTACAAGGCAGGTAGAATGCGTCTTCAGAGCAGCGCACTGTGTGCTCCCTATCTGTGCCATACAGCCTTGGGTCGTCCCCTCTGAGCCTCAATCTCCCAGCTCCTAGAGAGGGCATGGTGGACTGGAAGAGGAGGACTTTCCCTCCCAGCTGGCTCTGCTCAGGACAGAACCGGGGTTTGGATTCAAAGGAGTGGAGTGCGGTGGAAAGGGTCAGTACAAGGCAGGTAGAATGCGTCTTCAGAGCAGCGCACTGTGTGCTCCCTATCTGTGCCATACAGCCTTGGGTCGTCCCCTCTGAGCCTCAATCTCCCAGCTCCTAGAGAGGGCATGGTGGACTGGAAGAGGAGGACTTTCCCTCCCAGCTGGCTCTGCTCAGGACAGAACCGGGGTTTGGATTCAGGGGAGTGGAGTGCGGTGGAAAGGGTCAGTACAAGGCAGGTAGAATGCGTCTTCAGAGCAGCGCACTGTGTGCTCCCTATCTGTGCCATACAGCCTTGGGTCGTCCCCTCTGAGCCTCAATCTCCCAGCTCCTAGAGAGGGCATGGTGGATTGAAAGAGAAGCACCTTGCCGCCCAGCTGACTCTGCAATGGGAGGAGGGGTTAGTGGGAGTGAAGAGAGGTAGAAGGCGTCTTCAGAGTCAGAGCAGCGCACTGTGTGCTCCCTATCTGCGCCATACAGTCTTGGGTCATCTCCCCTCAATCTCAGCCTGCCTGCTCCCAGCGATGGCATGGTGGATTGGAACAGGAGGACCTTTCCGCCCAGCTGACTCTGCTTGGACCAGAGGGGCGGATTGGGGACACAGGAGGCGAGATTGGGGCAGCAAGGGAGTGGGGCAGAAGCGGGACGTGGAAAACGGCATGGAAACTGCTTGGATGTACTTTATGCTTGTAAAGAAATGTGACGTTCAGTTGGTGTACACTTGTTAATGTAGTTATAACATGAAGGCATATTTGAATTGAAGCGTCATCCTTGGAGAGAGAGAGCAGGCGCAACGCAGAGGGGCTCACCACTAGACTAGCAGCGCCATGACCTTGAGCACAGGACCCATAGCAGACTCTACAACCACAGAGTTGGCGAATAAGATGGGTAGAGCGTCCAACAATGCTCCCGCGACGGGGCGGCTCTCATGCGCGTTCACCAGCAGCTCGTCTTCGGGGAGAGGCAGGTAGGGAGGAGAGGAAAGGCAAGGCAGGCTGTATCCTTTCCCCTTTAAACGACAAGCAGAGAGGCTTACCACGAGCAGCGCCATGGCCTTGAGCGCAGGCCCCATAGCAGACTCCACATTCACAGAGTTGCTGAAGAGATTCGGCAGTGCGTCTAGGAATGCCTCGACCACGGGGCGGCTCTCGTGCATGTTCACGAGCAGCTCGTCTTCCGGCAGAGGCAGGTAGGGGGAAGGTGAGGCAGGCTGGCTGTGCCCTTTCCCCTTTTACCCTTCAAACGACAGAGGATAGGGACGAGGGGCTTACCACGAGCAGGGCCATGGCCTTGAGCGCAGGGCCCATAGCAGACTCCACGTTGACCGAATTAGCGAATAAGTTGGGTAGAGCGTCCAAAAACGCCTCGACCACATGCCTGCTCTCGTGCATGTTGACGAGCAGCTCGTCTTCGGGGAGAGGCAGGTAGGGGTCGTCGATGTCGGCTGAGATGAGGATGTGCGGCTGCGTGACGGGGGGCTTGAGGGAGCAGAGAGGCTTACCACAAGTAGTGCCATGGCCTTGAGCGCCGGCCCCATAGCAGACTCCACATTCACAGAGTTGGTGAACAGGTTGGGCAGGGCGTCCAAAAACGCCTCCACCACATGCCTGCTCTCGTGCATGTTGACTAGCAGCTCGTCTTCGGGCAGAGGCAGGTAGGGGTCGTCGATGTCGGCTGAGATGAGGATGTGCGGCTGCGTGACGGGGGGCTTGAGGGAGCAGAGAGGCTTACCACAAGTAGTGCCATGGCCTTGAGCGCCGGCCCCATAGCAGACTCCACATTCACAGAGTTGGTGAACAGGTTGGGCAGGGCGTCCAAAAACGCCTCCACCACATGCCTGCTCTCGTGCATGTTGACGAGCAGCTCGTCTTCAGGCAGAGGCAGGTAGGGGTCGTCGATGTCGGCTGAGACGAGGATGTGCGGCTGCGTGAGGGAGGGCTTGAGGGACACGAAGTGCAGCGCGGAGTCGAAGAGCAGGAAGCCGATGCGCGTGCGCGTGTCCCCTGGGAGGGCGTCGAGACAGGCGCGGATGGCGTCAGAAATCACCTGGGGATTGTGGGGGAGGGTGGAGCACGGGAGGAAGGGAAAGGGAAGGAAACGGCATGGGTTTTACCCAAATTCAAAAGCAGGAAGGGGAGGTGGGCATTGGGGGTGACGAGGATGTGCGGCTGCGTGGGGGAGGAGGGCTTGAGGGACACGAAGTGCAGCGCGGAGTCGAAGAGCAGGAAGCCGATGCGCGTGCGCGTGTCCCCTGGGAGCGAGTCGAGACAGGCGCGGATAGCGTCGGATATGACCTGAAGAGTGGGAAATAGGGAGGGGGAAGGAAAGGAAGGGGAAGAGGACGGGGGAGGAGTCAAAGACGAGAAAGCTGATGCGCGTGCGCGTGTCCCCTGGGAGTGAATCCAGACAGGCTCGGATGGCATCAGATATCACCTGAGGTGAAAGGAGGGGGGAGGGTGGGAGGCCGGGGAAAGGGGGAGTGGGGGAGGGGTGGGGGAGTGAGGGAGAGGATGAAAAAGAGGAGAGGGAAGAAGTGTTTTGGGGCCAAGAGCAGAGGCAGGCAGGTAGGGGACTTCAATTTTTGAGTCGACAAAAAAAAAAAAAAAAAGTGCTTTGGGGCCAAGAGCAGAGGCGGGCAGGCAGGGAGGGGACTATTTTTGAGGCGCCTCAAAAATCGGGCAGGTAGGGGACTTCAATGTCATGTCCCACTCAGATGATTTCTCCCTACCCCCGAAACCCAACAAGAGGAAAGGCGGGGAGAGATGACCCTGCCCCCGAAACCCACTCATTGCCCTCAAAGCCTTGCAAGGCTTGCGAGGCTTTGAGAGATGACCTCACCTGCAGGACCCCTGACCGTGCGTTGTTGACTGAAGCATCGAAGAGGGAGAAGAATGTCGGTGTCCACGGGAGGCACGGGCGGGCGGGCGGGCGGGCGGGCGGGCGGGCGGGCGGGCGGACGGACCATGTACTCCACGAGGGGCAGGGCAACGAGCTCCACACTGCCGCGGCTCAGAGCACACACACTCACAGCTCCCAAAGCAGCCTTACATACGCACCTGCTTCCAAGGATTGTGCCCGTGCTAACTGTGCTCACCTGTAGGACCCCTGATCGGGCGTTGTTAACCGAGGCACTTATCAGGAAGAAGAAGGTGGGAGGCATGGGCGGGCGGGCGGGCGGGCGGGCGGGCGGACCAAGTACTCCACGGGCGCAACGAACTCCACACTGCTCTCAAAGCAGCCTTCCATCCTCGCTTTCTTGCAAGGGACTGTGCTACTGATGCTGCTCACCTGCAGGACCCCTGACCGGGCGTTGTTGACGGACGCATCGATGAGGAAGAAGAAGGTGGGCGGCATGGGCGGGCGAACCATGTACTCCACAGGGGCTACGAACTCCACACTGCCACGGCTCACACACCTCACATTACATTACAGCCTCACCTGCAACACTCCGGACCGCGCGTTGTTCACAGAGGCGTCGATGAGGAAGAAGAAGGTGGGAGGCATGGGCGGGCGGACCATGTACTCCACGGGGGCAACGAACTCCACACTGCCGCGACTCAGCTCCGGCCGCTGCTGCCAGTCCGTGCGCCTGCCCGTGCTGTCGAGATTGCAGTAGTAGTCGTGGGATACTGGAAGAGAGAGAGGGGGGGGGGGGGAGGGGAAAGGGGAGCAGGGGGGAGGAGGTATGGGAAAAGGGGGAAGAGAAGGTGTGTGCATTGGCTTCACAGGTCGCTGCTGCCAGTCCGTGCGCCTGCCCGTGCTGTCGAGATTGGGGTGGAGTACTCGTGGGATACTGCAAGAAGCAGAGAGAGGGTGGCGGAAAGGGGAAGAGGGGGAGTGTGGATGGGGTTCACATCACAGTCACACTCATATAATCTCTCTCAATCTTCCTTCATTGGATTGGTTGCAGCTGTTTGCAGTGCCAGCGAGTTTTGAGACGCCTAAAAAATATTGCGTTTTTGTTTGTCTCAAAAGTTTTTAAGTTTTGCAGCTGTACTGCCTCGTCCCAAAACTTTTGAGATGGCTCTACGCTCACACTCTCTCTCTCTCTCTCTCTCTCTCTCTCTCTCTCTCTCTCTCTCTCTCTCTCTCTCTCTCTCACACACACTCAGCTTCATACACTCATGACTCACTCACTCCCTCCCTCACTCACTCACTCCCTCCCTCACTCACTCACCTTCATTGAGCAGGTTGCAGCTGTTGCAGCGCCATCTCCGGCCGGCATCAGTGAAGTGACTAAGGGGTTCACGTGCGAGCGGCGGTGTGAGACCTCTCAAAACACGACTCACTCACGCACACACTCCTGACTCACCTGCTCCCTCTCACTCACTCACCTTCATTGAGCAGGGTGCAGCTGTTGCAGCGCCAGCGCCGGCCAGCGTCAGTGAAGGTGACGAAGGGGTTCACATACGTGCGACAGCGGCGGCACCTGATGATTCCTGCCGACCCAAAGTTCACCACTGGCACCTCCTCCTCCTGCACATACATTAATTGACATAATGGTACAAGCATAATTGACATCAGGATAAAACATAATAGACATCTGTTCAAGCGCCTCAACCAGCGGCAGCACCAGATGATGCCTGCAGACCTAAAGTTCACCACCGGTACCTCCTCCTCCTGCACGCACAGTGAGTAGGATAATGGAGGTACAGTCAACAGGGAGTTCACATCTTTTGAGGCGTCTCAAACAGCGGCGGCACCAGATGATGCCCGCAGACCTAAAATACACCACCGGCACCTCCTCCTCCTGCACACACATTTATTGACATAACGTTACCGTGCTTGTCAGTAACACCGCTTGTCACCTATCCCTGCTGTCACCTACCCTTGTTGTCACCCACCCTTCCTGTAACCTTGCTGTTCCAGGAAGGTTACACCCCAAAGAGAGCCTGCCTCCACTGCTACCCGCAATCACCACCAACACCACTTGCCACCAGCACTTGCTGTTACCTACCCCAAAAATCACCTGCCCCTAATGGTACCTCGGTACCTGCCTACACTGCTACCTTGATACGTGTCCCAACCGGCAGGTGCCACCTGCAGTACCTACCCTTGCTTCTACCTGCCATTGCTGCTACCTATTACCTACCCAATAGGCACCTACCCAGGAGGAGTGGGAGCAAGAGGCTGCAGAACCGTCCCAAGCAGCAAGTGCCACTTGCAGTCACCACTTGCACCACTTGCCACCTACCCTTGCTGTTACCCACCCAGAAAGCGCCTTCACCCACTAATACCTACCCCAGGAGGAGTGGGCGCAAGAGGTTGGAGTACCGCCCCGAGCGGCAGATGCCACCTGCTCCGGAGCGACTGGGAGTCCGGAATCGCCCCACAGGTCATTCTAAAGTACCGCGGATGCGCGTTCCCCTCGATCTCCGCCAATCCTCCCCCAACCAAGCCTTCCCCCCACCCCTCAAGCGCCTCCTCCCCGCCATCTGCTCCCCCCGCGGAGTCTTCTCCGCCGATCGCTACCCCCGCTGGCCGCGGAAGCGCGAAGTAATCCACCGCGTCCGCCCCCCCTGCGCCGGGCCCTCCGCCGATCGCGAGTGACTGGAGGTCTTCCGCCAATGCTTGCGCGGCTGCTGCTTGCGCCATGGCGGGGGGGGTTGCCGCTGCGCCTGTGGGCGGGGGACCAAGCGGAGCGGGGGGCTGCGGGGGAGGTGCGCCGAACGGGGGAGGCGCGCCGAAGGAGGGTGCAGGGGGGGGGTGTGATGCAGGAGCGCCAAATTGCGCGGTGTGTTGCGCGGTCGGGGGGTATCCGGGGGGAGGCGGAGGTTGGGATCCATAAGGCGGAGGCGCAGGGGCGGAAGAAAACGGCGGAGGGGGGGCAGTAGACGCGGATCCGTACCCCGGGGGAGGCCCGGGTGGCGGAGCACCTGGCGGAGCACCTAGGGGTGGCGGAAATGCGGGTCCTTGCGCGCCTGCGCCTATCGGAGGCGGACCCGGCGGGAGAAACGGCGCGGTACCAGGCGGCCGCGCGGCAAACGGCGGAGGCGGCTGCGCGGAACCCGCTATTGGCGGAGGTCCGGGGGGAGCGCCAGCTGGCCTTCCGAACGGAGGCGGACCGGGGCGCTGCTGGAAGGCGGAAGGCGCAGTCGCTGCGGGGGGAGGTTGGCCATAGGCGGGGGGACCAGGGGGAGGCGCACCCGCCAACGGCCCGTTGGCTACCCCTGGCGCGGGACCTACCGGCGGGGCACCTCCAAACGGCGGACCTGGCGGGCGCGCGCCTGGTCTATTCGGCGGAACGAACCCCCCAGGCGCAGCTGGTGGTTGCGCGCCGGGCGGAGGGCCCGTCGGGGGACCGGGGGGTTGCGCGAAGGCTGGCGGAGGGTGACTGGTGGCGGAAGGCGGAGTAGGGCCTCCGTATGGGGGAGGCGCGGAGCCGTGAGGGCCCGCGGGGGGAGCGGCGAAGGCTGGCGGCCCCGCGAACGGCGGAGGGCCGCCGAATGGGGGGCGCGCGCCGGCTGGCGGAGGTCCGGCGAAGGGCGGAGGGCCCCGCGGATAGGGGGGACCTCCAGGCGCGCCGGATGACATCTGGACGCAAATGAATTAGCTAATGAGCGATTATGTGAACTCAATGCGCGAGAGTAACGGACAAAGCGATCCGTCTATGTGAGCTCAGATCTCTAGGATATGAGATCTGCGGGAGAACCGAACACCCTAATTTCACCCTAATTCAGCTACAAACCGAACACCCAACACGTTCCTCCCAACAGCCGATCGTCTATTCTAACCGCATCCAAGCGCTGTCCGGTAGCCTGCCAAAAGAGCTCGAGTGGATCAAGGGATCAGCTAAAGGAACGAGCATGGCAGTGTGCGACCGAACAACGAACGGCGTGAATGGGTGGTGGGGAATTGACGAACTAGATGCAGTCTACACTAGATCCGTCGGTGGTGGTGGTGGTTCATCGCCAACTGTGCTTGTCCTTCCCAAATCCAAGGATTCTGTTCGGCTCCACACCACAGCAGTTGCCCAAGACGAAGCCGTCTCAGACGAAAACCGTTCGCTTTGTTTCGCATGAGTGCATTGAAGTACGTTCGGTTACACTTGCCACTAAACTCTCTCGCGAAGGAGATGCTATAGAAGGCTTCGTTACCGAATATTCAGCAAATTGTTGAAGGCAAATTCATTGTTTGGGCTTTTGGGTGAATGTATATGGTGAAAAATGCACAGGTAAAGAGGCAATGATTCATTTTCATAGCATTTACATTGAAAACACTATTGGCATACGTACCATGCCTTTCATACAAGCCTCGAGATGAGGCACATCTAACTTGCAGGAAAACACCGTGACCTGCTACTACTAGAAGGGCCTGTTTTGGCCGGCTTGGGTTCTTCCTCTTTATTCACTCCCACGTCCGCGAGGAGAGTGAAAAGAGAGCAGAACTTTGCTCCTCTGTTCCTAAGCTGGGTGCCAATCCGCCATTTTCCGAAGCTTCAGAATCTCTTCGTTTTACACGCCTTCCTCCACGTCGTCCACCTCTACAAAAACTTCGCCGCTATCATCGTCAAAGAACGACGTTACCTCAAACTTCGGGTGTTTCTCTAGCCACTCGCTGATCGCAACTTGCACGTCAGCGGAGTCGCGCTGGTTGTCGCTCTCTTCGACGGCATGGATTAAATCCTCCCAGCCACTTCGTGAACGGAGCAAGGCAGCACGTGCCGACGCTGCCACTTCTTCCTCCAATCCGCCGTCCAGAATCATTTCTGCAGATTCTTCTGGAACGACACGTGGCACATTGAAGACGCCTTGCAGGTTCAGCTCCAGGATCTCGCCTTCGCCGCCGTCAAGAATGGCATTGTTATCCGAGAAATCTGCATCGTCCGCTGGCGATCGGAGAACGGAGAAGGCATCTGGTACGCGGACGGCTTCCGCAACTGACACGGCGAGAATGAGAGCAATAGCCAACACTGATAGAGACGAGTAGCGAGCCATGAGCGTGGATGAAGGATGAGATGGTTTGATGGGTCTGCAGCAGAATGTTGAGCGTAGGATGAAGCTGGTAGGCTGTGAGTCTGCGAAAGCTTGAGCAGAATAAGTCTGAGATTGTCCTGGAAAACCGAGTCGATCACTCACAATAAGCAAACACCGCTAAGGTTCCGGCTAAATACAAGCGGCGTGCACTCGGACCAATGCACACGAAAGAGAGAGAGAGGAGGGAAGGTTGGGATCAATCGAGAGGATCGACGAGGAACGCAAACGAAGAGGCAGCGTGGTGGCCGAGGTTGGTAAGAAAGTTCGAATTCCAGAGCAGGAAGATATCCGATAGCTGTGATTCCAATAATAAACTGCATGCACAAGCTCCTTCTCGAGCTTATCGTCTTGCCAGCTGCACCGCACCACTTCTTTGCTTGCGAAAAGGAGAGGAGGAACGAGTTCTTGGGATTGCCGCAGAGCCCTGCTTTGCTTGGCACTTCAACGAGCACTTGGTAGGAAGAGGCTGCGATTTCAGCTCGCTTGGATGCACAAAATGGGGCTGGTGTTCACACCAATAAATCCACGCAGAATCAAGCGCGCACTGGGGCTCCCCGCGCTAGTAATTCGATAGGAGCTTGATTTCCAGCTGTCCGCGATATTGCGCCTGCCTTGGTGGCCAGTAATATTGACATGCAACGTCTTGTTTGTTTGAAGTGCTGACATCCGTCGGATTCGCTGGTTCTCTTTCTCCGGACCGTCGGAGTGGGCCTGACGACGTTCTTTGACTACTCGTCCCTGGTGGCCTTCAATAATTGTGTGCGACTGGTGGTGATGGACGACAACGAGACATCGCACACAACCTGTCGTCGTGGTCGCCATCCGTCATGCACATCCACTGGAAGCACATACACCCACTGGGGTTAGATTATGTGCACAAACAATATCAAGATTATGAAACCTTGATGTAAATATATTGACACGGGATAATGAAAAAACACACTAAATGAATATACATTGAAAGATGATAATCATGCACATCGTATATTAATGAATTTTTGTCATTAAGTTATCAAACTAAGCATGTTTATATTCAAATTTATACACTGTCAAAGTCGGACTAGTGAAAGAAAGGAGGAAAAGTGTAAGGGAAATTCCTTTTCCTTACTTCGCGCCCCTGCTTACCGCGTACAAGACCATTCCCGCCATCAGCACCCAACAGTGAAACGTTACCCGCTCGCGACACTCGCCTCGACTACGATGTTAGAATCACTAGCTAGGTGATGAATGTCGATTAGGTAAGAGGTGTCAGAATGTATTTGCTGTCTAGCCTGCAGTGGGGTACTCTGTAATGAGTACAACCCAATTTAGGGTGTTGTACTTGTATCCCAACTCTTGCTAGTAAAACCCCATTCCTCTCGATACTTTTCCTAAACTCGAACTCAACTACCAAGGCTCCTAAACTATGGCTCCTAAGCCAAACTCACGCTAGTATTCTGACATGGTATCAGAGCTTAACGTTCCTGGCCTGTGGGCCCACTCGATTCCGCTGCCCTACTGTGTGTCGCGCGCCCCGTGGCGCGCGACATCCCATTTTTCTTCCCGCCACGCGCTCGGAGCGCGTGGCGGTTTTCTTCCCGCCGTGCGCCCCGAGGCGCGCGGCGGGTTCCTACCTCGTCGCGGCGTCTTAGGGGCCCGCGCACTGGCCCCGACCGTCGCCTCGTCGAGGCGTTTTGGGGGCCTGCACGCAGGTCCCTCCCGTCGCCTCGTCGCGGCACTTTCGGGGCCCGCGAGCCGGCCCCTCCCGTTGCTTCGTCGCGGCGCCTTAGGGGCCTGCGCGCGGTCCCCTCTCGTTGCCAGTCGAGGCACTTTTGGGGACCTGCGCGGCTCCCTAGCACATCGCCCGTCAGGGCACAATGGGGGCCGCGCCCTTCCCCTCCCCTCCCTCCTACCTTCCGCTGCAGCAGCCGCCCCTGGAGCCGCCGCCCCTGAAGGAGCCGCCCCTGGAGCGGTCTGCCTTGCAACAGCAGCCGCCCCTGGAGCAGCCGCCCCAGCAGCAGCAGCCCCTGAAGCAGCCGCCCCAGCAGCAGCAACCCCTGGAGCCGCCGCCACTGCAGCGGCTGCCCCAGCAGCAGCAGCCCCTGAAGCAGCCGCCCCAGCAGTAGCAGCCCCTGGAGCAGCCGCCCCAGCAGCAGCAGCCTCTGGAGCAGCCGCCCCAGCAGCAGCAGCCCCTGGAGCAGCCGCCCCAGCAGCAGCAGCCCCTGGAGCAGCCGCCCCAGCAGCAGCCGCCCCAGCAGCAGCAGCCCTAGCAGCAGCAGCCCCTGGAGCAGCCGCCCCAGCAGCAGCAACACCTGGAGCAGCCGCCCCAGCAGCATCAGCCCCAGCAGCAGCAGCCCCTGGAGCAGCCGCCCCAGCAGCAGCAGCCCCTGGAGCAGCCGCCTCAGCAGCAGCAGCCCCTGGAGCAGCCGCCCCAGCAGCAGCAGCCCCTGGAGCAGCCGCCCCAGCAGCAGCCGCCCTTGGCCCCTGCAGCAGCCGCTCCTGGACCCGGTGCAGCCGTGGGGGGGTGGGTGTGGGGGTGATGGTTGTGGGGGTGTCGGTTGTGCGTGCCGTTCCCTCCTCCTCCTCCTCCTTCGTCTCCCACTGCTGCAGCTCTCGCTGAGGGGGGTGGATGTGTGGGAGTCTGGGGTTTAGGGGTTAAGGGGGTGCTGTGGGTGTAGGGCTAGGGTTTGAGCAGGGGGTGTGTGAGAAGGGCGTTAGGCAGCTGGGGAGGTCGAGTGGAGGCAGCAGTCTTGTCGTCAGCAGCAGCAGCAGTCCGGAGGCTACAATCTCCGGTAGTCGCCAGTCGCCCGTGGGTCCGTTGCTCGTCTGCCGCTACTTTTAGCCGCGGGGCCAGTTACCCTAGTAGTCCGGAGCGCTGTTCCGGTAGCCACTGAGCCAGCAGCTCGTCTGTGTGTCTGCAGCGTCAGCAGTCGCCTCCCATCTTCTCTCCCCCACAGTCTCTCCTCCTCCTCACTTGCCCTCTGTGATTAGCTCTAGCCTTACTTACCTATTGTGAACTCTTGCTCTATGCTTGCTCATTGTGCTGATTACACCCCACTTTGGCTATGGGGGTGTGTCAGAATGTATTTGCTGTCTAGCCTGCAGTGGGGTACTCTGTAATGAGTACAACCCAATTTAGGGTGTTGTACTTGTATCCCAACTCTTGCTAGTAAAACCCCATTCCTCTCGATACTTTTCCTAAACTCGAACTCAACTACCAAGGCTCCTAAACTATGGCTCCTAAGCCAAACTCACGCTAGTATTCTGAAAAGAGGGGGGGGGTACAAGGACTATCGAGAGAGAATGTTGTACCCTCTAAGGAAAGAACCCTACACAACCTAGAGTGAAATAAGCAGAACAATATGTTTTGACACACCCCCATAGGTGAAGTAGGGGATAGCCAAACCTAACAGTGGTCACAAGACCAGTCAAGCAAGAGAACAAGCAAGGCAAAGCCCAGGGTGGATCTCAAGGACACCACACAATCTGAGCACAAGCAGGCGGCCACAAGGCCAGTTCACATGCAGAGTTATAATAGCAAGGCAGTACACTGATCACAACCTAGCAAGAGTAAACATG